CCGCTTCATTCGCGACCAACCCATTACTACTAGCTAGCAAAGAAACTACCGCTGTTAGGATTTGTTTTTTTGTTCTCTCCCCCCTCCCTTTTTTGTTGCAGAGCTTGAGTGTGGCAGGGGGCATGGCTGGCTTCTTCCGGAGCAGATGAGACACACCTGCAATCAATTCCTTCATCAGCCTCTGTATTTAGCCCTGGTCTTCTCACCACCACTTTGCCAGATAATTCCATCCTATTCGGTAGAGTTCTATCAGGCTCTTGGATATATATCCATTTTGTTTGTTGTTTGTCTTGGAGTTACTTGCTCCTGTTTTCGCCCAGGTGTCTCCGTGGTTGTCTGCCATTCCCTCTGGAGAAGCCGGCCAGCTCCCTGCCTCCTCAGCCTGCCTTCCGTTTGTAAAATAAACTGTTTAAATCTTGACTGAGTCCTGGCTCTGCTTTGGGGTCCCTCTTGCCAAACCTTAACAACCACTATTAGCCCTTAGCCATTAATGCGTGCGCGCCGCGGTAATTAATTATATGTGCAAATGTCATAATTCACACCTCTGTTCACAGCTCATTTACATGCAGGTCCAGTAACATATATGCGGCCAATGTAGTCAATTTACAATAGGCCAATAGAAAACAGCCTGTTTATGTGTGGGAGCTACAGCAGCTAATCGCTAACTAATAACCAAAACTAGCTTCAAAGTCGACATATTTCCAACACTCACCGCTCACACAGGCTCCTCCTCACATCACAAGTCTGCAATAATAAATGTCCTTTTAATCCTGACTCAAAATTGTCTGTAAAAAGAATATAATCTCAGTGTCTGGATGTATGTCTGCGAGTGTAAACAAACGCACGTGAATGACGTCACTCTGGGGGTGTGTGCAGGGACAGTACAGACACACACAGACAAATGACTCCACAGAAAAATATTGACGTGGAGCCACATATTAGGATCTTTATCTGTCTGTAAATTGGATTAAATGAACATAATGTAGAGAGTATAAGATTTATAACGATGTATCACATGCCTACGTGAAATATCGCCCCCTATCAGCGAGCATATCAGCCTATAGCCGATATGACTCCAGCTGCCCATATCGGCAGATAATATCGGCCAACTGATATATCGGTCGGGCTCTAATAGGAATATTCCCTGTCTAATCTAGGGCAAAATCTGATCTAAACCAGGTCTATAACAGGACTATTCTAGGTTTAATATAGTGCTAAAAGCAGTTCTACACCAGGTCTATAACAGGACTATTCCAGGCCTAATCTAGGTTTAAGACAGATCTAAACCAGGTCTATAACAGGACTATTCCCAGTCTAATCTAGGACTAAACCAGATCTAAACCAGGTCAATAACAGGACTATTCCCAGTCTAATCTAGGACTAAACCAGATCTAAACCAGGTCAATAACAGGACTATTCCCAGTCTAATCTAGGACTAAACCAGATCTAAACCAGGTCAATAACAGGACTATTCCATGTCTACCCTAGTGCTAAACCAGATCTAAAAGAGGTCCACATCATTTCCACTATATTTCTAAACAATAACTTATCTTAAAAAAAATAAAAAATTGTAACCAACAGAGTAACCAACATGTTACTCAAGTAAGAATACTGTTACACTGTAAAATGCATTACTTCAATAGGACTACAGTATATTGTATCAAGTAACTGTAATTAACTGAGCACTACCTGTTTCTGATTCCGACCATGCAAACAAAACACATTATATTTGCTTACGTGTTTTAAAAACGCAAAATAACCTACAATAATCTATAATGTTTGCCCTTGTTGCCAAACTTTCAGATTTCGAAACTATAGAGCTGTCCAGCGGCTGTGGTGCTGAAATGCTAACGCTAGCTCCGGCTTTAACCTCAGCATTTTGGGACAATCTCGCGACAATCTCTCTCCAAAACTCAACAGAACCAAATCATTAAACACCAACTAACCACAGTACTAAGTTAAACGATATATTACATTAAATAGCGTACACATCACACTTAAGACGAGAAAACGATGGTGCGCTGCTCGCATCAAATCACTGCCATAGATTGAAGACGAGGCCTAGAAAGATCAGATTTCGAACCATTTTTTTCATGGTTTCTTAACATCTACAAAACTTTCCGTCATTAGCACATATACCCAAAATAGCGTAGCTGCTAAACACGATAAAAAGTCGTCAGCTTCTCGTAAACAGCGGGGATGTGTACCTTTTGTAGTCGGAGGAGAAGATGCCTCCACTGGCCGGGTCGTGTCCATATTCAGGCTCCGCTACGCTGGAGGAGCCGCCTTTCTCGTCGTTGAAGGCCGACCCGGAGGACATGTCTGCGGTCCTGGCTGTGTGGGTCCCCTCGGTGAACGGAGACGGAGATTATCGGTGCCGAAAGCCGCGGGATATGCGGGAGTTTCGAGGCGCAGACTGTGTGCGTAAAGAGCGCAGATGGAGACGCTCGGTGGCGCACAGGGGCCGGTGGGGGATGGAGGAGAGGACACGTGACCTTTGTTGTCATCTGCGTCCCAGGCAGGCTTAAGCACCCGGAAGTGCTCTGGTCTTTATTCTCTATTAAAGGGACAACAATTAGGTGTTAGTGCCTACTTTCTTTTAGTATTATTGAAAAGATATGTAATTATGGTTCAAAACTATTTTTTAAAAGACTGAACCTATAGAAGAACTAGGTGTGCTTATGGTTAACTGATTAATTAATCAAGTCCTAAGGTCAATTTACAATTAAATTAGTCCTGTCACATGACTCACAACACGTGGAGTGAGTTCTTTTGTTAAGGGCCAGTAGGGGTCCCTCTTTGATTGTGTTTAGACAAGAGGTGACCAGAGGGGATGCTGAGATTTAAGAATGTAAGATATAATGTAAGGAAGCCCAAGCCAACCTAAAAGACAAAATATCTGAAGGCAATGTTACCATAAATAACTTCAGATAAACTTTTTACATGCATAATAATAGGTTTGATTCAGATTCAAGTGAAGCTGCCAATATGAGACAGTGAATAATCCATAATTTGGTTGACATGTCTTGCATAACAACAACAGAACTTGGTCTGAGTGAACAAATCAATCCTCTAAGCTTCAGGCTGGGACTGCTTTACCCTACTGAGCCACTGTTGTCCTAGAGTAGAGTAGGAGTTCTTATTGGGTTATCAATATTGCACACCAGCAGACACAGTTTTTTGCCACACTACTGGTCTAGATTGTGAGGGCAGTGTCTTATTGAGTGAAAATAGCGCAGTGCATCTCACAGGCATGCTAGACTAATATGGTCAAATGTACACACAACAACAACAAGCACAGTTTGAAAATGGCCAGTCTCCTTCATCTGAATGCTTTCAGTTGTTTTTCCTTCACTTGTCACAACTTGTCTGGAAGGGGGAGTGCCGCCACCTGCTTGTTTTCACAGAGATGATATTGCCTGGCCTTGAACGCCTCCATAAAGCATTTATTTCATTATTCTGACTTTTTTTCCCCACAGTTTTTATTGCTCAAATGCACTGTGACTGCACTCTCGGTGGATCTGACCAATGGATTCAGTCCCGTCACCTGCATGGAGATACTGTATAAAATTAATGTCATGTCAGATAGTTGGACATTTTAGGCAAACCAGTAACATCCACCAAGGCAAGCAGGTGTTGGACCGTACATCAGAAATGATATACAGTGGCCCCAAAACTCTTGTCCTTTGCAAAATGAAAAGCACTGTAGGCTCTAGATGTCTACTTTTCCAAAATAACTAATAATTCTTTTGTCTCTTTATGTATGTTATTGCTACCTAAAGTAGACAACTTTTTGAATTAAAAAAGTAAAAACTACAACGATTTTAAAACATTTTCACACCTAATCATTTGCCTCTCTCACAATTTGTTTAGTTTTATAGTTTGATTGATTTTCACTTTATAAAAAATAAAGAATAATATAACTTCATACTGTTGAGGAAAATAACCCTTTTCCTCGCGTGTTCGTTAGTTTCTACTTAGACAAAAATTTATACTTGAAACAGAAATAAAGTCCAGAAAATTTACTTATTCCAAAGTCATACTACTACAAGTAGTCTGTGCTGACATTCCCATGCAGAGACTGAATATTTCCGCCTATACAATGACTTTTACACACAAACTATAGTGGGAGGCGACCATGGTTTAGACTGTGACAAGGATCCCCCGGATTCATTTCACTCCCCTTACAGGAGTCTCGCTGGTCTGATCAGGGTGATGAGTCTTGAGTCAGCATATCCCTATCAATAAGTCCTTGCCCTATTTAGTTAATTGATTAGACATACAGATAGAAATAGAATATCTTGTACATGAACTGAAACTATCTTTGCACCCCTCATCTGTAATCTAGTCCCTGTTTTCTAGGTCATTGTATAGTGAATTATAATAGTACAATAATAAAATATAGCAGTACATAAATAACTGTATAGCAGCACATCAGTTACATCATAGCAGTAGTTATACACCTCCTAAGCCTAGTTATTTATCCTAACTGTATCTTGGTTTCAAGGGTATTTTTGTCTTAGCAGAAACTAACGAACACGAGAGGAAAAAGGGTTATTTCCCTCAACAATACAACTGACACTTTGCAGCTGATATCCTCAGTATTCCCTGGGGGTGTGATGCTAACTGGTGGCTCTGCTCTGTCTGAAGCTTTATTCAACTTTAATCTGTGGTTTATTTTAACACAATCTGACCACAATCTGATCAGAACTAGATAAATCAGAGTTACACATCAATTTATGAAAATTCCATAAGTACAGTTTTTCAGAAGCACACGTTTTAAATCGTTTTAAAACTAACACTGTGAAAGCTCTATAAAGGAGATGCGTCTAGAAAATCACTAACTTACATGCTGATTAAAGTTCAAGATCATATTACCTGTTTTTTGCTCTTTTTTTGTGTGATTTTTTTCAACCATGTGGAGCATGCGTTCTCTCATCCGTCCTCTAGGTGGCGGAGCGTTTTCCAGTCCATGTTTTCTCTCTTCCGCTCTTCTCACGGATGTTTGGGAAGAGGAGGCAACATGGCGAACACATACAAAAGTACATTTGTACTTATTTATTTATGATGTATATGTTTGTGGTGGGTTTTGTTGACCATTGCAGGGATTATAGAGAAACAGCTGTATGCGTAAATGTTTTGATCGCTGGTTTGGTGTCTGTGCGACGCTGGTTTCACATGTACGAAGACGTGTCCAACCGATGGATCTATTACCCAATCGCTCAACAAATGATCTAGGAAACTTAGACTTATGTGCTTTGATTGTGTTTTACTTTATTTTTATTTGAGGATTAGGTTTTATACTTGATGCAATTTCAACAGATTAATAATATGATTTATAAAGAAGGATATGTGTAATAATACTCTGCATTGAGATATGTTGTAGATAGAATATGAAAAAAATAAATAGTCTGCCTATATTTTCATATTTTAATGCATAATAGTAAATTAATGTTTTGTTTTTCTGAAAGAGGAGTCAAAAACCTGTTGCTGCACCTTTTTCAAAAATTGCGCATTGTACATATTATCACAAATTTTGAATATAAATTTATTATGTGAAATGATTTTGATTAAAAAAAAAAAAAAAAGGTCTAACCAAAGTCTCATCCGGGAATAAATCAGGTATAAACCAGAACTCAATCAGGTCAAAATCATCAGGACTAAACCTGGTCTAAACTTGGTCTAAACTTGGTCTTAATCTAGTCTAAACCTAGTCTACACCTGGTCTAAACCTAGTCTAAACCTGGTCTACACCTGGTCTAAACCTAGTCTAAACCTGGTCTAAACCTAGTCTAAACCTGGTCTAAACCTTGTTTAAACCAGGTCTAAACCAGGTCTAAACCAGGTCTAAACCAGGACTAAACCAGGACTAAACCAGGACTAAAGTGCCTCTGACAACTGCAGGCCCACACCCAACAAGAACTCCAATAAACCAGGACTGAACCAGGTCTAATTATGGAATAAACCAGACCTAACCCATGATTAAACCAGGATTAAACCAGGTCTAACCCCGGACAAAACCAACGCAGGGCTAAAGTGTACTAGGCCAGAAATAAACTGGACTCAATCAGGACTTAACCAAGAAACTACCATAATAGTTTTGAAGATGCTCAGGGCCACTTGTCTACATCACAGTTTGTCAAACTTAAAACCGTTTTAAGTTGCTTCTAATATCTCCCCCTCTAACTGACATCTTGCAAACATATTCATGGTATTTTACTCAGAAATGCTAATGTGTTTTTAAAATTTGATTCCAGTGACCAATCGAGACATCCAGCAGCTGATTCTTCTGAGAGCCAGTAATGCTGCCATTTTCACCGGGAGGAAGAACTCTGCATTGAGAGGATGGAGGTGAGTGACCTTGCTAAACAGCACAGTGGCAGAGTGGTTAGCAATGCATTATTTTTTTGCAGCAAGATGGTCCCAATCTGAAGTCAATGATGAAGTAATACATAAAACATATAAATAATCTAAAAATGCCTTGTTTACCCACAGAGCAATAAAAAGAGAGCTGGGGCTTCAGGGGTTGATGTCGGCTCGTCAGCTCAAGAAGAAATGGGACAACCTGAATCAGAAGTACAAGGTGAGTGTTTTGTGTAATTAGTGTATGACTCAAAGTCTTAATTTTTCAAATAATCAAAACTTAGAGATGTTGGTGGGGATAGGTAGTAGTAGTGGGGGTAGGCGAGAACACAAAGTGTGTGAGCATACAGGATTACTCAAACATGTATGAATTGTGCTGTGTGCAGTGATTTAAGAGTTTGCACATATGTCTCTTTTAAAGCAACACTGTGTAACTATCTGGAGGTGGCATGTCACCATCTTTATTCCATTGGAAATAGAAAGTAAAAACCATACTTTAGAATATTTTCCTTGGAGATAGATAAGTTGTATGTAACACTGTGGAATATTATAGCTAAAGGAACAACATTTCCATGAAAACAAGCAAGAAATTAGCTCTTCCAGTTGGTCAAGTTTGTAGAAGTCGTAGAGGTTAGGTTAGTCAGGTTTGTCAAGATGCAAGGTAACTCGCAGTAAGGACAGATTATTTCCAACATTTTTCAGTGCAACAAAAACACCTAAAATGAAAAACAAAACAAAAACATGCTTTACTTTAGTGTATTTTTTGCCTAAAAGGTTGCATACTGCGGCTTTAAACTGAGTACACTTTATATTCATTAAATCCTGAGATGTGATTTGTGCTTTACTTCTCAGGTGATCAAAAACCCTCCTGAAGGCGAGAATCCCAAGAACCCTGCAGCCTGGCCCTGGTTTTATTTGATGGACGATGCAGTGAGCGGCCGACTGGACAACGCCGCTAAAGTCATCGAACTCCTCCCCATTGACGACGAAAAACATGAAGCGGACCTACCCTACCGCCCCTGCTCTGACTCGGAAGAAATCATCAGCGCTTTGAACGTCGAAATGGCCCCAATCGAAAGCGAAGAAGACGTCGAGATGATTGACAAAAGCGGGAACTACGAAGAAGGGACTAAAAAACCAGACGAAACCGCGCCGCAAGCTCCGAAAATAACGGTTAAAAGGCTGGAAAGTGTGCCAACCATGCCCAAAAACACCCAGACAAAAACAGAACCAAACACACAACCTTCACTGCTATACGCAACGCTTTTACCAGATTCTACGGCTTCAGTTGCAAGTAAAGTTCCTACCACCTCTGCTCAAAGTATAGTGGTGCAAGCTAAACCTGTCAATAATACTAGTACGCAAAATGGCCAACCAACTACAGTACTTTACGCGACTTTGCTACCAGATTCAACCGCTACTACATCGAACAGTGGTACTAGAAATTGCCTTGCATCAAATCGGAATATCGCTTTGGAAGTTGCAGAGTTAAATAAAAAGTTATTGGAATATAAAAGGGAGAAAAAGGTGCTGGAAAAAGAACAAGCCGAGTTTGACAAAGAGTTGATCAATTTGGAAAGCGAGAGGGAGCAGTTAAACAGAGAAAGGCAGGCATTAGACTTGGAGAAAATTGAAAACGAGCGCGATAGGGCTTTGCTTGACAAAAACAGAGCCAATTTGGAAAGGGAGAAAGCTGGAGTGGAGAGGGATAAGGTTTTGTTGGATCGCGATAGGGCATATCTAGAACGAGACAGAGCGATTTTTGAACGAGATAAGATTTTCTTGGACAAAGCAAAAGAAGATTTCGAAAGACAGAAGGATACGATCAGGGATCAAACTACAGCCCCTGCATCTGGGGTTGAAAAGGGGCGAAACGACGGAGTTGCAACAGAGGGAGAGGAACGCATGGATGTCACAGAAAAACACAACGATTTGACAGACAAAGTTTTAGAAATCTTGACAGCAGATGGAGACCAAGAAGAAACAAGGCATAGGTTTGCTACTTTAGTTAAAAAACTGTGCGAAAAAATGTAAAACTGTAAAGTAAGTGTAAATGTAAAAAAAAAAAAAAAACTTAAAATATAGTTGTTGTACTTTAGAATAGCTCACTCAACTAAAAGAATAGCTAGTTTAGGGCTGCAGTGATTAATCAACTAATCTTGACTAATCGACAATAAAAAAAAAAATATAAGAATTGTATTTTGATAATTGGTATCGGAACAATACAGATCCTAAAATATATAAAAAGACCTGTTTATAACATATAACACAAGATGGTGGGATTGTTTAATTAAAATATGTAGCTTAACCTCCTGTACTGTATTTGAATTTCATCAATAGTACACTTCTTTCATAAATATTTTCGAAGTTTTTCAGTGCAGTAAAAAAGCCAAAATTTAAAAACTACTGCTTTTTTGCCAAAAGTTACACACTGTTACTTTAAATTTATGTGACATTTGTACTTTATTTTTAGGTGATCAAAAATATTCACTATATTTCAACCTTTATTTGGTTGATAACATATTTAAAGGGCCCATGTTACACTGTTTAAAGATCTATGTTATAATGTTGTTTCCTCATCAAAAACATAACCGGAGTTGTGTTTCGTTTTTTTCATACATGTTAAACATCTTCACTAGAATCATTTAGATCTTGTAAACCCTAAAATTGCTAATCTCTCCTACCACTTCATGACATCACAGGGTGGAACAGAGCTGTAGGGCTGTAGACCGACTAATAATAAAGGATTACTCATATGTGTGCATGAAACAAAACACAACTCCAGGTATGTTTTTGAGAAGGTAACAACATTCTTAAAGCTCACAAGAATCAATTTTGCATAATATAGGACCTTTTATTTCTACCCTAACCCAGTAATTTTTTTTTTTCTTTCTGTACTAATTGAGAAATATTTGCATAAAACCTCAGTTTTATCTTGCATTATTAGTTTACCAAACTAAATGTAAATAAAAATTGCAATGCCTTATTACATCTTATGGGTGGTGAGCTATTCTAGTGTTATCAAACATTTACATTTCAAAAAAAATTTTTACAAAATGACAAATGAAAAGTCATATAACAGCTTACTGTAATATTTGGGTCATTTTCTTCAGATTTCATTTGGATTTATGGTGTTTTTGATTAATTGTGTCATAATGGAATAGCCTTCGGAACAGCACAATATCTAAAAGTCATATGTATTGATGCATAATTTGAAAAATAATTAGTATATTAATGAGTTATGGTTGGTTAGCTAATTTGGTGCTCTTGAGTTATCCAATATTTGTGACTGATCACTGTCTCAAACTCTCAGTTGTATAGATGAGAAGAAGGCTGAGCTTTGGTTTGTAAAATAATGTAAATACAAATATAACTTTTGTAACTAAAGTGTCTCTGTGTTTTTATTATAATTAGCCAACATGTGTTTGATACATGTGAGGAATTTATTTACATATCTCTTGTTTGTGCTTAACACCATAATACTGTAGCATTACTTTTTTTTGTTTTTAATCCTTGCAGGACAGTTAAATTGGTGGTATGAACTGCACAAATTATTATTATCTTTTCATATGCTTCAAATAATCCAACTAATTTTAAATCATTAAAAACTCAGGCATATATTTTGAATATGATGAAATGCAGTCATATTGATAGTTTGCGGTGACATCACTCTGACATCACTCTGGGGGTGTTCTGCCTGTATGTATACAGCACTTCAGCACTTACCATGGTGACACATGGCACATTAGGGGAGTCTGACAACAAGAAAAATTACAAAATGGATTTAAACAGCACATCTGTAGGAGCCTGTGATCAATACAAGCATTCATGGTCCTGTTTGTAGTTCCAGCTTTGTCATTTCTTTATGGTCAAAGCTCAGGTAAAGTCTAACTTAAGTAACAGAGCTTCAGACAGAACTGCCTGCAGTTTGCGTCAAGCCCCCAGGAAATGTTGATGAGAACAGCTGCAAAGTATATTAGAGTTATATAACCAATATTATTAAGACTAAAGTGTGTACAGTTCCCTTTTATAGTTTAATTTGGGGTATTTTGAAAGAATGCAGAAAGGTTAAAGCAATGGCATTTGCTCTGGCAGCAATAAACAAGTGGTCCACTACATATAAGGTGCACTGTGTAACTTATTGCATTACTGTGAATGGGGTTACCTCTCCACAGAGCTGATCTGTAATGTGGCCAGGTGGCATCATCTGCTCTCCTCCATGAAGCTTAATTCCATACCGCAAAGCAATAAAATCTCCATGGAGACAAGCAGGTGACGGACCCTCCACCAGAAAAGTTACACAATGCATCTTGAATTACGTTACTGTAAAATGAAATTAAATATTACATGAAACACGTTTTTAAAACACTATAAATACCCTTTATGAAACTCTCCATATTAAAAAAGAAAACCATTCCCGGTGCTGCTCGGGTCAGACCAGGGCGGAGTTTACCCCGAGCTGCCCGCCCTCCCCTCCACTGCAGAGGGAAGCAGGATGCTAGTTACCTTCGGTGTAGCCATGAAGCTTTAGCCTTCATTCACCGCTTTTTTAATGCACTTAGTGGGTACATATGTTTTATTTAAGCCGCCCCGGTGGATATCTATCGGATGCACCATTAAACAGCGCTTTCGGATGAGTTAAAACGCCAATCTCCACGTTGTTTTGATATTGTTGAGGTTAGCCACTGTTAGCACCCCCTTACTTTTGCATGGGGAGTTAGCTTAGCACGTCAAAGTTAGACCAAATCTTATCCGCGAACGTATCTTACTATGGAAAATAGCCTAAAACCAGCTTAGTTATGTTTTTAAAGTGTGATAATTATAATGTAGTTTGGTTTAGACATAAATATAAGCACTCTGTAGCCTCCTGCTTAGCTCTGAACTCGGGGTATGACTTCTCATATGCTGTCAATGGAGCCTCCACTGGTTACACTACCTCAATTCACCGAAAACTCATATAAAAGTAAGTATTTACCACTGGTTTAACGTTTAAAAAAACTTGTGGGATTTATTTAAACGATATTGCAAAAGCTTTTAAGGTATTGTGCAGCTATTACTGTTAAAGATAGTTCATTTATCATCAAAGTTCTAAGTCATTGAGAGGGACACAAATGGTACTATATTTCCAGCTTTGCATGTTCTACAAATTAAAGGGCCTTTTTTTGGTCTTTGTTATAATGTTGCTTCCTCATCACAAATACTTGGAGTTGTGTTTTGTTTCATTCACACATTTAACACAAATCCTGCATATTTAGGTTGAGTTCTTCTCTCAAACGGAAAACACTCTATTCCATCATTTGGATGATTTCAGCCCTCAGACTGCAAATTTCTAATGGACAAAAACGTAAAAGGTAGCTGTTAACTTGAACACTGCTGCTGTAGATGTAGAAAGACTAATAAAGGATTACTCAAACGTGTGAATGAAACAAAACACAACTCCAGGTATGTTTTTGATGAGGTAAGAACATTGTAACGTGACTGAAAGCTCACAAGAGTCAACCTGCAGATCTGCTCTTGGGTCATATAATTCCTTATAGGTGCGCTGTGTAACTTTTGGTCGAGGGTCTGCCATCTGCTTTTCTCCATGGAGATTTTGTTGCTTTTGTCTGGCTATGTCCTGGTATGGCAACGCATCCATCTTGCATTTACTCAATAATAGAGATGGGATGAGACACAATTTCTATGAGATTCAGTCCATGAGAATGAGACTTTTAACAAGGTTTTAATATATTTTTGAATAAATAAATTGTGTCATTCAGTTCACAATTTTGGCTTCACAATTTTTCATGTATTTAATTTAATAGTTTTGCTGTCATAGCACTGCATTTTGGTACTACAGCTTTTCAAGAGGAGTTACTCAGATAACCTCATGTTTATCCAAGTCAAATGTAAAAATATCAGGAAAGCTCCACACAAGATAATTTTTCTCCAGTGTGCACAATCTTATGGCAGTTTTGTCTCACGAGATCTTGTAGTACAAGATTCCGTACCGTCCCTACTCAGTAATATTTGTAATGACATAAAAACTTGTGACAGTTCTCACCTCTCCACAGATATGACATGTAACTTGGTCTAATGGTGTTACCTACTGTTGAGATAAAAGTGTAATGTCATACTGTGGAACATTCCAGACAACATCTCCATGGAGAGAAGCTGGTGACAGACTCTCCATCAAAAAAGTTACACAGTGCACCTTTTAAAATCCAAATACAGTGATTAGTTGACTTTAACACAAGTTTTCGACTAAGACACTATCAACAGTTTAAGTGTAATCTTTTCGGTCTTGATAAATTTGTCCCTGCCTCTCTCTGTTGTATTCTGCTGCAGTGACTGAGGACGACGTCAAGAGATTGATCGAGTTCAGAGCGTCCAACGAGGCTCTGTTCACCGGAAAAAGGAATTCAGCCAAGATCGCCTGGAGGTACAGACATCAGTGTTAATGGGCTGTGTTCACTTCGAGAATGTGGTGTTGTTATAATTTCAGAATTTCAGAGGGTGGGGCCTATATAACTCTACAGGAGATTCCCTGTTATTGGAAGAAATATCCAAACGTATGATCCATAAATATCGAACCTTATCATTATTTGTTTGTGATTGGCTTCATAAATTTTCAATATTAATTTTATGCTTTAAAGACCTTTCAGTTGACAACAATGTCTTTTTAAGTAATGGCACCGCTTTTTCAGGCTATTGTGACAAAAATAATGTTCCTTTTTTTATACTGACAGAGAAGACATTGAACTTTGTGCCAGTTTTTTGTTTCATGTGGATAGGCCCAGCAATTACAGAGGGATTAACCATAAACCAGGTCTACAAATCTGCAACCTGAATCTGAGCTGTTAAATCTTTTTTTTTTTTTTTTAGTGTTATTTTAAAAGGCCTGGGACTCGAGGGGAAACTAACTCCAGACCAGATTGCCAAGAAATGGGACAATCTTCGAACAAAATATAAGGTATATAAAAAGGTTATGAGTTCTCACTTGAAATTCTTCTATTGTACACATTTTGTATTTCATTTTAAGTGAATGGTCTGTAAAATAAACCCCTGAGTGCCCTTGTCAAAGCCTGATCTCATTAGCCAGGCCAGGTTAGGTCTTGGATGGGAGATCTCTGTGCATTTTGTTATGTCTGTGGGCAAGAGACTAAACTTTGACTCCAGTTTCCATACGCATAGGTGTGTAAATGCTGAATGAAGTCTGTTTGTGGGAGCAGATGCGGCTGATGGAAATGTGTCCTTATTTTTAGTTTATCGCCTTTTTTCAGTCTTTTACAATTGTTTTATATTACAGACAATACTGTATGTTCAATATTATAGATTTTCAAATAGATAGATTTCCACAGCAACAATTGGATCATTATTATTGTATATCTCTGTAATTTTCACTTTTCCCTCCATGTCTCTGCAGGACCTGAAGCAGCCATACCAGGGGCAGGAGGTCTCTGGAGTGGTGGAGTCGTGGCCTTGGTTCCACATGATGGAAGAGGCGATGCATGGACGCCTCTACAACAGCAGCATGGTCCTAAACCCAGACTCTGAGCCCGACCAGAACCAAGAGCAGAACCAGACGCAGAACCAGACCCAGGAGAACCAGGACATCCTCGAGTTCCTGATAAAGACTGAGATGGACGAGTCGGTGAACATGAGCCGAAGGACGAGAAGCTCGACAGGGAACACTACCACAGGAGCAGCTCTGGGTTGGAGGAGGATATCAGAATGCTCCTACAAATGTAACATATATTCAAATGTTTGTTATGAGATAGAACTATATTAATCTTTCCTGAGAAATGGGCTCTGTCCTGTCTCTCCCTCCCTCCTCTCTTACTTTCTTCTCTCCTCTTTCTTCCTTTTTTCTCACTTTTATATCTATCTATCTTTCTGTCTTTTGTTAATGCTTTAAGTTTTTGTACTCAACCCCTAACAAAAATGATTTGGCTGTGGATTTTCTGTTATTTCTTAAAAAATGTCTTTAAAAAGTAATCATAAATCAAGATACGTTTTAAAATAACATGTAGAGTTTTGTAGACTGGACTTTCTCTGTATAGATTAGAATGCTGATTTTTACTCTTAAAAATTGAAAAACAAAACAACTTCAATTTAGACAGTTTGTACTGGTAGTTATTCCTCACTTCCATTATGCATTCTGAGCATCCTAATTATTCACTGTAATTAGTTTATAGGCACTGTCACTGATCTGATCTGTTTTTAATTTTCTGCATTTCATCTTTTTTTTTCTAGGGACTGACAATGAAACGGAAAAGCTAATCAAACTTCGAGCTGCAAATGAAGTGCTGTTCACTGGAAGAAGAAACACTGCTAAACCTGCCTGGAGGTGAGGAACCTAAGGAGTATGCTCCAAGGAGACAGACCATGTTAAAATGGGGACTAAACCCAGACTGAAATAGCCCTGAAATAGACTAAAACTGGTGAAGTAATGGTGATTTGTTTTTGTTGGCAATTATCATGACTATACAAACAACTATTGTCTTTCCTTTCGATCCCAGTTGAATATTATTGTTAACTGACCCATCGCTACATTAGGAGTGAACCAGGATCAAACAAGGACCAGTGTAAATGCATTAATTAAAAAAAAAAAATCCATTCAGTTTATACAGCGCTCAGGTACACACCATTCATACTACATAATGTGGGTGAAGTGCCTTGCCTAAGGATACAACAACAGTTTTTGCCACTGCTGTTCCACTGTTGCCCAGTCTTGCTTTACTCCTTACTCACATATATAACTGTATGTTTTTTGTTCCAGAGCCATCCTGTTTGAGATGGGACTGCAGGGGAAAGTGTCCATCGATCAACTGGCAAAAAAATGGGACAATCTCAAGAGGAAGTACAAGGTCAGTTCACTTCTTATCTACACCTTTCCATAGGATGATGTCTATCAGGCCCTATTTGAAACGTCACCCATTTATCATGAATATACAAAAGCATGATATAAAACAATATTCTACAACTTCACAAAAGTGGCGCCATGTGAGTGAGTTAGTTTCAATTAATTTACAGCAATACTTAAACTTATCCCATGTCTCTCTCAGGAGCTGAAGTTCCCTGCTCCCGGTGTAGATCCAAACCTGAGCTCGTGGCCTTGGTTCTTCCGGATGAACGAGGCGATGGAGGGACGCCTGGCCGGAGCCGCCCCCCTCCTCACTCCCATCATTGAAGACGAAGATGAGTTCTGTGAAGCTCCCTCCCCGATGCCCAAAAAGAGACCAAGACGTAGCCGTGGGATGACGGACTTCCTGACAGAGAGCGAGATCGACCTGCTGGTGGAAAATGTGGAGAAGAACGGAGCGGGGAACTTAGCTGAGACGCACAGAGGGAGTGAATACAGCTACAAGTGTGAGGAATATTCAACTAACAATACTGCATTTCAAAAAGGGAAGGGCAAAAGAAACAAGGATGATTTGATTTTTTCAAATACAGCTTACTCATACATATTTCATACACGTTGCCTTTGTATATTCAGATATGAAACAACATTAAAATTAATATTTAATTTTATTGTTAACAATTGTATTCTCCTGCATTTGAACAGAAAGTAGGAGGGAGCTATAGTAATTTAGTGAAAAGATTGAAGCAACAGTGCAGCACCAAAATTTTAATTATTCGATTGTGCTGTGTTGTTATTTCAGTGACGGAAGAAGACACTCGCAGACTAATCGAGTTACGAGCAGCGAATGAAGTTCTGTTCACAGGAAAAAGGAACACTGTCAAACCAGCCTGGAGGTATAATCACACATGAGGCAGAGGGGGTTTGAGATTATTTTGCAGCACTGTGTTTGGTTTGAGTTTGTAAAATATAATGTTATATTTGTTTTTCAGGGGAATTGTGAAGGAGCTTGGCCTCACAGGGAAAATCACTCCAGATCAAGTCGCAAAGAAATGGGACAATCTCAAGACCAGGTTTAAGGTCAGAAAAAAACGACTATTAATCCTCTTTTCTATGTAAAGTCAAGTTTGTTTACATGAGGAAGAGGGTACATGAACTAGAGAAATAAAACCCATTTGTCCATTTGTCAGGTACATTTATTATATTTGAGAATTAAATTAGCATTACATTTGGTATTATTATCAACAACTTAAACTAAACTTCAGTCCTTGTCCTTGCCCTGATGAGCTTTCTGGTTGGTAAGCAGCACCGCTGGCTGTACGTACATGTTGACAGCAGCGCGGAACACACTGTCAGCTGTTGGTTAAACACCCATTGGTCTCATTGTGTGGGGCTGACCATAACTGTAGTTCTGTATGAGAGCATATATTATTACAATCTTAAGCAGCATTTTATGTCCTTGTCTTGAACCTGGTAACCGTCTCACATGACATAACATAATCAGCAATGTTCCTACAAAACAAAATACACTTTTTGTTAACTCACTCAAATACAAATGCTCAAATACATGGGGTACAGGACCTTTTTAGGTATTTTTATTTGTGAAAATGACCCCTTCTGCAGTTTTTTTTTCTCCTAACAGGACCTGAAGTTCCCTCCTCAGGGGATGGAGGGCCAGGTGAACCCTGCGGGCTGGCCCTGGTTCCAGCTCATGAGTGACGCATTCGAGGGCCGTCTGCTCGGGAAAGCACCCGCCGTGGAGCCTGTGTGGAATAACGCAGACGACACCCTCTTCCTGTCTTCCCCCCCACCTTCTGTGCCCCCAGAGAGAGACTGCCCCCTGGAGGACCGGAGCGCGGTGCAGGAACTGGAGCAGAGTCTGGTGTCAGAAAACTCCATAGAAAACTCCATAGAAAACACAGAGCACGAGGAGAGCCTGGGACACTCGGAGGGGAACGTGACCCTTATAGACGCCAATGGAGAGGAGTCATCACCCACAGAGCACTCATATAAGAGTGAGTAGAGGAGGTGGTCTTTACATTGAAAGCTTCATGTTAGATGGAGGGCAGGAGCCTTTATGACTCTGTGGGGAATTCATTGTCTTTTAAAGAATCCTTTATCCTTTATTATTAGTTTTTCTACATCTTCAAAGCTTAATATAGTTGATTTAACCTTGTGATGTCATGAAGTGGTAGTTTTGAAGTTAACAGCTACCTTTAACCTTTTGTGCAGTAGAAATGGGCAATTCCAGGGCTGAAATCATCCAAATGATTCTAGTGAAGGTGTATGGAGTTTAAAAACACAGTCGAGCACTTTCTTTATTACCTCATGGCATCACAAGGTGGAACAGTGTTTTCTGTTTGAGAGAAGAACTCAACATAAACATACAGGATTTGTGTTAAACATGTGAATGAAACAAAACACAACCCCAGGTCTGTTTGAGTCTGAAATTCACACTGTATAAGTACATACTGTTGCATTCCTGTAGTTTGTGGCCAGTTAGCTACATAATTGTAAAAAATAAATACATTTTAACATAAAATCACATGTTTTTGCTCTCTCACTTAAAAACAAAAAAGTAGAATATTTTTAGACTTATTTAAATTGATAATGTGTCAAATTGTTTTCTTCAATGTCATGAAACTTTTTATTTACACATGTTTTTTGTTGTTGTTGCTAATTATCATCGTCATACTTCAAACTAACATGATTTTGTTTAGAGATTGTGCTTGTCAAGAAACTCCTACACTGACTCAAGTACATCCATTTTCTCTTTTGTTTGTGTCAGTGTCGGAGGAGGACACACAGAAGATGATCAAACTCAGAGCTGCAAACGAGGCCTTATTCACCGGGCGCAGAAACGCCGCCAAAGCTGCCTGGAGGTACTGCAGTCTACTGTTCACTGTTGAAAAACTTGAAATATGTTTATACTGTGCACTATGGTTCAGTGTTAAAGTATTATATATATATATATTCTGTCTTTACATAGATTCATCTTTAAACTGTATTATGTCCTCCTCAGAGCGATCCTGAGAGAGCTGGGTCTACAGGGGAAGGTCTCCACTGTTCAACTCGCCAAAAAATGGGACAATCTCAAGAGGAGATACAAGGTACAGTTAAGAGACTGTCATATTAGAATGTTGTTACCTCATCAAAAACTAACCCGGAGTTGTGTTTTGTTTGATTAACACATGTTTGAGTTAATCCTTTATTATTAGTCAGCCTACATTTTCAAAGATCAGAATGCTCTGTTTCATTTTGTGAAGTCATGAAACTTTTCAAATTAACAGCTACTTTTTACCTTTTGTTCAGTAAAAATTGGCAATCCCAGGAATGAAATTACCCATTCTATTACCACGACATCACAAGGTGGATGTGGAAGGGGTGTTTTATGTTTGAGAGAAAAACTCAGCCTAAATATGCAGTTTGTGTGAATGAAACAAAACTAAACTCCAGGTATTTTTTTGATGAGGAAACAACATTATAACAGATCCCTCAGTTGTCCAGGTAGGAACAATCAATCAAAAAAATGTTTGTCCAGTTGACAGAATAAAATGTTTCTTTTGCTGTTGTAACAGATCAAAAATAGCATAATATAGGCCCTTTAACTTGTATGTTTCCTTGTTTCCTAACCTGATCAGTGTGACCTTTGACCTCTCTTTAGGACCTGCGGTTTCCTCCTGTTGGGATGGAGACGTCAGTGGACCCTTCCTCTTGGCCCTGGTTCAGTTTGATGCATGACGCCATCGAGGGCCGCTTGTCCCACAGCGCCCCCCTGCTCGACCCCGAGAACTGCGGCGAAGAACCCGACGACCCCCCCAACAAACTTCGCCCACAGCGCCAAATAGCCCCTCCCATACCTCACCAAGCACCGCCTACTCCTCACCAACCTCCGCCTACTCCTCACCAACCCCCTCCTCCTCCTCCACCTCCACCTTCTCACCAACCAGCCAATCAAATTCACATCCCTCCCAATACCGCCACTCCTACGCCCACCGCCCCCGCTCCCGATTTTAGCACGGAAACATTTGTGACTGAGAATAACGTAGCTCTGCATCGCGAGTGGGGGATTTTGGACCGAGAGCGCGCCCTGCTGGAGAGAGACAGACAGCTGGTGGAGCAGGAGAAGGCTTCTGTACAGAGGGAGAGGGCGGCGGTGCAGGCGGAGAGGATGTGGCTGGAGCGGGAACGCGCCGATCTGCAGCGCGACCGTGCCATGGTGGACCAGGAGAGGGCAGCGCTGGCACGGGACAGAGAGATACTGGACCAGAGGGCGATCATGCTCAACACTGTAGGACACGTGCAACACCTCAACTCGCTCATGTAGAGTCCGAACTGTTGTTTTTAAAGGTGCGCTGTGGAACTTTTCTGCTGGAGGGTCAGAACGTGTAGGGCTGGGCAGGTAAATTAAAAGGCCTGTACTTGATTTCAAACCATGACACAAGGGCTGGGCAGGTTTAGCCCACTAAGTTTTTTCAAAAGTTGTGATCTTGCACCATGACAGAGCAATATTTGGACTTTTTAGCACATCGGCTCTCTGCCTTGTGGTTTTGGTCAATCTACTACCTAAAAAACACAGTATTAATTATTTGTAGTAGTAAATTTAAATTACATAATCTGCGGAAAATAATAAAAATATCATCCCAAAAATATTGAGCTTATTAGGCATCAATTCTTGCTTTGTTTAAAATACAATCAGTATTGGCCATGAAAAAAACCTTCTCGGTCGATCTCTAGTTATTTCCCATCATTCTTGGACAAAAAGAGGTGACCCTGTTAGGAGCTTCAGTATTAGTTGATACACAAAAAATGCTTAGTAAAATGTATAGATTTTTCTATTATATTCTCTCTTTATTAAGACTGTACTCAAAATATCATATTTTGGCAATACGTGTATCGATACAAAGATGTTTTTAAACAACAGAGAATGACTATAAATTACAGAGTTGTGCATCTATTAATCTGCTAATTACTGCATGAAGGCTTAATAGACAGTTGTATTCCATTAAGGGCATTGTGAATATGAACTTCCGATGCATTTTGTTATTCTACATAATCAGTACCTCCATTTTTAACTCCAGTTTTAAGTGGCATCCATGTATTGGGACATATATCGTGTCGTGGATGAATCATTCCACACCAAATCTATGAATGTCATCGCTCGACCATCTCAGATTTGACTGAAAAAATTCTAGGAGGTTCACACACTTTCTAAGAGGAAAAGTCCCAAATTTTTCCTTATAGTTTTGTCATTAAAAGATATTTTGTCAACTCCCCCCCTGATCTGTTTTGAATAGAGTTTTCCAAGGAGCCACTTTCAGATTGCTGTATCTAAAAAACTATTTAAGGCCGGTCCAAGTCAAATTTTCAAGGGTTAAAATGTGACAAATGTACTTGTAGAATCTGGACTTTTACACATGTGCTTTTGGTTTATCACAGATTTCTGGGGGCTTAAATTTACTCAAAAATTCTACTCTTCAAATATAAGTGTGTCTCTGTAGGACTGTGGAAAGTGCAATTTGTATTTTAAAACTGACCCTCTGTGATGATCGCTCTACAAGATATCAAGTGTTAAAAATGGAAAAAAAATAAATATTTTTTTTTAGATACAGCAATCTGAAAGTGGCTCCTCGGAAAAGTCTGCTCACAACAGGTCAGGGGGGAGTTGACAGAATATTTTTAATGACAAATCTATAAGGAGTTGGGAACTAAAATTTGGGACTTTTCCTATTGGAAAGTATGTGAACCTCCTAGAATTTTTTCAGTCAAATCTGAAATGGTCGAGCGAGGGCATTCGGAGATTTGCCGTGAAATGACCCAGATTCTACATTGGGTCACGTATTGTATCGTGAGCTACTTTGCAATACCCAGCTCTTGTATCAATATTTATTCAGATTCAGATGTGTATCTATTTTCAATACTAGCTTCGGTAAGGGTATCGATTTTTTAATTTTGTATTTTTTGTGACAGCTCTGCTCCATGGAGACGTCACTTCTTTGCTTGGAATGCTTCAGGGCATGGCGTTAAACCTATCTATCTCTATGGAAACAAGCCAGCGTCTGACCCTCCACCAGAAAATGTACACGGCGCGCCTTTTTAATCCACAAAACCGTTACTTTATTTCTAAATTACAATGAAAGTTAAAGTTCAAAGTAAAACAGTGAATCAGTTAAAGCATTCACTTGACTTCAACATGTTCTAAAGTGTCAGTTCATGAGTTTCAGTAGCATAACGTTTTCTTTTCATGGACACCATTTTGAGAACTTTCGAAAAGAGCATTTGCTTTTGATTTGTATGTTGTTATGGCAACGGTTCTCATTTTTCAGCAATCTGAAACTCACAGGTGGTTTAAAATGGGCCTCAGAATTCTATGGTAGAGTTTGCTGTTTATCTGTCATATTGCAGATTTGATGACCTGGTTTATGGTTTGTATCTCTTTAATTACTGGACCTATTCATATGAAACAAAAACTGGCACAAAGTTCAATGTTTTCTTAGTTCGCACAAGCAATTTAAGGGCACTTATTTCACTCTAATGTTAAAAAGTGGTGACATTATTCAAACACACAAGCGCAAATGCTGTCAGCTGAAAGGGAGCTAAGAGATTAATATGGCAAATTCAAATTCACGATTTGAATTTGGCTCGAACCCCTTTCAAAGATTGATATTGCAAATTTAAATGCTGAATTTGAATTTGAATGGCAAATTCAGGTAATGATAAGGTTCAAAATGTTGTATACCTTCTCTGTTTGGTTATTGCTTTCGAAAACAGCAAATCTCCCATAGAATTATATACACAAGTGCCCTCCATTTGAAATTTTGACGGAAAAGCTGTTCTAAAGCTAGTTCAGGGCAAATTTGAAGTGTTTTTTCACGGCCAGTGGTGATATTGATTGTTTAGAATTCAGACAAATCAAAGGCTGATAAGGTTTGCCGATATTTGGGACAGATTTTGATCATTTTCTCCAAATTATTGTTTAAATGTATTCAAAACTCACCCATAGCACTTTCTTTTCCGCCAATCTATAAGAGTGCGGTATAGTCATGTTTCAGCTGTTATCTTTTAGCACTAAAGTGTTCAAATGAAGCTTTATGCATATACTTTTTCCAGCAGGTCAATCAAAACTAAATATCGAAAATTTAAGACAGATATCCTAAACAGTTGCCAACCGATTTACATATTGGCCTATCTCTAGTGTTTTTCGTAGCATTGGTTTGTGGAATGGCCACAAGACTTGCTGATCTTTTTATTTGACCCTCTCCTCTGCTTCTCTGCTTCATCTGACCCTCTCCTCTGCATCATCTTCTTTATCTGGCCCTTTCTTCTGAATTCTCTGCTCCATCTGCTCATTCTGACCCTCTCCTCTGCTTCTTCTGACCCTCTTCTCTGCTCCTGTGCTTCTCTGACTCTCCTGTGCATCCTCTGCTCCATCTTAAACTCTCCTCTTTAGTGTCTGCTCCATCTGATCTTCAACTCTGCACCATCTGCTCCATTTGACCATCTCCTCTGCATCTTCTATTCCTTCTGACCCTCTTCCCTGATCTTGTGGTCCTCTGACTCTCTCCTCTGCATCATTTGCTCCATCTGATCCTCTCCTCGGCAAAATCTGCTCATTCTGACCTTCTCCTCTGCTCCATCTGCCCCTTTCCTCTGCATCCTTGACTCCTTCTGACCCTCTTCTCTGCTCTTGTGCTCCTCTGATCCTCTACTGCATCATCTGCTCATTCTGACCCTCTCCTCTGCGCCTCTGACCCTCTACTCTGCATCTACCCATACAGTCACTATCCTTCCTCTGTACACACTATTTTAATGTGGGCACTACAGTATCTCCTAAGCCTCTCCCATGGGCCGTCCCTCCTTTATAAATTGTCTCGATAATCAGTATTTATTTCAACCACTTGTATAAAGGAACATTCTTGCCACTTTTGGATTTGAAAATATTTTAATTTCTTTTGGACAACGCCTTAATCAGTTGTAGAAAATGTTTTGTAAAAAAAAAAAAAAAAAAAAAAAGCAATAATCTTGTGTTACAGCGTGGACTGAAAAAGTGTGTTCAGATTGTTCATGCGTGTGATATCATGTAAAAAGTTGGTCTGTTTGGTTTTTAAATTTTCAAATATATTTTTTAAAAAGTTAAGTCTGTGGTTATTTAAGTCAGACCTCCATAAATGTTCTGGGTTTTTTTTTTTTTTTTGTATTTATATGTAAAAGGCAGATTAAACAACAATTTTCAAAAGTTTAATCTGTCCTATAAATACAGTTTTTTTTGTTTTAATTTGCATAAATTCTTTTTGCATGAGCGCTTGTGCACGCATCCTGTATATTTAGGTTGAGTTAGTTTCTCAAACAGAAAACACATCGTTCCACTTTGTGATGTCATGTGGTAATACAGAAAGTGCCCCATTGTGTTTTTAAACTCCATACCTTCACTAGAATCATTATTTAGTATCTGGAATTGCCTAAATCTACTGAACTAAAGCTTAAAAACTTAGAAACTTCGTGACATCACAAGATGGAACTGAGCATTTCGAGCTTTGGAGATGTAGACAGACTAATAAAAGGTTATTCAAACATGTCTGTATGAAACAGAAGGAGGAGGTAAAAACATTCTAACATGTCTTGAAGCTCACAAAAGTCAATTTTGCGTAATATAGGACCTTTAATTCATGCTGTGTTATGAATGGGGAAATGACAAAAAAATATGATTGTGACGATTATTCTTGGCATTTAAAGGTTCTATGTTACAGAAAACAAACTCTTATGAAGTTTAAGCCATGTTAGAATGTTGTTACCTCATCAAAAACAGACCTGGAGTTGTGTTTCTAAACCAGGACTGTGATTGGTCTATGATTTAGTCCTGTTTAGTCCTGGTTTAGTCTTGGTTTAGTCCTAGTTTACACCTGGTTTATACACTCTATGGTTTAGTCTTGATCTCATCTTGATTTAGTCCTGGTTTGGTCTTCATTTAGTCCCAGTTTATTCTTGATTTAGTCTTGGTTTATACATGATTTATACAGTCTATAGTTTAGCCCTGATGCAGTCCTGATCTGTCCCAATCTAGACTTGATTTAATACTGACTTAGTCTTTGTTTAGTCCTGGTTTAGTCTTTGTTCATTTTGGTTTAGTCCTGGTTTATTCAATCTATAGTTTAGTCCTGATACAGTCCTAATCTGTCCTGATCTAGGCTTGATTTAATCCTGATTTATTCTTTATTTAGTCCTGGTTTAGTCTTTGTTCATCGTGGTTTAGTCCTGGTTTAGTCTTTGTTCATCTTGGTTTAGTCCTGGTTTAGTCCTCATTTATTTCTGGTTTATAAAGTCTGTAGTTTAGTCCTGATGTAGCCCTGATCTAGGCTTGATTTAATCCTGATTTAGTCTTTGTTTAGTCCTGGTTTAGTTTTTGTGCAGCCTTGGTTTAGTCCTGGTTTATAGAGTCTATAGTTTAGTTCTAAAGTAGCCCTGATCGAGGCTTGATTTAATCCTATTTTAGTCCTGGTTTTGTTCTGGTTAGTCTTTGTTTGATCCTGTTTGGGTCTTGGTTTAGTCCTGATTTATTTCTGGTTTTTAGAGTCTATGGTTTAGTCCTGATCTGTCCTGATTTAGTCTTTGTTTAGTCCTGATTTATTCTTGGCTTAGTAATGGTTTAGTCCTGATTTATTCCTGGTTTATAGCGTCTATAGTTTAGTCCTTGATGTAGGCTTAATTTGGTCCTGGTTTAGTCCTGGTTTACTACTATAAACCTGCATATCTCCATTGTTTACATATTTTATAGCCTTCTGCTGCGACAGGTGGACTCTAACCAGATCCTCGCGTCCGATTGGTGGACTGGGTGAGAGGTGCCTTGTGATTGGTCAGCTGTGAGACAGGTGAAACAGGAAGGACTGGTTTGTGGAAGCAGCCTTCATTTGAGTGAGAGAAAGAGGAAGCATGCTGCAGGTCCGCATCGGTGAGTTCAAAACAAATTCATTTATTTTGTTTTATTAAATTTATACATCAATTTGAGTAAATAAAAATTGCTTAAAGTGCATATGACAGATTAGACTACACATTTCACTAAAATTAAATTATTTTATTATTAAATTTCACTCAAAATCTTGCCTAGTCATTTCTAGATTTGTACATTTGGAAAAGTTTTTAATTTTACTTCTTGTTTGGACTGTGCAGTAGATATGACATAAGTAGAAGCAGCTGTGGATGAAGTACTCAGGGTTGTTACATAAGTAAAAGTACAGATACAGGGGCAAAAAGTTTGTCAAGTAAAAGTATCAAATGAAAAAGTCTACTAAAGTAACAGTAAACTAAAAGTATTAAAATAAATGTTTAAATATGTACTTAAAGCAAATAAAGTACAAGTATTTAGCAGAGATTAATAGAATAATACATAGAATAATAATTTATAGAATAATTAAACCATGAAATTTAGTGATTTTGATTTAAAAAATGTACCTGATTTAAGCTGATTCAGCTGATTTTGTAATTTTTCTTGCTGTTTCTGTGTGTTTGGTTTGTTCAAATTTGGGACAGAAACTCAAATTAAATGTGCTAAAAAAAAGTCTCAGCCAGTTCAAGTACTTCAAAGTACTAAATTATAGTGGAGTAGAAAGTACAGATACTCGTTCTCATATGTAGTGAAGTAAAATTAAAAAGTATCCTCTGTAAAATGTATCTAAGTTAAGTACAGATACCTACGATTACCTAAAAAAGTGGTAGATGTAAAGTAATAATAATTGTTTCCTATCAACCAAGGCTGAAAACTTAAACTTAAACTTCAGAAAAATGCCATTGTTTTTTTTTTTTCTTTCTATGTTAATGACGTAGGTAGAGCTGTTTTAGAACTTTAGGTACTTATGTTCTTCTCAGCTTTTCTTTACAAACTGTCACTTAACTGATGTAAAACTATGGTAAATATGAAGCACAGGACAGAATGACCTTAATATTGTCTTCAAAAGCTTTATCAGGTCAGCCTTCAAAATGTAGAGCTTTTGGTATCAGTGCTTAGGGAACAGCAATGTGTAGAGAGGCCACACTGTTACCTTTAGAAAGTAACAGAAACATCACATAAGGAATTACATTTGTGGTTTAATTTTCTGAGAATGTACTTTCACAACTGTGGACAATTATAAAAGGTGATGATTTCTGACAGGCAGTTGCCATAAACACAAAGGTTCAAATCATTTATTGTCATATAAAGCTTGATCACTGTAGACTGGGAATTGGAAAAGATTAAACCAGGACTAAACCAGGGCTAAACTAGGTGTAAACCAGGACTGAACCAAGACTAAGCCAGGACTGAGCCAGGACTAAACCAGGACTAAGACAGGACTAAACCAGGTCTAAACCAGGTCCAAACCAGATCTAAACCAGGTCTAAACCAAGACTAAACCAGGCCTAAGCTAGGACTAAGCCAGGACTAAACCAGGTCTAAACCAGATTTAAACCAGATCTAAACCAGGACTAAACCATAAGGTTTGTAACAAATCTAGGTCTAAACCAGGATGAAACCAAGACTAGAGCAGGAGTAAACTAGGGCTAAATCAGGACAAAACAAGGACTAAATCAAGACGAAACTAGGTGCAAACCAGAACCAAACTAGGTCTAAACCAGGACTAAACCAAATCTAAACCAGGACTAAACCAGATCTAAACCAGGACTAAAGCAGAACTAATTAAGCTAAGAATAAATCAGAACTAAACCAGGACTAAATCAAGACAAAACTAGGTCTAAAGTACGCTTAAAGCAGGTCTAAACCAGAACAAAAAAAGACCACATTAGGTCTAAACCAGGATTAAACCAGGTCAAATAATTTCCCTTGTGGATCAATAAAGTTTGTCTAAGTCTAAGTCTAAAGCCTCTGCATTCCAGGAGTAAACCAACTTGTCTTATCTTATTTGCTTGTATTTAATTAAAGGTTAATTATTGCTTTAATGCCATACTGTGGAACATTCCATACCCATCAGAGCACCCTGAGGCTGCCCTATTTTCTGGGTGAGACATGCTATGACATCAGTTAATAGTCCTACAGTCAGAGAGATAGTACAGGTCAAATGACTGTGGCTTTAGGTGTGGTTGTGTAAATACAGCTGAACACTTGTCATTCACATATCACATCTAAGTTTTGTCTGTATGCTTTTGGATTATACTTGGTAAATATTATATAATGGATGGCTCTACGGTGCTACGGTGGCCACCTCAAATAGAGCTATAAAACCACCTGTAATTTTTACATCATTTTGAGTAAATAAAAAGTGCTTAAAGTGCATATGACAGATTAGACTACACATGTCACTAAAACAAAATTATTTTATTATTAAATTTCACTCAAAATCTTGCTTAGTCTTTTCTAGATTTGTACATTTGTAAAAGTTTTTAATTTTACTTCTTGTTTGGACTGGGCAGTAGATATGACATAAGTAGAAGCAGTTGTAGATGAAGTACTCAGTGTTGTTACTTCAGTAAAACAGGGGCAAAAAGTTACTCAAGTAATAGTAAGTATCAAATGAAAAAATCTACTAAAGTAAAAGTATTGAAATAAATGTTTAAATATCTGCTTAAAGAGTAAAAAGTACAAGTATTTTGCAGAGATTTATAGAATAATTAAAGCATGAAATATAGTGATTTTGATTTTTAAAAATGATTTAATAGATTTTTTAATTTTTCTTGCTGTTTTTGTATGTATGGTTTGTTCAAAGTTTTGACTGAAACTCAAATTAAATGTGCTAAAAAAAAGTCTCAGCCAGTTCAACTACTTCAAAGTACTAAATTATAGTGGAGTAGAAAGTAAAGATACTCGTTCTCATATGTAGTGAAGTAAAGTTAAAAAGTATCCACTGTAAAATGTATTTAAGTAAAGTACAGATACGATTACCTAAAAAAGTAGGTTAGAATAAGTCAGAATGTCTGTTTTTCGAGGTATTTTTGAGCTATAAAACCACCTGTAGTTGAATAAATATAAAGTAGAGCTTTTTAATGTCAACCAGTCCCTCAACCAAAAAGTTACATAGTGCACCTTTAAGACTTAACAAAAATGGACCACAGATATGACATAACTGTTATCTAGCAACCGTAATCATTAAAATATAAAGGCTAAATCATGGCTGTGATACAAAAAGTCTTTGTTAAATGAAACCTTCTTGGGCAACATGAATATGAACCACACCCATTTTAAATATCAAAACTATGATAATGTCACATGTGTCAGATAAACAAGTTTCCTTCCTCTGAGCAAGCAATAAAACTGTAGCACTGTAACAAAATAATTTTGAAAAATATACCAAAAAAATACTCTTGACAATAGCAGTCCCCAGTATCGATACTGTATCATCACATTAACAATACGATATATCGATATTTCAATATTTTTACTCAGCCCTATTAAACACAAACAGCATAATATGGTAAAACCTGATCCAGATGTGTTTTGTAACTATAGAACAACTTTGTAACAATTTATTTGTTAAGTTATATTTATTTATTAATTTATAATTTAAGTTTCATATTCTGAGCTGTTTTGGGCCAGTAAATGGTTTCATTACACCGGTTTAGACCAAAATGGGACATCTGCTGAATTGGTATCTTGGATGCTGATATCTGATACCAGTATGGTATCGGTGCATCCCTATTTATGATTAGACTAACGAGAATAATTGACAGCATCATTGTTTGTTTTTTAGTTTTAGGGTTTTTTTTTTGTTTTTGTTTTTGTTTATTTGTTTAGGGACAATGCACATAAAATAACACTAACCTATAAGAGGTCATATGTTTGCGCAGGTTCTAGCAAAATGGCTCATTTCCACCTTCAGTCCCTGGGCAGGTTGATGTCATACTGTACATACTGTTGTAGAAAAAAATATGCATTTCTCTTGTTGTTACAGCAGATAACAACAAGAGAAATGTGCCTAGGTCTGCCCTGGCCACAGACCAACAGCCTCTCCTGAGTCTCCTCTCTCCAGTCACCCCTTCTCTCCATCTCCCTCCCCAAGTCACTCCTTTCCATCTCTCCATCTCCCAGTATCTCCCCCAGAGCCCTCAAGCATCTCCTCCACAGCAGCTGAGCTCTGAGTATTTATACAGAAATACAAGTTACATACATATCAAAGCAGAGTGACTTTTGTTTCACAGACTTGTTATAAGTTATATTTGAGGACAGCTAGGACAACACATAGTTTCCTGAGGGTGGGGACAGTTGTGTCTGTTGAGCCTTTACACATGTTCATAATTGGTCTGGTCTCAGGTAGAAATCACATTCATTTACACGACAGGCAGACGACAGGCAGACTGAGAGAAATCTCTCTGCAATATAAATTTCCATCACACATGCCAATAAAATTCTAGCCAGGCTGACGTCACCTTGTGCCTCCACTCAATTTAATTTCTCTCCAGTGACAAGGTCAGGAATCGGAATACACTAGACGGTTTGCAAAAACCCCAGAAGTGCGAGTTCGGGCACGAGCCAATCAGCAAAGAGCCATACATTCTGTGTTGGCAACGATTCTCGAGAGAGAGAAGGATTTAAAGTCGGAACAAAGAGAATGTTTGGTGAATTTTATCAAGGGGAAAGACATTATTGCCCTTCTTCCTACAAGATTTGGGAAAAGTTTATATACCAGTTATCCCTGTTAGCTGTTCATTACATACGTCACAACCAAACCAAATAGCAGCGTAAAATTTAAAAAAGTACCCACTTACTGTCAGGCAAACGAATCCTAATGCTGCGAGGTCAGACGGTTTCCATGAAGTGAAACCAGGTGATGAATCAGGCTAATAAAATACAATGTATATTAATGCAATCATTCATCTATGAATTCAACAAATAAAACTTGTCCCATTCAATCTCAGTCACCACATCCATACATTATTTATATATTTACATGCTTATGTATTGTATATTATATTTAAATTCATGTTTAAGCGGTCACATAGGCATGGCATAGGTAGAGGTTTATTTACTTTTCTTGTCAGCTTCTTCTGTGCCAATTCTGTAACTCGCAAACCTGAAAACCACAAAGTCTTGGTTTATGCCACCTGCTTGTCTCCACACAGATGCTATTGTTTTGCCCACAATATGGAATTAAATGTATCTATTTTCATCATGTAGACAAACAACTGAGATCACCAGGTCAAGTTACCGATCAGATCTGTGGAGATGCAACCCAGCCCTCACAGCAACAATGCCTTGTTTTTCTGGACGTTTTTGAACAATAACATGTAACTTTATATTGAGGATCATTTCAGGCAAAGCAACCGATACTATGCAGCTGAGAACATCTTTCCCTTGAGGTGTGATGCTAACTGTAGGCTCTGCTCTGTCTGAAGTTCTATTAGACGGTCCCTTTAAACAGCACGTTGTGAAGGTTAAGGTGTTTGCCCCTGAAGGTGTTCTGTTTGTCTGTTGGTTTGGCCGTTGTTTGACGGTTTTTGCATCAGATTAGACCAGTTCCTTCCTGTTTGCAAAATCCCTTCTTTGCATCTGGTTGCATCCATTGATTAAAGAGGAATTAATCCAGGAAGTACCTGTCAGAGGACACAACACTGGACTGAACCACGACTGAACCAGGATTAAATCAGGACTAAACTAGGCCTGACTTGTCTAAACAAAAACAAAACCAAAAAAAAAAATAAAACTAAACCAGGTCTAAACCAGGACTACTCTAGTTCTAACTAGTCTAAACAAGAACAAAACCAAAAAACTAGAACTAAACCAGGACAAAATCAGGACTAAACCAGGACTAATCCAGAACTAAACCAGGACTAAAATAGGTCTAACTGGTTTAAATAAGAGCAAAACCAAAAAACTAGAAATAAACCAGGACTAAGTAGGACTTAAGAAGGACTAAACCAGGACTAAACTAGGACTTAAGTAGGACTAAAGCAGGGCTAAACTAGAACTAAACCAGGACTAAACCAAATCCAAATCTGGACTAAAACATCAGGTCTAAATCAGGACTAACCTAGGTCCAACTGGTCTAAATAAGAAAAAAAACAAGATATGTAAAGACTATGCAAGGATATAACCACTAAACTAGAACTAAACCAGGACTAAGCTAGAACTTAACCAGGACTGTACCAAGGATCAGGTCTAAGGATCAAGTCTAAAATCCCGTAACCAGGACTAAACAAACCAGAGTTCTAAACCAGGACTAAACCAAAACTGGAGCAGGACTAGGACTAAACCAGGATCAAGTAAGTCTGAATTAGAACTAAACCAGGACTAAACCAAGGCTTAAGCAGGTCTAAACTAGAACTTAGCCGGGTCTGAATCAGGACTAAACAAGAATCAATTTGGTCTACACTACACTACACTACACTACACTACACTACACTGCACTGCACTACACTACACTACACTGCACTACACTACACTGGAACTAAACCAGGAATAAACCAAGACTGAAGCAGGAGCCCAAACAAACTAAATATGATGTTATGTACTTTTACTTTACTTTTATTTTGTGTATTACATGTATCAGTAATTTTATATGTTTTATTTTTTAGGTCGATCTAATATGCCTCGCCCAAGCGTTTTGAGTAAGTGTCCAGTTGAGGGTTGAATTTCTTCATTGTTTTGCCCAAAGGCATAGCAACACTTCAACTTTTGTTTGTTACTCGACTGAACCAGAACTGAACCAGGAATGAACCAGGACTAAACCAGGTCTGAGCCAGGTCTGAGCCAGGTCTGAGCCAGAACTGAACAAGGACTGAACCAGGACTGAACCAGGACTGAACCAGGTCTAAGCCAGGACTAAACCAGGACTGTACCAGAACTGAACCAGGTCTGAGCCAAGACTAAACCAGGTCTGAGCCAAGACTAAACCAGGTCTGAGCCAGGACTGAACAAGGACTGAACCAGGATTAAACCAGGTCTGAGCCAGGACTGAACCAGGTCTGAGCCAGGACTGAACCAGAACTGAACGAGAACTGAACCAGGACTGAACCAGGACTGAACGAGAACTGAACCAGGACTGAACCAGGACTGAACCAGGACTGAACCAGGACTGAACCAAGACTGAACAGAACTAAACTGGGACTAAACCAGGTTTGAACCAGGACTGAACCAGGACTGAACCAGGACTGAACCAAGACTGAACAGAACTAAACTGGGACTAAACCAGGTTTGAACCAGGACTAAACCAGGTCTGAACCAGGACTAAACCAGGTCTGAACACGATCTAAACCAGGACTGAACCAGAACTAAACCAGGACTGAACCAGAACTAAACCAGGACTGAACGAAGTCTGAACCAATATTGTACCAGGTCTGAACCAGGATTGAACCAATTTTCATTTTCATTTTCTTTTTTTTTCAGGATTCTGGAGGTTTATAGCAGTGGCCCTGGTTGTGGCTTCCTTCTCCATCTTCCTGCTCCAGAAGTACAGTGAAATCATCAGTGGTAAGTCATTCATTTGTTTAAGGGTCAAAGGTCACATGGTGTCATTCAGCAGGGGCCAAATCAAACAAGGAAGTCAAGCTTTTCCTGCAGTATTTACATATAAAAGCAGGGCTAAACCAGGACTAAACTGGAACTAATCCATGACTAACTCAGGACTGCCCAGGACTAAACCATTCCTAAAGCAGGACCAAACCAGGACCAAAGCAGGATTAAATCATCATAAACAGGACTAAAGCAGGACTAAACCATAACTAAAGCAAGATTAAAACATAACGAAACCAGGATTGGAGCAGGACTAAAACAGGACTAAGCCAGGACTAAAGCAGGACTGAAGCAGGACTAAGGCAGGACTAAGGTGGGACTAAAGTGAGACTAAAGCAGGACTGAACCATAACAACCAGGACTAAAGCATTTCTAAACCAGGACTGAAGCAGGACTAAACCAGGACTAAACCAGAATTAAAGCAGGATTAAACCAGGATTAAAGTGGGACTAAACCAGGACTAAAGCAGAATTAAATCAGGCCTAAATCAGGACTGAAGCAGGACTAAACCAGGACTTAACTGGAACTAAACCGGGACTGAACTAACATAAGTTCCAACTAAGACTAATGCAAGATTAAAGCAGTGCTAAACCAGGAGTAAACCAGGACTAAACTAGAACTAAACCAGGATTAACTCAGGACTGTCCAGGACTAAATCAGGTCCAATGCAGGACCAGGACTGAACCAGGACTAAGTCAAAATTTAAATTGCACAAAAACATGTATGTTGAGTTAAGTTAAAAGTTATTATAAATGTCTGTTTTTTCCTCTTGTGTTGTAGTCGTGACAGTGCCAGAAAAGTTGAAGATGGAAAAGAAAACAGGTATTTTTCACTTATTTAATGTATTTCTATGTACCGTATTTTCCGGGACTATTAGACGCACTCTTAAACCTCCGACCCCATCAAAAAACGACTACACGCCCCACAATCCAGAGCGCACTATACACGATTCCACTCAGGTGTCCCAGCATGACTTCAGTAAACTACAAAGCCGCACCACCTGCAGTGCACACAAACATGCACGGAGCAGACAGCGACCATGCAGCGAAAAACACCCACAGCCACACTCATCACTCCACACGGACGAGGAACGGAAAGGAGGAACGAACCGAAAAAACTAGTGCAATGTGCCACTCTGAGCCACAACTGAACAACTGAGTCACTGTGAACACGCCAACAATCCAGCGGTCCCAGACAGCACCCTCCCTACACGCCACAACTGAACAACGCCGAGAGTCACCGTGAACGCCACAAACAAAGTCCCACTGACCCATCTAACTGTTGTGTTTTGTTTAAAGTCCGGTGCGGTTTATTTGTGAAAAAAGTTTGAAAATAGACCATTTAATGACAGTGCGTCTTATAAACCAGAGTGCCTAATAGCCCAGAAAATACGGTAGTTTTGTAATAATAAAACATTAAATGAAAATGAGAATTGCATAAACATGTCTGTTGCAGTAAACCCGTGTCCGACTCTGATCTGCTCCAAGGATCACTTCAGTTTTTACATTCAGAGTGGAGCCGCCAACGTTGTCCCGCCGAAAATCTGCTTTAGGAATCAGCTGTAGGTCTGAACTAAACCAGGGCTGAACCAGGACTGAACCAGGACCAAACCAGAACTGAAACAGTACTGAAAAAGCATTGAACTAGGACTGAACCAAGTCAACACCAAAACTAAACCAGGATTAAACCTGGTCTGTACCAGGACTGAACCAGAACTGAACCAGGACTCTTCTGTTCTTCTTATTTTTGCAGATTTCTGGGAAAAGAAAAGCAAAATACTGGAACTGGAATAAATGCAGTTATTCTAAATGGTCTGTATCCACCATAATGAAACATATAATATATTAGATGTTAGAATAATTTAATCCTGTATTTATTATTCAGTTTAAACACTAATACACATTTGAACATGTTTAATGTATGTGCATGTATATTGGTAGGAACAACTGGAGAGCTCGTGCACACAGGATACTACGACATGTATTCTGGAGGTAAGACAAGAACATTTAAACCAGGACTAAAACTGGGACTAAACTAGGGCTAAACCAGGATTAAACTGTAAATAAACCAAGACTAATTCAGGACTAAAACTGGGACTAAACTAGAGCTAAACCAGGTTTAAACTGTAAATAAACCAGATCTAATCCAGGACTAAAACTGGGACTAAACTAGGGCTAAACCAGGTTTAAACTGTAAATAAACCAGATCTAATCCAGGACTAAAACTGGGACTAAACTAGGGCTAAACCAGGTTTAAACTGTAAATAAACCAGATCTAATCCAGAACTAAAACTGGGACTAAACTAGGGCTAAACCAGGATTAAACTGTAAATAAACCAAGACTAATTCAGGACTAAAATTGGGACTAAACTAGAGCTCAGGTCTAATGGAGACCTAAACCAGGACTAAACAAGAATTTATAACAAAGTCAATAAAAAAGGTGATCATGACTACTGTCTGAAATATTAAAAGTGCACTACTTAACATTTTTGATGGAGGATACACCACCTGCTTGAGATGTAACAAGTAATAAGAACATCACCAGAACTTTTATTTTTTCATCTAATGCCAAACTGTAGAGGATTCCAGACAGAGCAATAACATCTCCAAGGAGACAAGTAGAAATGTTCCAGAATGCACCTTTAAAATCTTTATTATTGTGTTTTCTGTTGTTGCAGACTCGAAACCTCTGATCGAATTACTCCAAAAAACAGAAACTGGATCCATCATCTTAATGGCTTCATTTGATGAGCCCTCGTCAAAGTAAAGTCTATTAAAGAACTAAACCTGGACTAAACCAGAAATGAAACAGGACTAAATCAGGACTAAACCAGGACTAAACCAGGACTAAACTAGGACTACACTAGGACTAAACCAGGGCTGAAACAGGACTAAAACAAGACTAAATCAGGACTAAACCGGGACTAAATCAGGACTAAACCAGGATGGAAACAGGACAAAATCAGGACTAAACCAGGACTAAACTAGGACTAAATCAAGGCTTAAACAGGACTAAAACAGGACTAAATCAGGACTAAACAGTAACTAAATCAGGACTAATCCAGGACTGAAACAGAACTAAATCAGGACTAAATCAGGACTAAACCAGGACTGAATCAGGACTAAATCAGGACTAAATCAGGACTAAAGCAGGACTGAATCAGGACTAAATCAGGACTGAAACGGGACTAAACCAAGACTCAACCAGGAAAAAACAAGACTAAACCGGGATCAAACCAGGACAAAACTAGAATTAAAAGAGGACAGAACCAGGAGTAAACCAGAATTAAACCAGGACCAAAACAAGACTAAACCAGGACTAAACCAGGACTAAAGCCAGAATAAACCAGGACCAAACCAGATCTTAAAATCACCACCTCCAACTATTCTAACTTCTTCACAAACATTTCTGAAATAATAAGACAACAACATGAAACATGAATTCACTTTTTATTATTATTATTATTTTTTTTTTTACATTGTTTTTAGATTAAATGAAGAGGCACGGCAGTTGATCCTGGATTTGGGCAGCTCCTCGGTGAAGTCTCTTGGATTCAGGGATAACTGGATTTTTGTCGGTGGGAAAGGACTCAGGGTGAAGTCCACGTTTGAAAAGGTAACTCAAGTCTCAAGTGTTCAAACTCAGATTATACACGATCTTTGGAAAAGGCCCATATTACACTATTTTCCTGATTTGTTCTAATGTTGTTTCCTCATCACAAACAGACCTGGAGTTGTATTTTGTTTCATTCACACACGTTTAACACACAAACCCTGCAGATTTAGGAGTTTTTCTCTCAAACTGAAATCACTTTGTAACACCTTGTGATGTCATGGGGTGATACAGGCAGAGGTGGGTGATCAAGTAAGTCTCAAGTAAGTCTTTGATCTCAAATCCCAATTCAAAGACAGACAAGTCAGAAAGACAGAAATCATGCAAATGATTCTAGTGAAGGTGTGTGGGGTTTAAAAACACAGTGAGGCACTTCCTGTATTACCACGACATCACAAGGTGGAACGGATAGTTTTCTGTTTGAGAAAAGAACTCAGTCTAAATATGCAGTGTTTGTGTGTCAGACATGTGCGAATGAAACAAAACACAACTCCAGATCTGTTTGTGATGAGGAAACAACGTTACAACATAGCAGGGGTGGAACCAAGTCGTTGTTTTGCAAGTCTCAAGTAAGTCTCAAATCTTTGACCTCAAGTCCGAGTTAAGTCCCAAGTCAAATACAGGCAAGTCCAAGTCGAGTCTTGAGTCACTGGCCCATAAATCCAAGTCAAGTCCAAGTTGTCTACTTTGAGTTTCAAGTCAATTCAAGTCTTTAAACCAAAGCACCAAATATAGCTTAGATTTTTGCAATTTATATGACTTTTAAGATAAATTGTACTCATGAAGTGATAGTATATTTATATATGAGTATTTATAAAGTATGTAAGAGTTGTAGAAATGTTATTCTTTTTTAAACGTCTTGTCAAGATCTTATTGTGAATCATTATGGTCAGAATAGAAAGAATTCAGATTTAAAAGTGCTTCTCAAGTCTTCTCAAATCACTGACCTTCAAGTCCAAGTGGAGTCCCAGATCTTAGTCCATTTTATCAAGTCAAGTCTCAAGTCCTAAAAATAGTGACTCAAGTCTGACTTAAGTCCAAGTCATGACTTGCAAGTCCCCACCTCTGGATACAGGAAGTGCTCCACTGTGTACTTAAACATACACCACCCTTAGAATAATTTGGGTGATTTCCCAATATTCCCAATCAATACTGAAGTAACGGTAAACTACTGCTTCATGACATCACAAGGTGCGACAGAGCATTTTGAGCTTTGGAGATGTAAACAGACAAATAATAAAGAGTTACTCAAACATGTGTGAATGAAACAAAACTCCAGGTCTGTTTTTGAGGAGGTAATAACATTATAACATGGCTTAAGGGGTTACAAGAGTCAAGTTTGTGTAATATGAGATGTTTAAGACAGGAGCTATACTTGTGTACACTGTACTTGTGTCCCCAGATATGAAGTAAACATGCTCAAATCAAATCTACCTTTTACAGAACAATTCTAATGCTGATTTATTCTTATTTCTAAAAAACACTGGACATGATGGTAAGGTTGTTTATGTAATAATATGGTATTTTGGTTCTCAAGATGATTATCCAAGCAGAAAGCAGAAAGAGCCTCACATGACTCTCTCATTTGGGTTGCCAGGTTCAATAGTGAAATGCGGTTGGTTTTGAAGGTCCTATATTACACAAAATCAGTCAGAAATATACCCAGAGTTGTGTTTTGTCTCATATAGTAGTATCGAAATCCTTCATTATTAGTCTGTCTACATTTCCAAAGCTCAAACTGCTCTGTTCCACCTTCTGATGCCATGAAGCAGACGTTTTCAGGTTTTCAAGTTAACAGTTACCTTTTACCTTTTGTTTAGTAGAAATTAAGAATTCCTGGGTTGAAATCATGCAAATGATTCTAGTGAAGGTGTATGGAGTTTAAAAACACAGTGAGGCACTTCCTGTATTACCACGACATCACAAGGTGGAACGGATAGTTTTCTGTTTGAGAAAAGAACTCAGTCTAAATATGCAGTGTTTGTGTGTCAGACATGTGCGAATGAAACAAAACACAACTCCAGATCTGTTTGTGATGAGGAAACAACGTTACAACATAGCAGGGGTGAAACCAAGTCATTGTTTTGCAAGTCTCAAGTAAGTCTCAAATCTTTGACCTCAAGTCCGAGTTAAGTCCCAAGTCAAATACAGGCAAGTCCAAGTCGAGTCTTGAGTCACTGGCCCATAAATCCAAGTTAAGTCCAAGTCGTCTGCTTTGAGTTTCAAGTCATTCTAAATCTAAACCAAAGCACCAACTATAGTTTCAATTTAAAAAAAAATGACTTTTAAACTAAGCTATACTTAAAAAAATCATGGTATAATTTAAAAAATGTCTTGTCAAGATCTTAGTGTGAATCATCATGGTCAGAACAGAAAGAATTAAGATTTAAGAATGCTAAATAACACTTTGTCATGAAGAATCATGTTTTCTGTAGTTCCCTCTGTATTGTACTGTGTATTACTGTATTACATTTGAGGATACCATCTCACAGTACTTCAGTGACAAAAAGTAGAAAAGAGACAAGTGGGAGGGACATTCTCCAGTTTGTTCCTGTAAAATTAATCACACGTGTATGAACTGTAAAGAGAAAAGTATTTTCTAAAAACATACTTTTTTATGAGAAGCATCAAGTCTTCTCAAGTCACAGGCCTCACGTCCGAGTCAAGTCCCAAGTCACTGACCTTCAAGTCCAAGTCGAGTCCCAAGTCTTAGTCCATTTTATCAAGTCAAGTCTCAAGTCCTAAAAATAGTGACTCAAGTCTGAGAAAATAGCGTAATATGGTCGCTTTAACCTAAAATGTCTCTCTCTGATCTGAATGGTCACTCCCTAAACCCCAGAATCTGCACCAATCCTGAATCAGTGCTAGTGCAGCCTCTGCAGCTCAGTGAGGGAATTCTGGAGGTTCTGAGCTTTCACATGGCCTAATCCTAAAATGAGAATAAAGAGACAAACCTGGATCCTCTAACTGCAGGTTAAGGCTCTGGAGACACGGGTTCAGTTGTGATTCTAGTACTAGTAGTAATAGTAGTAGAGTAAGAGCTCAGGCTACACACAGTTTAAATATTGCTGTTTTTCTTTCAGCACATAAAGAATGACCCGAAAATGAACAAATACGAGACCTGGCCTGAACTCATCGAGCTCAGTGGCTGCATCCCCAAATACATGAGCTGAAGGAGCAAGAACTAAACCAGGACTATGAAAGAACGGGTCTCAGGAAAACTGGTTATGATCCTGGACTATGGAGGTCTGTTTTATAAGATTTTCATGATAGTTTGGAGGACTAAATCAGGACTGGACCACAATTGAAACTGGTCTAACCAAGAGCTATGTCAGGGAGGTCTGAACAAGGTCTATACCAGGACTATACTAGGACTAAAACAGGTCTAAACCATGACTAAAACAGGTCTTACCAAGACTACAAATTAAAACAGACTTAACAAGATTTAGGTTGGCTCTAAAACAAGTTTGAACAAAGTTTATACCAGGACTAAACCAGGTGTTAACATGGATTTTAAAGTTAGACCAAGACTAAACCAGGTCTAAACATGGACTAAATGAAACAGGACTAAACCAGGATTTAAATTATGTTAGACCAAGACTAAACCAGGTCTAAACAAACCAGGTCTAAACATGGACTATATAAGATTAGGCCAAGACTAAACCAGGTCTAAACATGGACTATATAAAATTAGATCAAGACTAAACCAGGTCTAAACATGAACTAAATGAAACGGGACTAAACCAGGTCTAAACATGGACTATAAGGTTAGACCAAGAGTAAACCAGGTCTAAACATGGACTACATAAGAATGGACCAAGACTTAAACAGGTGTAAACATGGACTAAATGAACCAAGACTAAACCAGGAGATCAGTGACGTTAAACCAAGACTAAACCAGGCCAAAACCAGATCAAACTAGGTGCAGACTTTTATTTTATGTTTTTAAATGTTTTAAGTACTTATAACCAAACTCAGGTCTAAAAAAAGTCTATGCTGTACAAGTTTTAAACAAGGACTTCTAATGTAATGTAATAACTGAAGAGAGTGACATCACGCTGGGGGTGGTCTACATGTATCTCTACGGTGAAATGTTCAGTGGTTACTATGGTGACACAATGTAAACATGACCAAAAACCTGTTCAGTCCCAGCCAGGTCAGTTCTCTCTGGTCAGATTGTGTTCAAATAAAACTGGGATTAAAGTCTACCAGAGCGTCTGTCAGAGCAGTGCCTCCAGTTAGCATAATGACATCAGCTCCGAAGTATCATTTGTGAATAAAATTTACTGTACTGTTTATGTATTACTGGTTATTTTGGGGGAGTTTGAAGGAAAACTTTACAAACACGGACACTGTCAAAATCAAACTGACTTGAGAATGTATTTAATAAAATGTTTTGTAAATATTTAAAACATGGGAACTTTACATGAAGAGTTTGTTGTATTTTAATTAAAATATTTTTGTAAAATAAAAGGTGTACAGTTGTCTGTCCCAGACCCAGATGGAAAAGCAGTTAACTTTATATGTGTTTTTACAGTCACTCTTTGTCTTATTTGGTTAATATTTAAACTTCAGCTTTGTTTATAACCTGGACACAGAGCAAAAAAATGCTGGGTGTGTTCTCTTAATATAGGGAATTTTCCTTGAAAGTGCATATGACTGTATGAGTGTAATGAAAAAGTAATTACCATCATTTTTACATTTTCTGATTTCCTCATCATTTACAGACCTGGAGTTGTGTTTTGTTTCATTCACACATGTTTAACACACAAATCCTGCATATTTTGTTCTTCCCTTGAATTGAAAACACTCTGTTACACTTTGTGATGTGACATCATGTGGTAATACAGGAAGTGCTCCACTGTGTTTTAAAACTCCAAACACCTACTACTACAACTAGAATCATTTGGATCATTTCAGACCTGGAATTGTTCATCTCTACTGAACTAAAGGTATAAAGGTAGCTGTTTACTTGAAAACTGCCACTACATGACATCACAAGGTGGAACAGAGAAACCTAGAATAAATACTGACCAAAGGTTCTATCGCACCAAACCAGTCAGAATTAGAAAAACATGAAAACTTGTCACATGCACTTTGAAGAGTCACTCTGTAAAGTTTAAGGTTCTGGATTATTGGAGATTGTTCCACGGTATGGCATTATGTATCTCAGTGGAGACAAGCAAGTAACAGTGCTTGGCCAAATTACAGGTAAGAGCTGTGGAGTGGAGACTGCACTCAGAGTCAGAATACATGTTTTATTTGTATTTCTGAGCAAATGCACTTCTACTGAAATAAATGGGTGTTTAATGCCATACTGTGGAACATTCTAGGCAAAGCAATAACAAAGAGATGAGTAGGTGAAGCAATTCTTACAAAAAAACAAAAAAAGTTACTAATGAACCTTTAACAAAAAATGTAATGAAAAATTTATATTTTACAAATTTGAAGAGCAATATGTGAATCTGGTGTATCTGGACCAGAAGGTGGCAGCAAAGTGTAGCTCTGCTGTGCTCTTTACAGATTAACGTTTTTGATTGAAGAAGAACTGAGGTTTGTGCAGTAAAACTCAATCAGGTCTAAGGCAAGACTAAACCAGGACTAAATAAGGAATAAACCAGGTCTAAATCAGGTCTAAACCAGGTCTAAACCAGGTGTAAACTGAGTCTAAACAGAGTCTAAACCAAGTCTAAACAGGAACTGGCCTATAATCATCTGTCTTTGCACTGGGACAGGTTGAAGAGGGTGGTGGTTGCAAAGTGTGTTGCAGATTTAAACCAGGACTCAATCCAGTTTAAAACAGGCCTAACGCAGGTCTAACACAGTCCTAACCCAGGTCTAATGCAGGTCTAAAGCAGGTTTAAGTAGGCCTATAATTATCTGTCCTTCCTGCCTTTGCACCTGAGCAGGCTGAAGTAGGTCTTCCTGAAGCGGTGGTTGCACAGGGCGTAGCAGCACGGGTTCATGGCAGAGTTGACGTAGCAGAGCCAGCAGCCGAGGCGCCACAGCTGCCTGGGGATGCACGTGTGACAGAAGGCTGCCACCAGAGCCATCACGTTGTACGGGGTCCATGTGATGATAAAGGCCAGTAAGATGGAGAAGATGGTCCGAGTAACACGCTGCTCTCGGGCCAGAACCCGTCTGTGTCTGCGATCTGTGGACCTGAGGCTGGGGCATGAGCGGCTGAACAGAGCTGAAGCCACCCTGTGGAGGTCCATGGTGCTGCTGCACTCTGGGTCCATGCGGTTCAGGTCAGAGACGTGGGAGGGAGACGAGTCAACTGTGAACACAACGTGTAGTACATGGGTTTATTTATGTGTAAACTGCATCAGATGTGAGCAACACTTAAATGTTCGTATGAGCTGAGCTGTTTGTTTTTTTTTCTCTTAACACATTAGCAAGTGAACCACTTAAAAAATAGGAAAAGATTTTTATAAGAACTAGTTTAACTAGTTATAATTTTAAAGTGCCTGGGATAAGACTCAAACCTGAGGAGCTTGCTCCTTTAGAATTCCTCCTCATGATTTAAAGCCATGATGATCTAAAGACTGTTGGAGCTGTTGATTTAACGTTTCTTTGCTCCCACAATTAAGATGAACTCTCTGCGTCTCTGAATGTTGTGGGTTGTCTTGGTTGACACACAGTACCTCTGGCCTGGCAGACCGGGGTGGTGATCCCTCTTTTTAAGAAAGGAGACCGAAGGGTGTGTACTACAGTGGTTTTCGTCCCAGTTTTCCCAACCAGTCCACATGTGCTTTATGGATGTGGAGGATGGAAGGAGGACCCAAGGAAGACCCAAGACACGCCGGAGGGACTATGTCTCTCTCTGGCCTGGGAACACCTTGGAGTTACCCCAGAGGAGCTGGAGGAAGTGTCTGGGTGAGGGAATTTAGGGAGTCCCATTAGATTGCTGCCCCAGCGACCCAGCCCAGCCCAGGATAAAGGGGAAGAAAATGGATGGATGGATTTTAAACAGAAAGTATCCACAATGCGTACCAACCATACCTGGACTCATCAACATCCTGTTGCGTCCATGTTTGGGCGTGCTGGCTTCTGATTGGTTGACGGTCTGCGACGCCTCCGACCTGATCTCCGGCTCACTACTCCAGCTCCTGTTCCTCTTGGCAGCATTTACATCTTTAAACGACGGACTTGAAAACCTCCTCCCGCTTCCCTCACCACTACACCCCCCACTATGCCCCGAACCCGCCCCGACCAAACGACTCCGACTGTGTGCCGACACTCTCCAGTACAGCCCCACCATGGCCAGAGCCGGGAGGTAGAAAGAAGGCACCGTGGTCCCTAGTGTCACCGCAGGACTTACTAACAACTGGATGTAGCAATCGTCTTCGGGCACGACTCTTTGCCCGCCGTTCCGTTGCCAGCACAAAATCGGTGGCGTCCACAATGTAAACGACAAAACCCACGCCGAGCCGATCATCGCCGCCGCCATCTTCCCCGTCCGCCATGTTGGATAACTTAGTGGTCGTGTCACACAGAAGTACCTATCCAAACTGATGATTAGCAAGTTCATGACCGACGCGCTGCTGAGGGCGTAGTCCAAAACTAACCACAAGTCACACACCGCTCCCCCTAGTGGCCAGTGTCCCAACAGCAGGTGCAAAGAAGACATATTCATGCAAAAAAGTCCAATGATGAGGTCCGCGATGGCCAAGCTGAGGAGGAAGTAGTTGTTGACGGTTCGGAGACGTCGGTTGACTTTGATTGACAGCAGGACCAGCGTGTTGCCGATGACAGTGATGAGGCTGAGGGATGCGGTTGCTGTGGAGATGAGGATCAGGGAGGTGGAGCTGTAGGTGACGGAGGAGGAAGAGGAAGCGTCTGAGGAGCGGGACGTGCCGCAGGAGGTGAAGGAGGAGTTTTGGTCCAGAGACTGATGCATGTCTCTGAAAGGAAAAAGAAGAAGAACAGATTTCATAGACCAAGATTAAAGGTCCTATATTATGCAAAATTAACTCTTATGAGCTTTAAGTCGTATTAGAATGTTGTCATCTTCTCAAAACAGACCTGGAGTTGTGTTTTGTTTCATTCACACATGTTTGAGTAACACTTTATTATTAATCTGTCTACATCTTCAAAGCTCAAAATGCTCCACCTTGTGATGTCAAATGAACAGCTACCTTTTACCTTTTAGTTCAGATGAGATTGGCAATTCAAGGGTTGAAATGGTTCATATGATTCTAGAGAAGGTGTATGGAGTTGAAAAACACAGGGGGACCCTTCCTGCATTAACCACATGACATCATAAGATGGAACAGAGTATTTTCTGTGTGAGCTCAGCCTACATATGCAGGGTTTGTGTGTTAAACATGTGCAAATGAAACAAAACACAATTTCAGGTTTGTTTTTGATGAGGAAACAACATTAGAACATAGATCAGAAAATTGAGTAATATGGACCCTTTAAGATGTCCAAAGGTTATTTAAAAAGCCAAAAAAAAAAAAAAAAAAAAAGATCACATAGGGTCTTTAAAATGTAGTTTAATTTGAATTTGGCATTTCCCAGTCTGTTTTCATTGTGTCCTTAGGCAAGACACTTTATCCAGTGTGTGTGGTTGGAGATGCTGTATGCACAGAATGACACCTGTAAGTGTAGAGTGAATAAATATAGCGGGCATATAGCAGTCATAACAGCTACATAAATAAACTAAAATGTTGCCGTAATATATTTTGATCAAATTCTTTATTATTCTGTGATCACTTCCCAAAGCAGAGCTACACTGGACAATATAATTAGAATAAAAATTACAACAATAATTACTACTACTACAACAACAACAACAGTGTTATACTTTAATGTTGAATGTCTCATATAGCCATTGAATCCCACTCTGAAGCTAAACATCACTGGTTGAAGGGTCAGATCCAATGACCCACAGGCTGGCAGTGTGATTCCAGCTCAAACAGAATGGTGTTACCTGTTGTTGTGTCCTTGGGCAAGACACTTAACCCATCTCGCCCCCCATTGTGTGCGTACACTGGTGTATGAAGATGTGTCTGAGTGGGTGAGTGGTTCTTTGAAGTGAAGTGTTGAGTGCCTTAAAGATGGAAAAGTGCTGTATAAAACTATGTGACCATTGACCACTGACTTTATAAACTATGGAAATGTTTCTTCAATCAGAGATTAAAATGTCTTCAACCTATTTGACAGGTCCAGAAGACTTTATTTGAAAACCTCTTGTTTTCAGAGGTTTTTTTTTATACAGAAGTTGCCACAAAGGATATTATGACTTGGAGTCAACTGGAGAAATTATAACAAATCAATAATCATAGAAATATATCAAAGCAGTAAAATAGGTCATGTTATATCTCAGTGCATAAGAGAGAATAACAGTATTTCTACAGTATTATAAGACTAAGGTGTCACTGTGCTATTGCTTTGGCATCATCATATCTCCAGTAATGGAAAAAAGTATTTAGTTACAGAATACTGAATACTTGCATTAAAGTGTATTTTATAATGTATTCGAATACATAGTCCAGAGTACTGTATTCTGAAAACTTTTACATTGAGTTGCAATTGGTAGAAGGTCCTCCAGGAAGTAGAGTCTTCAAGCTCAGGTCTTTCACTGTGTGCAACAAGTTCCTGAAGATCTTCTACCAGTCTGTGGAGGCCAGTGCCTTGTATTTCTCTGTGGTCTGCTGGGGGAGCAGCACCAGTAAAAGGGACACTCTCCTTATGACCTCTTGTATATAACTGTGATATACTGTATTTATATTATGATATTTGTTTTTTACCTTCTACATGCGTACATGCATTTATATAATTTATGTCTTATTTGACATCAGTCTTGCTATTTTTTTATTGCTAATTATTTAGAAGTTTATTACTATATTTATATATTTTTTTTACTGTGTTATTGTAATATATTGTGAGTAGTTTCCCTTGTGCATCAATAAAGTTTGTCTAAATCTAATACTATAGTGAAAAAACATGAAATATAATCTCTAACAACTTTATTTTTGCATCAATTAGAATCCCACACACAGATGCACTGCAAGAGCTGCGTTTTCTTTCCTTTTTCACTAACACCGACTGGCTCAAAGCCAATATGACACAGTGAAGTACTGCTGTGTATTCCTTTTAATTCAGGAAAGTAACTATATTCTGAATACCACCAAATGAAAGAGTAACTGTACCAGAATACAGTGACTCAAAATTATTATTCAGAATACATATTTTCACTACATGTAATCCGTTACTTCCCAACACTGTCTAGCTCAAGTCTAAAGCACTTTATAAGATTAATGTATTTTTTATTATTATTATCAAGTCAGATCTGTAGAGGGGAGAGCCAGCTCACAGTAAGAATGTAAGTTTATCAAGATATTAGTGAGCATTAAAACACCAGTAATGAAATAAATACTAGATAGGCATATTGTATGACATATAACAAGCCAAGCATTAACATCTCCATGGAGACAAGTAGAAAAGTTACACAGTGCATCTTTAAAGAGAAAATATAAAGTCATCTCTTACCGTTCCCCCTCCATGTGTGTCTCTATATGTCCCTCTGGTCTCTCTCTGAACTCCTCTTATACCGCGGAAACCTCATCTGTCGTTGTTACCAGACTCTCCCCTCCTCCGTCGGCCAATCAGCTGCAGCGGCTGGGGTCACATGAAGATCGGCCCTGTCCACCGGGACCCTGCGTGGACAGAGTGCACGGAGGGGGACACATACATTACATTACATTTTATTAGATCTGCGTGGGATTGACTCACCCAGAGACGAGCAGAGATCAGAGGAGAGGGGACATACTGCTCCTGGGTACAAGGTCTGGCATGGGAACATATTTAAAGTACACAAAAATACTGCAATAAACCATCATATTGAAATTACTTTACATCACTGACTCAACAAATTTCCGATTAGTGCAAAGGAACTGTACACACAATAAATACTGAGCTTCAGCAAAATAAAAATTATAGCTTTTGGGATATGAGATTTTTTTCTTTTTTAAGTGTTAATTTATTTTTTCTATTTTCAATTTCGAATATAAAGATAAAGAGAAAATAGATAAACCAATAATTAAAAAAAAACCTCCCATACCTCAGTCCTCTCTACATGCCACAGTCCAACATGTCACGCATACTACACTCATGAAATGAAAAAATAAATAATAATATTAACAATAAAATCAACGTCAAGCATCAACAGTCAAGTCTGGTCTTGTCAAAAGGTCCAAAAACGGTGTCCAAATTAAAGATGAGTTAAAGATCTATCCCATTCACAGACTGCAGGATCTTTCCCGGGATGCAGTACAACAATACTTTCCTGATCCAATTACTGATTTGTTCTTAATTACAAAAAAGAAAACACCATTATAAGCTAGATCTGAAAATAGTATAATATGGGACAAAACAATATCTAGGTAAGTTAAAATGACTTCAATTAAAAACATTTGACTTTATTTGAATAGATTCTACTTGACAAGTCAAATGATCTACCAATGGAATAAGTGTGTTTGTCTTAATTTAAGAAACATTAGGTTTTGTTTCTTATTTAAGTGCAAAGAGTTGTTTTTCTTAAGTGTAGCAAGATGTATTTTCATATTTTAAGTTCAAAAAGTCTCGTTCCATTGGTAGATCATTTTACTAGTCAAGTGAATTTTACCCAAATCATGATGAAAATGTCTTAATTCATGTCATCCTAACTTGACTAGATTTGAGTTTTTGCAGTTTAACCTCACCATAGAGACAAGATAATGGCACACTCCCCTAGAAATGTTACACAGTGAAGCTTTAGTAAACAAAACTATAATTTATAAACTACTCTTCTAATGACCACCTGAGCTTTTTTTTTTTTTAAATAATCTTTTTTGCAGTGCAGTACAACAATAGTTTGTTGATCCAGTTACTGATTTATTTTTAATTACAAAGTTCAGTGAGGGAATTCTGGGACATAAGAATACTGAGAATGAGAAAAACTTGTATGTGTATCTGCAAGTTACAGTCTGGAATTTTGGACATAGGAGATCATTTCCTAGTGAGCCAGAGTGTTGGAGACGTGTGGAGACACTTTAAAAAAAAAAATTCCATCCAGTCCTTGTATTTGCAGAGGTCTTACCCACTCCACAAAACACCTGAAGCAAATTTGTTATTATACCAGACTGTCCATGTGAATGGCTGTGTTGATAGAATAATATTTGAAATAAAACTAACCTTGCATCGCATGAATCGTCGCATGTTGAGGGACTATTTTCTCATATATCAGTCTGCCACTGCTAAGCTTTCTATCAGGAAGTACAACTCACTGCTGCTGCTCAGACATAAATCCTTCAAATGCAAGGTTGGTTTTACTTCTTAAATTATTCTATTAACACAGACATTTACATCGACAGTCTGGTGTAATAATAGATTTGCTTCAGGTGTTTTGTGGAGTGGGTAAGACTGTTTTTATTGACAGGCTAACTATGGCCATTGACATGCACTAGCCTAGCACCAGTGACCTCTGCAAATACAAGGACTGGATGGAATATTTCAAAAAGTGTCTCCACAAGTCTCCAACACTCTGGCTCACTAGGAAATGAAGTCCTATGTCCAAAATTCCAGACTGTCCCTTTAAAGCCCTTCAGACACAGGTTCAGTTGTGATTATAGTGAGTTTTTTTTTTTTTTTTTTTTAAACAGCAAGAGTGCAGGCCATACAGTTTCTTTACAAGGCATACTGAAAGACATCTCATAAAAGGATGGAGAAAGCAGATTTACATCAATCGAATCAAAATCGCAAACTGAAATCATGATTATACTCTTTTTTTTTCTTTCTTTTTTTTAAAAACTTACTTACTGGACTTATACCAGATCATAACAGGACTAGTCCAAGTTTTAACCAGGTCTAAAATAGCACTACAAGCATTACAGTAACTCTAAATAAAGCCTATGGCAGCTGGCTCTGGTCTAAATCACTTTAAAGAGACAATAAACACTAGATTAAAACAGAGTTAAACCAGGACTGAGGTTTCACAGTCACACGTCAGGAGCCGGGCACACACACTCTGTCACAGGGCGAGAGAGGAAGAGGAGATTTTATTACAGACTCATCATAGACTGTATCGAGAACATCTATGAGACTGATTCAAAGAAGTGTTGTCTGGGTCCTGGTTTGACCTTCAGTTCAAATGGACATTTAAAGGTTCTATATTACACAAAATTGACTCTTGTGAGCTTTAAAATGTGTTGTAATGTTGTTACCTCGTCCTCGTCCAGACCCAGCTTGGTGTTTTGTTTCATTTACACATGTTTGAGTGATCCTTTATTATTAAATTGTCTACATCTTCAAAGCTCAAAATGCTCTGTTCCACCTCGTGAAGCAGTAGTTTTTAAGTTAACAGCTCCTTTTACCTTTAGTTAAGTAGAGACTGACAATTCCAGGGTGGGTTAAAATCATCCAAATGATTTCAGTGAAGGTATATGGAGTTTAAAGAGACAGTGTGGAATTTTGGACATAGGGCCTCATTTCCTAGTTAGCCAGAGTGTTGAAGATGTGTGGAGACATTTTTAAAAAAAATATTCCAGCAGAAGTTGTTGCCGCTAGGCTAGCGCATGTCAATGGCCATAGTTAGCATATCACTAAAAACAGTCTTAACCCACTCCACAAAACACCTGAAGCAAATCTATTATTACACCAGACTGTCGATGTAAATGTCTGTGTTGATATAATAATTTTAGAAGTAATACCAACATTGCATTTGAAGGATTTATGTCTGAGCAGCAGCAGTGAGTTGTATTTCCCAATAGAAAGCTTGGCAGCGGCGGACAGATATATGAGAAAATAGTCCCTCAACATGCAACGATTCATGTTTCAAGGTTAGTTTTATTTCAAACAAATTCTATTGAAACAGACACTGACAGTCTGGCGTTATAATCGATTTGCTAGCTGTGGGGTCCTGAAAGTCTTAAAAAGGTCTTACATTTTATGATCCTAAATTAAGGCCTTAAAAAGTCTTAAATCATGTTCTCCAAGTCTTACTTTTTTTTTTTTTTTTTTTTCCTACAAAGGTCTTAAATTTCATTAGATTATTTTTTGTATACTCAAATGGACTGCAGTGCAATGTTAAATGGACGGAGGAAAAAAAAAGTGAAATCACATAACCTGAATGAACATCTAATTTGGAGTATGCACAAACAATACTTTGATTTCTGGTGCTGGCGGCAGCGAGTAAACAATCAGTGCAGTGGAGAAAGACGTTGGATGGGTCATGGGGAAGTGTAGGTTTAATCCACACTGGCGCTTACATTCTAGACATAGTATTAGTAGTTGGTTGGGCATTATTAGAATTGGATCTGGTGTTTTTTGCCCGCATAATGGGTCTGATGTTGGTCTTAATTTTCAATTAAGTGGTCTTAAAATGTCTTTAAAACGGCTTTAAATTTGGGGTAGTCAAACCTGGGGATACCCTGGGGTTTTTAATGGCAGGCTAACTATGGCAATTGACATGTGCTAGTCTAGCACCAGTGACCTCTGCAAATACAAGGACTGGATGGAATATTTTTAAAAGTGTCTCCACACGTCTCCAACACTCTGGCTCACTAGGAAATGAGGTCCTATGTCCAAAATTCCAGACTGTCCCTTTAAAACCACAGCAGAGCACTTTCTGTTTTACCACATGCACTTATAAAGGGGTCTGATGCAAAAAATTTACATTTTTCCCTCACCAAAAATGTTCCCGAAGAGGTTTTAGATGTCATCCATGCATGTTTGAGTAATCTAGCAATCTCTCCTGAGCCCTATTCAAACCCTTTTTACTTTTAGCTGTAAGATCCCATGCTCCCACATGACAATTCTACATGAATATACAAAAACATGATACAAAACTGCACACAGCAACTTGACAAACCTGACGCGATGTGCAATAGTTTCATCAGCAGGATGTACGCTGATTATGTTGTGATAGAGCTCTGAAGGGGGAGTGACTTAGTGTAGAGAGCAAAGAGAGGAGGGGATTCAGAGTGTCAAAAAAACTAAAGTGAGGTATATGAAACATGTTATTACATTGTTTTTTTTACAAATATAGCATCTTCGAAACAATAAAAAGTAACATGGTGATCTAAATATGTTATGTGTTAAGAGTTAATGCCCCATAGATGTAAAATACTGCCTCTTAAATATCTTTATTACACAAAATTGACTTTTGTGAGGTCTAAGCCATGTTATAATGGTGTTACCTTCTCAAAAACATACACTACCAGTTAAAAGTTTTAAAACACCACACTTTTCCATTTTTTACTGTTTACTGTTGACCAAAACATACTAAACTTTTGATTCATGAAAGTGTCCACCTTTGGCAGATATAACAGCTGAACACGCTTGTGGCTCTTCTATTTACAATAAAAATCAAATATTCTTCAGAAAGTTCTTTCCAAGTCTGTTGCAGAAGTTCTCAGAAATGTGTGGCACTTGTAGGTTGCTTGGCTTGAACTCTTCTGTCCAGTTCATCCCAAACCAGCTCGATGTGTTGGACACTCAATGTTTTTCAAGCTCACCATCTTGTTCTTTTTTTTTTCTGAGGTACTTTTTTTTTTTTTTTTTTTACCTCTGGCTGCTCAGTTCTTACCTTTGTACCATTTCAAGCTTTTTACTGGACTTGCACAACTTGAATTGCAATAAATAACTGGAAAAATTAGGGTGTTCTAAAACTTTTGACCGGTTGTGGATCTGGAGTAACCTTTTATTATTAGTCTATGTTTCCAAAGCTCAAAATGCTTTGTTTATGATGTCAAGAAGCGATCATTTTCAAGTTAACCGCTACTTTTTACCTTATAAATAAGTCTAGTGAAAGTATATGGAGTATATAAACACTTCCTGTATTACCACGACATCACAAGGTGGAACAGAGTGTTTTCCGTTTGAGAGAACTAAATATGCAGGATTTGTGTGTGAAACAAAGCACAAAATACAGGAAACAACATTATAAGATCTGAAAATAGTGTAGCAGATGGCACTAAAAAAGTTACCAGTGGTGGAACGTAACAAAGTAAAAGTAGTACTTAAGTAAAAGTATTATACTTAATTATACATTTGAGGTAGTTGTACTTTACTTAAGTAGATTTTAGTGGATATGTTTTACTTTTACTTCAATACATCTGAAAGTAGGTGTCTGTACTTCTTACTTCACTACATTTTGAACAAGACTGAAAAGTAAAAGTATTTTATATTATCGTTTGAGACCTGCTGAAAAGCCGGAGGGTTTATTTTTAACATGTTTTTAGTCTGACAAAATAAAAATATACAAAAAATAAAAACAGCCAGGGAAAATTATTAATTCACCTGTTTCCGTTGAGCAAAATTACTACTTTCAAATTTGATTGGATCTCAAAATCTGCTAAATACTTTTACTTTTTACTCTTTTTTAAACAGGTTCTTTAACACTTTTATTAGAAGATTTTTCATATGATACTTTTACATTTACTTGAGTATTTTTTTTTTTTTTTTTGCTTTACTTAAGTAACAAAATTGAGTACTTCTTTCACCACTAGAAAAGTTACACAGTTAAGGTTTAATACACAAAACAGACCACACGACACATTCATCAGGTTCATCCAGATAATTTATTAACTACTCTTCTAATGACAACCTGAGCCGTTTTTTACATTGCCAGTTGCTAATAAAAGCAATAATAGAATAAACTGGTAAAAGACGTGGGTTTGAAGCTTGATAACATTTTGAATTTCTGTAACATTTCTTAATCCGACCACGATCTCGTCAAAAATGTTTAATTACAAAAAAAAAATCGATAGGGTCTGTACAAGCCGGCGCCACTTTGCGACGCGGTAAAGCAAAAATATTCGTAATTTGTACCGTTTTGTAAATTTAGTTTGTCGTTTTTTAAATTTTACAGGGAGAAGAATGAGAAATCTTTTCTCTGGTGTCTCGATATTTGGGGGTTTTGTAGTTGTAAAATGTTCGTTGATCAAGTAAAACCAGGATCATTCAGTTCAACAGCTATCCAAAAAAAATCACTCTGAAAACGCAGGTTGGTTTTGAAAATGGTCAAATTTTGTACGCAAAGTTAGGGTTAGGTTTTATTTAAAGGTCCTATATTACACAAAATTGACTCTTGTGAGCTTTAAGCCAAGTTAGAATATTGTTACCTCCTCAAAAATGTATCTGGAGTTGTGTTTTGTTTCATTCACACATGTTTGAGTCTGTCTCCAAAGCTCGAAATGCTCTGTTCCACTTTGTGATGTCATGAAGTGATCATTTTCAAGTCAACTTCTACCTTTTACCTTTAGTTCAGTAGAGATTGGCAATTCCAGGGTTAAAAACATCCAAATGATTCCAGTGAAGGTGTGTGGAGTTTAAAAACACAGTGGAGTGCTTCCACATTACCACATGACATCACAAAGTGGAACAGAGTGCAGAGTTTGAATGTTAAACATGTGTGAATGAAATAAAACACAACTCTAGGTCTGTTGGCGATGAGGAAACAACATTATAACAGATCAGAAAACGGCGTAATGTAATATATTTTTAACTAGTCCCAGAATATTCAGGTTCTCTTTTACAGACTGAATCAAAGCAAAATTCTCTTCAACTTTAAACTGTTTTCAGAAAAATTTAACTCAAAGCTACCATTTTTAACTAAATTGGATGACCACTAGATGCTATCTACATTACTGCTGCCTGACAGTGTGTCTGCTTTGGCCATCTACTGGTAAGAAATTATCAAATGACTTTACACATGGCAGCTTTAAGTCTTGTAAATTACATAAACTGTATAAAGAAGTGGACTAAGAAAGTGTGACGTCACCCATAGTGTTCGGCTCAAGTCAAATTACGCTCACCGTGGCTCAATCGACTGGCTCCAATTCACTTTGTACTGAAAAACTGTCACCCGTATCTCTAATTGCAGCTGTCAGCAGGGGCGTCAGATTGAAAGGGTAAAGAGTATTGTTTACCCGGGGCCCAGTGCAAACATGGGCCCCTCATGAAGTCTTCTAATATGCATTTTTCTTTAGACAACATGTAAAGAAACAGATTCATATCTAGGGCGCAGAATTTACGCTACACCCGAAGCTGTCAGACTCCTCATTTTTGTCTTAAAATGTTCATATTAACCCACTGTACATGATCCTGGTGTTTTTATTTCGCTATTTTGTGTATCAGTCAAGATGGGAACATTAATACGAGACAGACCAGGTGCCAGGAGTTTACCTTCAACAGCCTCGCTTCGTATTGGCTCTTTGGTTGCTATGATACTCATAGTTGGATTCCAAATATGGAACTCGGATACAAATTCGCCCCTATAACCGCCAGCCTTGGTGAGCTTCATTTGACTGGAGCCGAACGCTATGGGTGACATCACACGCTTAGGCTACGTTCAGACTGCAGCTAGAAGTGACCCAAATCAGATTTTTTTGGCCCCTATGTGACCTGTATCTGATCTTTTAATGACACAGATCCGATTTTTTCAAATGCAACTTCAGTCTGAACAGCCAGGTTGCATTCATCCCACCTACACGACAGACTCTGAGTTTAATCACTGAAGGGAAAGCGAGGTTAGTGAGTTAATTAATATTTGGGGGGATCGCTGTATTCAGGCCAAATTGGAGGAGTCTTATTGGAACTGTGCGTTTTTTGAAATGATTGCCAAAGAAATGTCTGAGGCGGTCATTTTTTTGGCACAGGCGGTCCTGGCTTCAATGTCAACAAAAAATAAAGAGTCTGCGAGCCAAATACAAGGTGGCTAAAGACTCAAACAAAATAAGCAGCCACGGATGTGTAATCTGTCATTTTATCAAGAACTGGACCATAATTTGGGAGACAACCTCAGCGTTTAGGCTACTTCTGTAAACACTGAGCACACTCGCTGCGTGCAACATCGTCGTGTCCTCCAATGCACATACAGGACACTTTTAGGGCATTTAAAGTTCACGCCAGAGATCACATACCAAGTCACATTTAACTGGAAATGTGAATGACCTCGCAAAAAAATCTGATTTCACAAAAAATCTGAATTGAGCGTTAAGTCCTGCAGCCTTAGTCCACTTTGGAATACAGTGTAAGGGCAAGAGGCACTAACCGAAATTAGTTTGAAAAGAGTATTGTAAAAGTTAAAGAGAAATTTACTGAGCTCCACTTCCTGTCTATCTAATTCGTAGTTGACCATTTTGTCCAAAACCAACCAAGTTTTCCATGTATTCTTTCCTCCGAAGCCGCTGCAGATTAGGCGGGTTAAGCCCTGATTTGTTAACCCTGCGAACACACAAAATCCACCAAGTAAACGGCCTCCGAAAATAGGTCCATGATAACAATTCACTCACGCAAAAAACAGGCGAAACAACTGTCCAAGACTTTAAAAAAATGAACAAAATATTTTAAAAAGCAGCCAACAAACTGTACAGTCCCGTCACATGAAAGAAAATTTGAGCAAAGATTCAAGTTTCTTTCTGTAAAAGTTTGGGGAGGAAGAGGATCAAAACAGCTGAGAAATAAAATGAAAATTCAATCATATGTAACACAGACATTTTAGGGGAAAACTGTTCAAATCTGAATGAAAAAATGGAAAAATATTTGACTTAAACTTTCGGTTTTCAGTAACTTTAAATTTGTCAATAAAATCCACAATAAGGACTAAGACAAAGCTGCCATTGTGAGGACTTTTTGATTGAAAAATTATGTTTCAAATGTGGCATGAAATGATAAAAGTTTTGGTTTGTTCAGCTCATATAAGGAAGATAGAAAATAAATGCAAAACCAGAAAATGTATGAGCGAATTGTGAAATATTTGGCATCGAATTTAAATCAGGGAGGGCATTTGGCATAACAAGTAAACGTACAAATCATTGGGCTACAATTAAAGGGTTGATAACATTTGGAATCTAAAATTTTATGTGTCAAATTGGCAAAAAATTATGCTTGAAATTAAAAATCAGTAAGAACCATTGTATGGTTGGGCATCTGACGTAAAATCAAACAGACACGCACATCCTTACTTCTTGCTACTAGCACTAAACCTAAAGAAATGATGAATGAAAACTATGGAAACATCATGAGAATCAAATTGACAAAGAAAATGACCAAAGACTTGAATCAAATTGAGAAAAAAAAGAACATTGTGGTGCAAAATCAGATAATAAACGGCAGGATTTTAGGTCAGAGTTGAACAGTTTTCCCCGCTTTCACACATTTGCCTCAGCATTTTTACAACAGTATTAATAGTGCAACCAGGTGTGTGTGTGACAAAATTTAAGTTGAAATGTTTGTCTTTCTTAACAGCCTTAAAAATATAAAGTGCATATGACAGGTAAAAGTCCTATATTGCGCAAAACAAACTCTTGTGAGCTTCAGAATTCAGAATTACCTCCTCAAAAAATGTACCTGGAGTTGGGTTTTGTTTCATTCACACATGTCATGTACATGAGTAACCCTTTATTATCAGTCTGTCTACCTCTCCAATGCTCCAAACACTCTGTTCCAATTTGTGATGTCACGAAACGGTAGTTTTCAAGTTAACAGCTACCGTTTAGCTTTTGTTCAGTAGAGATTGGGAATTCCAGGGCTTGAAATAACCCAAATGATTCCAGTGAAGGTGTATGGAGTTAAAAAAAACAAAAAAAAAACACAGTGGAGCACTTCCTGTATTACCGCGTGACATCACAAGGTGGGACAGAGCGTTTTCCGTTTGAGAGAAGGACTCAGGCTAAATATGCAGGGTTTGTGTGTTAAATGTGTGAAGGAAACGACAACGCAACTCTGGGTGTGTTTGTGATGACGAAACAATATGAAATGTGTAAAGGTAATGCCATAACTGTTACCTAGCAACCATAATATGAACAAGGATCAAAACTTTTCTAACTTACACAAGAATAATTAAAAAAAAAACATTATTCAGGTTTAAACTGTCAAAAAAATACCTTCCTTGCAAATAAGTTGTCTCTACATTTTGAATAGAATCTTCCATGTTGATTAGAAATGCGCTGATTTGGTATTAGAATCAGATATCGGCGCTCATATTGACAATTTTTGGTGGATCTGATATCGGTTCTAAGATATCGGTTCAGCAGATATCCCATTTGCTCTACAAACTGGTGTAATAAGACAATTTACCACCCAATGTTGGTCCAAAATGTCTCCTAGTATTATTAAAAGTAGTATTTTTACAAAGCAGTTCTGTAGTTACTTGAAATGTTAAATAAAGTAAATAAGTTACAGAACATATTAAAGGAAATAAATGATATTTTCATTCTCTGCTGTAGTATCGGTTGTAATATTACATGGAAATAATAATTCCGAATTTAGGTTTTACATAGAAAATACATTAAATCGCTTTTATTTAATTCCGCTCAATGTCTCTGGGCTCAGGAAGGGTTCGGATTGGACAGGGACATGAACGTATTTACGTCGACCAGCAGAAAAGACACACTTCAGCTGCTACCGGCTTTTTTGTCAACTCGGTTTGTCGTCACGCCACGGGCAAAAAAATGATCCGAACTTTTTTCGCAGTCGTTTCGATGATAATGAAGCAGCAGCTGGAGAATTCTCATTACGTCTGTCAGCTGAGGAGGAGAAGGGAAGAGAGTCGGAGAAAGGAGGAAGAAGACAAACCGAATCGACGGCTGCTCTACCTCAGCCCACATCCCGCTCGCAAATCCAAAGAGCAGTGGATGAAAGTCCGAAGCCAGGACTGGTGGAGCTGGATCGTCCGGGTTGCATCAGAAGGGCGACCCAACGAGCATGCACTGAATGATCGGAATTATTTTTAAGAAGAATAAACATTTACATGATCGAGGGATAAACTAATTTGGCTTTAAACTCAGAATAAAACACCCACTTACTTCGGAATTAAGTTTAAGTCTGAATAATAATTTTCATTAGGAATTAACTGTTTGCATGGTGTTTTTAAAGCACATTAATTTTTATTTGGAATTAAAGTTCTCATATAAATGTGGAAACTGCAGTATTAGAATCAGCATTTAATATCAAGTCTATTCCTTACTACTGAAATCAAGTTTGAAATTTTAGCATCGTGACAGCACTGGGCGCAGGTGAAGAGGAGGAGGCGGAGAGGCTGAGGCGGCTGGTGGCTGTGCTGCTGCGGTGGTGGAGGGCAGAAAGAGTGCGTTTATATGGATCAGTGCGTGTGTTCAGATGCAACGTTAAATACAAAGCCAAAGTATCAGTATCGGTGTTGATAACATAAGTAGGGGGATTTTGTTTTAGAACGCACCTCTTCTTTCTGTATTTTTGTACTTTTTTGACTTTTTTCCCCACACAAATTGCCACTGAACTGGTGTAAAACTATGATAAATATTGAAAACGTGTACTATCCCGCCAAAAGAAGTCAGAAAACAGAAAAACATGAAAACCTGTCATATGCACTTTTAACAAATATGTGATATACGTGTTTGTAGAATGGGCAACATGCGGTATAGATTTCAGTCATTGGATTTCATTGGTTTTTGAGCAGTTTCAAAATTATAGGCCATGATACAAGTCTGAGGGCTGATTGGTGGAAAACAAAAGGACGCTCGGTTCTGATTGGTTGTTGAAAAGAATGTCTTAAGAGTATTAGAAGAAGTGTAAAAAGATCTTACAATGTTGTCAGTATAGTCAAAGGGTTTTCAAAGCAGTAAAAGCAAAATTATTCATAGAAATTTATAGAATAGTAGCTGCTGGCTTCGAAGTCGATTAGCTGCGTAGAGAAGACAATTCAAGATATAGTCCGTCACTTGTTTGTTTCCATGGATACGTCATTGCCTCGCCTGGAATGTTCCACGGTATGACGTTAACCGCATCTGTCTCCGAGGAAACAAGCAGCAGACTTTTCCGAGTTATTTTTGTGTAATAAAAGCAGGAGCATCTGATTAAGGGCAAATTCGATATGTTTAACGCTATACTGCGGAACATTTCAGGCTGGGTAACAACATCTCCATGACGACAAACAAGCGATCAGTGGATCACTCGCCAGAAAATTACATAAGTGCGCCTTTCAATCTTTCAAAATCGTTTATGAGATTCAAAATGTGAGATTGCGTTGACAGAATTTACTTAACAATTACAAAAAAAGTAGGCAATGTGACTTAAGTGTCTTGCTTAAGGACACAACAATACACCCTGGGGTGAGCTGGAATCGAACCGCCAAGCTTTGAGTTGGAGTTCTAAAGGAGCTGTACCTGATTTTTTAATGTAACAGAGTAAAACCGATTTGGCCTCACTACAGATGTATCGTAAAAGCAACTCTTAAAGTAAAAAATTGAGAACTGAGAGAAATTAGCATGCTAGTTGTTGGGACTCCACTCTGGTCTCTGAAAGTTATGAAAAGTGCTAATAAACACATAGTGGTGAATAATTAGGATACTCGGAATGCCTAAAGTAAGTGAGGAATAACTTTGGACCACTACAAACCATTTAAAATGATCTAGTTAGTTTTTTCACATTTGTAAGTCAGCAAAAATCAGGTACAGTGCCTTTAATATTTACTGTACTTCACCTATTGATACTTTGCAGCTGATGTCATCAATATTCCATGAGGATGTAACGCTAACTGTAAGCTCTGTTACTCAAAAGACTGTTATTCAGGTTTGATTTCAGTTTGATTTTCAACAAAAAAGGTGAAAGATACTAGTCATGCTAGCGCCACCTAGTGTCTCTGCTCATTTAAATTTCTCTCCAGCGATGAGGTCAGGAATCGGAATACACTAGACGGTTTGTACGAACCCCAGAAGTGCGAGTCCAGGCACCAGCCAATCAGCGAAGAGCCATACATTCTGTGTTGGCAATGGTTAGCGAGATCGAGGATTTAAAGCCGGAACAAAGAGGTTTGTTGAATTTTATCAAGGGAAAAGATGTTATTGTCCTTCTTCCTATGGGATTTGGGAAAAGCTTAATATACCAGTTAGCCTGGTTAGTGTATGTCACGACCAAATAGCAGCGATACCTAACCCTAACCGTTGAGTGAACAAATCCTAAAGCTGCAAGGTCAGATGGTTTCCATAGCTGATTAATCAATCTTTTTTGAGAGGGTTTGCTAATCTTTCAATTGAGTCACTAGATTTTGGTGACCAGATTTTCAAAATCAAAAACTGTGTTGTGTTTGGTAATAATAAAATTGTGAAAGGAGTGCATATTTGAGAAAAAAAATCATTCTGCACTCCACTCATTCATGACTAACGTGTCAGTATAGTCACATTTTCTTTGTGCTTTGGTAATTTTAAGCAGCTTTACTGTATTTTTCCTAAACAAATGACAATTTATGCCACTTTACTGTTGGCTGGGATCAAAAATTAGTCAAAAATTGTGACAGTCCTATTTTAGACTTGATGTAGTTCTGGTTTAGTCTTAGCCTAGACCTGGTTAAGACCTGGTTTAGATCAAATTGGTCAAAAATAAGGACACCTGGGAAATTTCTTGTATAAACAAATGGGACAAATCACTGGTTTTGTATAAATCTGCTGGGACAGGGGACACAAAGCTCAAGGCTGGGACTGTCCTGGGTAAATAGGGACGTCTGGTCACCCTAGTCACCACGGTAACTTATGAAAATTCTGCCACCGCCACGTAGAACACCCCCCGCGCGATGTCATTGCAAAGTATCAATACACGAGCATTTAGATTATGGATTTGTTAACTTGTTTAAATGCTTTGTTTGGGTGCCACTGACTGAAAGTATTGCAAAAAAGTAAATAGAAAGTAGTCATCAATAAAACTTAGTTTAGCACGTTAGCTTAGCACGTTAGCTTTACTTTAAGCTATTAACACCGCTTTGGTCAACCACAAAATTGTTGAAAATCTAGCTACTAACTTCAACTTAGCTGCCTTCAAATGTAGCAGACCATGCATGCATTTAAGTTTTTACGACAAAACCAGTAGTAGTTCGGAGCGTCCCTTAATTTGACCCAATCAGCACAGGTAACCATAATTGTACAGTTTTGTAACTTCAACACATGGTTTAGAATAAAAAGGGGGGAAAAAAAAAAGAAAAAAAAACCCCGAAAAATTCCAGGCTTCAAGAAATTTTCGCCAATTTTTCACAATTTTACACTTCAATCACACACAATCACATGGCACCAATGCAGCACGGTTTTTGGAGTAAAAAGTTTTTCGTCGGTAGTATCCTCCACGTTTATCGTCTTTTTTTTGTACAAGTCCCGCCTCAAACGATGGCACTTTTTGATGATTTTTTTTTTGTTTTTACCAAAATTCCTCTTCCGTGTTTTTTTTGTTTTGTTTTGTTTTTTTGTTAAACCTTTCAAGTACAAGCCCTTTCTTCCATTTCTTCAACTGTGGAATGATCAAGCAGTTTTTGTTGTTGTAAGTGCACGAAAATGCCACTTAAGGAGCACAAGGGCAACAGTTTGAAGTTTTTTCCATGTTTTTTGATAGTAAAATCTCTTAAAATGCAAAGAAAGGGGAAGGGGTACTTGTAGTAGTAGTAGTAGTAGTAATAGTAGTAGTAGTAGTAGTAGTAGTAGTAGTAGTAATGTTCTTGGTATACCATGTCCCTTCAACTCCAAGCAGCACCGTTTCAATGAGAGATAGACAGGGTTCCTACACAATTTGCTTGCTGAATTTTCAAAATTTTTACATGCAAATTTCCATTTTTTAAAAACTGAAAATTATTTGAGCATGATCCAGTGAACTGTTTATGTAAAATACTGGGGCCAATGCAACAGCTTTAAATTTGATTATCTTACTGCTCACTGTACAGATTAAAATAAAAAAATTGTAGTTTTTTTTTTTTTTTATCTAAAGTACTAGTTTAGGCCTGGTTAATCCTGTAGTACTGCAGATTATTTCACAATTTCAGTCTCAACTTTGGTCTGGTTTAGGTCTACATAATTCTTAAATAACGTAATCTTTAGTTTTTTAGAACCATTTTGGAAGATAGGTACATGAAAACGTTTTAAATATCCTGTAAAGTTTTAAAACCACTGCTCTATTGAATCCCAATTTTCAAATACGAGAAAAACTCTTGACATTATTAGAAGAAATTCCTGACAGGAAAACTTACAACTGTTAAAAAAAAGTAATCTTATTTCTAATTAACAATGCTGCAAAATTGTTAGCTTATTACAAAAAAAAAAAGAAAAAAAAAGTAAACGTTTTGCTTTTTTAATCTACAAAAGTTTACAAAATCTTTCACTGTATGTTTTAATGAAATGTACACAGATGATGTAAGGTTTTATTTTGACTGCACATCAGTTTATTTTCCAAACAGTAAAAAAAGTAAATTAAATAAGGAAAAAAAAAAAAAAATCAAAACATGATATTTTACAACCGAACTCTACTAAAAAAACAATTTCTTATTTTTGGCCTGCAGAAGGCAAACTCCTATTGCCCAAACGACAGACTTTACAATGAGCAGTGGTTCTCAAACTGGATATTTGTGACATGATACAACTGAAATGTCTATTCATATCTAAATGCTTTAAAGACACTGTGGAACTTTCATGGTGGCGGATACAGCGCCTCCTTGTCTCCATGGTGATGTCATTGCTTTGCCGAGAACGTTACGCAGTACAGCATTCGGTGTACCTATTCTGACAGACACCATCAGGCAAAGTGACACGTCAGATCAGTGGAGAGGCGACTCCGCTCACAGTAAGAACACGTGTTTTTCAAGGCATTTTTCAGCTATAAACACACCTGTAATGTGATAAATACTAATAGACAGATACGTTTAATGCCATAGTGTGGGAAATTCCAGGCACAGCAATAACATCTCCATGGAGACAGACTGGTGGCATATCCCCTCTTTAATAAAAAGTTACGCAGTGGAACTTTAAGATTTGTCATTCTTACACTGTTGAAAAGCAGTTCTAAATATGCCACTTTGTCACAGGCCAAATGTGGATTTTGCAAGTCAGAATTAAGTAACCAAAAAATGCAACATAATTTACAAAAAATTATAAATACAATGGCCCCATACTTTTTTTAACCTGGAACCTGCTAAAACCAAGCATCCACCTGTGTATCTGTGTAGGAACCCTGGATTATAAGGCTTTTTCTTTGTTTTTGTAACTTAATCGCCATTTCGAGCGTCTCTTTCTTGCGTATTCTCGGGGGCCTACCTACTGTACGGGTCGCCATGGTAAGAGTTTGGACCTGGACTGGGGGCGGGGCTTTGGGAGGAAGGGGAGGAGTTTGATGAGGAAGAAGCAGAAGAGGCGGGTCCTTCGAATACATCCTCCAATGAGAGCAGGGACTGAGGCCCCCACGCCGACTGCGCCTGGACAGATTGGGAAAAGGGGCGGGGCAAAGATGACGACGACGACGAAGTATAAACAGAGGAAATCGCCATGGACGAAGAGGGGGCGGAGTTTGAGCAAGAAGGCGCGGGGCTGCCAGAAGTTGAAGGGGTGTGGCGTGTGCTTAAATGGGCAGGGCTATGTGTTGGCATAGAGGGGGAGGGGGAGTGGTTAGAAGAGGAAGGGGTGTGGGTAGGTGTTGAAGAGGCGTGACCAGAAGTAGAAGGGGTGTGACCAGTAGTTGAAGAGGCGTGGCTAGGTGTTGAAAGGCTGCGACTGGAAGTGGAAGAGGCGTGGCTTGATGTCGAGGGGGCGTGGCCATTTGTCGAAAGGCTATGACTACAAGCTGAAGGGGCGTGGCTAGAAGTGGAAGGGGCGTGACCAGGTATCGACGGAGAGTGGCAAGGTGTCGAAGGGGCGTGGCTCGAAGTGGAAGGCGCGTGGTCTGACGTGGAGGGGGTATAGCCCGACGTCGAAGGGGCGTGGCCTGTGGCGGTCTGGGAGCCGCGGTGGATCCGGTGGCTCACGATGATGTTGTTGCCGAAGCCGCCCATCGAGGCCATGGTGGTGCTCTGCTCGCGCTGTACCACCGCCGTCATCCCTCCCTCCGCGATCAGACGCCGGATACGTGCCAGAGCGTCCTCCCCCGACACCAGCTCCGAAGACTCTCCTGAAAATTAACAACAGGTCATGAAGCAATGGACTCTTGGTATATGCAGACATATAATCGAAAACTGAGATGTAAAATGTATCTAATCAAAATCACAATTTGAATGGCCACATTTAGAGCAACTTAAAAGTGCATTGCTCAACTTTTCTGGTGGAGGGTCCGTCACCTGCTTGTCTCCATGGAGATGTTATTGCTTTGCCTGGAATGTTCCACGGTATGACATTAAACACATCTATCTAGCATTTATTCATTATGGGTGTTTCTATTGCTAACTAATTCTCTCTGTGAATAGGGTTGCCTCTCCACAGATATGACCTATTTATAGTTTAAAGTTGTCTCCCTTGAGATAATTAGGTTTAATCTCTACTGTGGAACATTCTTTACCAGCAACCTGCAGCAACCACCAGCAATCCTCTTTTATTCTTCTGTTGTGGCTCACTGTGACTTCAGAAAATAAATAATGAGTATTTAATTATAATGTATTTTCATTTTAGTTAGTTTGTTTTTAAATGTAATTATAAATTTGCAGATAATAGTAATCTTGTAACATTCAAATAAAATGTTTTTAATATTTTTGTCACTCAAAATATGTGTCAAAGCCACCGATGAGCGACACTCGGTACAGATCTGGCAACCCAGACTTACCAGGTCCTACGCCAGCAGCATGATTTATTGAGCTTTTCGACCCATGGTAGGTAAATGATAGATAAATCCAAGAAAAGAAAATTTTCTGAAGAAAACAGAACGTTTAATGCTACAGGGGCAGGCTTCCTGTGCCTCAGAGAATAGACTTTAAAACAGCTCTGCTTGTGTAGAAGTCTCTCCATGGCCGAGCACCAAAGTACATCTGTGACATGTTAGTGTCATATGAACCATCTCGCACTCTGAGGACCTCAGGGACCAGCCTCCGGCTGGTGTCCAGAATCAGGACTAAACAAAGGGAGTCAGCGTTTCAGGTTCATGCAGCTAAAACCTGGAACAGTCTTCCTGAACATGTGAGACAGACTCTTCTGTGACGCTGTTTAAATCCAGACTCAAAACATTTCTGTTTAACTGTGCATATAACTGAAAGGTTTTCATTCCACACTCTTCTCTCCAATTTATGTCTCTCTTTTTTAATTTTAATCTTCATGATTATTTATGTTTTGATTTGTTTTTATTATGATTTTAATGTATTTCTTATTCTGTAAAGCACTTTGAATTACTTTGTGTACGAATTGTGCTATACAAATAAACTTGCCTTGCCTTGCCTTGCCTAATTTGCTTTCACAGCTGATGAGACTGGTGCACACAGAACTACACGTGACAAAATGATGACGAATACAAGCAGATGACAGTTTTGGTTCGCCTTGGGTGGATAATCTAAGTTTGGATTTTTATTTCCTGTGAGGAGGACTCAAATAGACATTGAGGAATAATGTGTTTAATGCAGCTTTGAGCACATTTAAGTTTTACAGAAACGAAACTTAAAAGCACAAGGGTAATTTGCATAAACTATAAGTGCTCATTGTGTTGCTGATGCAGTTCAGCTTCTGTTGAACTAAAGGACATGATTCAGTGGAATATGAATGTTCTTCCTATGACAGAGGGGTGTTCTGCTGATGGTGAGTCTGTTCTGTCCTTCTATCACATTGGAGATGGTTCATGTTAAACTTTTCAGAGATTATATGTGTACAAATTATACTATAGACTGTATATACATGAATGGACATATATTCTCTGTAGCATTTCATTGATTTCATAAATGCAACACGCTATAGTCTTTTATACAGAGCATACAGGTAAAAAAAAAAAAAAAGATATGCAGTGTTATCCTCATTCTAGATGTCAAAACAGTTTTGTGGCTCAGGGTGTTTTCTTTTCTGTGGGAAACACTCCAAATGACTGAGTATTTAAGGTTGCCAACCCCTGTTCTATACAAAGCCAGCTCCAAGGAAAAAAAGCAGGTGATGAACCCTCCACTAGAAAAGTTGTGAAATGCACCTTTAACAAAAAACAAAATTTATGAATAGAACTTGCAAACCTTATACTAAAGATCATGTTCTTAAAGGCCCTGAATTATGCAAAACTGACTCTCATGAGCTTTAAGCCATGTTAGAATGTTGTTACCTCCTTAAAAAACAGACCTGGAGTTGTGTTTTATTTCATTCACATATGTGTGAGTAATCCATTATTAATAGTCTGTCTACATCTCCAAAGCTCAAAATGCTCTGTTCCATCTTGTGATGTCAGTAAAGATTGGCAAGTCCAAGGCTTAAGTTATCCAAATGATTCTAGTCAAAGTGTATGTGGTTTAAAAACACAGTGGAGCACATTCTGTATTACCACATGGCATCACAAGGTTTGTCATTACACTTTAGAACATAGAGAAAAATACATGAGACCATATTTTTCTTCCAAAATCTAAATCTTCATTTTGTCAAAGTCAATCAAATTAAAAGTTGGCTTCCTAAATGTACTGCACTTGTGTAGTGCCGAGAACCAAAGTAGTTTGAAGTGATGATCAACAAATACAGATAAATCTACTAATCTATTCATTTCCAAAATGGCTTCCTACATCCTCACTCAACACATTTCCAGTTCCAATATAAAAAGGTCCATTTGAAACAGATCAGTGTAAGTGAATGTGAAAGTTTTTCTCTTTCAAGTTTAAAGCAGGGATGAAACAAGACACAATTTCCACAAGTTGAGACGAGAATGGGTCTGCAAGAATGAGTCAAGACTTTAACATAATTACAAATACATAAATTGTGCGATTAGTTTCCAGTTTTGGCCTCACACTGTCTTGCTTTATTTTTCTTTATTTTATATTTTTGTTGCCATTCTAGCACAATTTTTTGGAATTATAAGCGATCTAACTCACCCATATGCAACCCTTTTTGTCCAACCCAAAAACACATGGACAAAAAAATCTCACTAGATCACTTTTGTCGTGTCTGCACATACTATAGTCCATATGTGTGAGGCTTTCTGGGTTAAACCACTACCTGTACATTCTGCGTATTTATAGACTTATATATATATATATAATGCCATTAGTGGATAAATGCATTATAAACAGGCTATAGATACTATACTGGTACAGGAAACTGATCTCAATTTATAATAAGATTCAACATTTGTGAATTTTCATTTTATTCCCATGAACACAGATAAGATAAAATTATTACACAATTTCTCCTATCAACAAATAAATTAATACAATAAACTGATCTGTTACTGGAATTCACAGAAGGCGAGAAATTGGGTCCACAAACTCAAGACAAGACGAGATTTTGATATCATTTAAAATAAATCAAATGTGTGCACAATATATATGTAGCTGGATCATTGTTAAGTGAAAATAACAATCAGGTGCTCTTGGGAGATCCCAAGTGGGCAGATAAACTTACTAGATAGAAAAGAAGAGATCCAAGGCACTTCGATATGTTTAGCTATAACTTTATTTCATGTCATACACCAACGCGTTTCAACTTGCATCAGTTGAAATGTGTTGGTGTTGAACCATATCATTAGAAATGATTGATATCTCTTGTGTCTTCATCAGGGCATGCCCTAAAAGTCAAAACGTGTTGGCATTTGGCATGAAATAAAATGATAGCTAAGCATATATCGGAGTGTCTTGGATCTCTTCTTTCATCTAGTAAACAAAATGTGTGGTTCAGTTCACAATTTTGGATCTTATAATTTTATTTATTTCACTGAATAATTTTTCTGTCTTTGGAGCACTGTTTTTTAGAATTACAGCTTCTGAAAATGTCAACTCACCAGCATTTAACCCTTTTTTGTCCAATTAAAATGCTCTATTATAGGGCCACATATAGGGAAAAAAATCTCACGAGATCATTGGACATGTGTGCCGATTCGATCTGAGATCTTGTCCCAACCCTGTCTGTTTCCATGGTTACCTGAGCTGGAGGTAGCAGAGGCGTTGTTCCCATCTACAGATGGCTCCGAACCAGAGTCCAGTGAAAAAGACTGAGCAGCAGCAGCACTGGTCGAGGGAGCATCTGTAGATACATCTGAGAGAGAGAGAGCGAGAGAGAGGGAGGACATTTTCCATTACATGTTCAGTGAATGGGGATCAGATGATTATGGACGGGCTGCAGGAGTTTTTTTTTTTTTTCAAGCATAGCAATTAGATTCAGATCTGTTTTAAAAAGCAGATTCTGATCAAAGTTCACATTTTAAAAAGGAGTCCACAAGTTCTTGAAGAAAGACTGAAACAAAACAAACAAAACTAATCATGTTTCAGAACATGTTTGTTCAGATCTTAATTACCAGGTTAGCAGTTTATATGCAGAAGAAGACTGGAGACTTTGTCATATGTGGAGGAAATTCTAATACAAAAACTACGATGCAATTTGCGTCATTCAAATTGCGTTTTCGATTCGATAGGTTGCGTTTAAACTGAGCTGAACGACAAGTCAGAATTCTCAGGTGGAGTTTGTTGTGTATGTATAAATGTCAGATTGCAGATGTGTTGACCTGGTTCATGGTTTATATCTCTAATTACTGGAAACAAAAACTGTCATAACGTTTGATGTTGTCTTTATTTTTACACAATAGCCTCAATGGTGTCATTATTCAACCCCCAATTGTTGTCAATTGAAAGGACTACGCCATAAGGTTAAATTAAATTTACAGTTTCAAAACCAAGCAAATAAAGATAAAGTTCAACATTTGTGGATCATAAGTTTAGATATTTCTATTCCGTTGCCATCCATCTGAGATCATGACATCATATTTAATCTATTGCGATTAATCTTGGAGCTCTAGAATATGCCAAACCTAAATTTTCTATAACAATTTCTATCATGTTTTGTAAAGGCCCATTTTTCTTACTGAGTGCGGCGTGTGAGGTGCTGGGCTCCGGTTCTCTCTCTGTTTGAGTCTCTGCGTTTTGGAGCTGGATGATTGGCGTCTGAGTGCCTTGTGATGTCACTGAGGGGGCGGGGTTACGAGGCTGCAGACCAATCGCGTTCATCAGACCCATGTCCCGGTCCAACCTCCAGCCAGAGCGTGTCGGACTGAAAAACAAAAAAACACCACTTCAACAACAAATACAAATACTGTAAAATACATGTTTTAATGGGAAATATGCCATGTGTATAAATGTAGCTTACAAAGGGGTATTACACGTCTAAGGGGAATTGATTGCTAACTCGTAACATATTTAGATCAAAATGTTACCTTTCATCGTTTTGAAAAGGCCATATTATCCAAAAACAGTCACTCCCCTTTCGAACGCTATCGGAGTGTATTTTGCTAACGAAACACACATAGCACCAGGTTTGCGTAATTGTTATGTATTGTTTTGTATCAGATTTTTGTATATTTATGTAAAAGCATTTGTAACTAGGCTTGGGGGCATTGGGGGCACGAGCATTGGACAGAATCTCCAGTTTAACCGTGGGGACATTTTTAAGTTTAACAACCTGTTTTAATTCCACATTTGCCCCTCAGATAAATAGTGCAGCACCCACTTAGACTGAAAGAGACAGAGGCTAAGGGAACAAGAGAGAGTAAATAAAAGAGATTGCCATTTGCTCCACACTCACCCGGGGCGGTCTGTGCCTCTGGTGCGACTGGTCCCACTGTTGTTTACACTGAACAGAGGCTCAGAGCTGGACTCGGCTGGACTCTCTCCGTCACTGCGATAAAACCTATAAACACACGGGAACAATTTAACCATAAAACCTAAAAACAAGTTGGACCTATATATCCGGTGTATCTATATACAGATGGTGAGCATGAATGTACGTCGAAGGCTTGTTATGCTTTGGGACATTTAGATTTCAGTTCAGAGTGTGTATTCCTCCAGTTTAAATAGTACATGATGAGCTGAACATATTTTATGACAAGTTATACACTAATTACATCCTGAATACTGCTTCTTGGTAGAGCCACATGGGAAAAGGTAATGTACACCTTATTGATCCCTTTGCGGAAAATGCATGTGCATGAAAATGAAAGTGCATGTTTTGGGCATGCAGTGCAACACCTGCTAAGTTTTGAGCCCAAGAAATTAAACAGAAATGACAGAATCTCAGTCTTAATTAAATAGTAATTAATTGCACAGCATCATTTCTTAGTAGTGATAATTCTAAAGAAGTGCCCAGCATCCAGAAACACATCCATAAAAACAGTGTTAAGAGTTAATTGAGTTGGACACAGGAAGCCTCGAAAGCAGAGGCGGGCCGATCTGGTTAACGCCACAAACGACCACTGATATTAGGGCTCTTCCTGTTGTGATGGACATTAGGATAATCTTATCACTGTCAACATGGAGCAGCTCAAATGAAAGAAATGAAAAATGCAATATAGAGCTCAGGAGGAGGTGATGAGGAGGAATTAGAAGAGTTTAATTAATGCTATCAAAAGTGATAAGGAAGCAGAGATTACATTAACCCAGAATTCTGCCACTGACAAATTATTTTCAGCTGTAACTGAAAATTCTGAAGTGTGTATCATTGTGACGGGTGCAAACAAAGCATTTGACTGTATTTTTACATGGAATTTCAACATAAACTTCAAATAAAGTGCTCAACTTCAGGTTTAATTACTGCTTTCTAGAATGTATTGGGTCAAGACTGAACTAAAACTGGACATTCCCTGGAGCTCCTCGGCCCTGCCTCCTCAGCCAGAGAGGCGGACAGTGAGTATGTGCATGAGAAGGTGCCTAAGTGGTGCGCTCTGCAGACACTGGTATAGATGCACTCAATGCTGCATTAAGTATCATCCTGTTATACTGAGCTGTCACTTAACCACCAAGTTAAGCAAAACTTGAATTTCTCCAGGGAAGTTTCGCTCTGTCTTTAAAAACAGGTAGAACAAAGGAATGTGTCAGAGGAGGTGAGGAGGAGACATATGCAAAGCAGGCGTGTACATGTCCTTTTATTGACTAGAAAAAGCCCGTTGTTTTGTAAGCTTGAGCCCTGTGTATGTGCCCACGCTCGTGTCTGCACTCACACTGGGCGACAGATGACCAGGTCTCCTTTGTTGGTCCCATAGGCCAGGCCCATCCCAGGGTCAGGCAGCCACCGAGCCGAGTTTATACTGACGTGACGCCTCTGATCCGGAGCCATGGGGTACACCACGTTAAACACCATCTGATAAACAACACAACAAACTGATTCATATCATAGCATTTTAATTCAAATCGTGATTCATTTCTAATTGTCAATGATCAACTTGTATCTTAATGGAGATGCCTCCAGTCAGGAAAAGGAAAGGAAAATCATGTGGTTTGAAGCAGACAGAAGACTTTGTTAAATGGTACTGGATAAACATCTAGGTTTAGAAAATTAATATTGAAAGCGATTTTTATTTGTTTTTGATAAGATAAAGTTAATTAAAATTGCATTTGATCAATATTAGGAATTCAATTGTACGCTGCCATATTGCTCAGCACCAGTTCTAACACACATCCTTATAAACACCACCAACCCTAAACTAGTGAAGTCTCTGTGACTGACCCTGATGGACGTCTCTCCTCCGTGCGGCTGCTGCAGGCGGAACACTTGTGCCACCATGTGGTCAGTGGTGGGAGGCAGCAGGATCCTGCGTGAGGCCAGACCCACCATCACGTAACAGCCCATAGGAGACAGGCTGACCGAGATCGCATTAGGACCTGGAAAAAGGGAAGAACAGGTGATTTTCAAAAAGGGAAGGAAAGTGTGTTAATGTGTAGATGTGGAAAAACATTGCAATAAATGCATTTATACAAACTGTTTACCAGAAAAATACATATTAATACTATAATGTGACGTTAAAGAGTGGCAGAGAAAAAGGAAAAGCACTTTTTAAATTGCAATATTCATCTAAAACAACTTTTAAAAAAAACAAGTTTGCTGACTTCAGTGTTTGAAAAAGGCGGTGCCCAATGGGAGCTGATGTCCCCATCGTCAAAACAAAGTTGCCACCACCGATTGGTAGCTGCAGATCACACTAGCGAGCTGCAGATTTTTTGCAATTATAACAAAATGAATCACCAATTAAGAAAATAAAAATAGAGAATGACGTATGTACAGAGCACAGGGTGTATTCCATTGGTAGGGAAAACAGGGTTTAATCAGCAATATGGTGTCTTGAAAATAAGCGATTAAAGATTGCACCAATCTCTCTAAGTACAACTTCCAATGAGTAAATGGTGAGGGAAAACAACTGAAACATGGTTAAAAGTCAATCTTGCATAATCCACCTTTATATAGAGAATTCAAGAATGTAGTGAGGTCATGTGAACCCAACCTATAGAAGTGAAAACAGTGGAAATGAACCCTTGTCTGTACCAAATCTCTTGGTGTAGAGCATCTCTCCGAGGTTGTGTGGGGCAAGGGAGTAGATGGCCAGGATTCCCTCATCTGGAAAACCACGCTGACTGCTGGGAATGAACACCGCGAGGAGCTGACCATCCGCGGAGATGTCGCAGCTTGCGTCGTTATAAATTTTACAGTTTGGCACCAAGACATTTACGGAGGCTGAAGAGGGACAAAATACAGAAATGTTTATGTAAATATAAAATAATCAAAAACACAAACATCTATTTGCCCTAATTCTTTTCTATTCCCGATTAGAGCTCCCTATTTCGTACCATTGCTGATTTCTGGGAGGTCAAACTTTGTGAAGTCCCACCACTGCAGCCTGTAAGTGGTGTTAGCGATGTTACTGGCCACAGCCGACTGCCCGTCTCCAATAGAAGCTCCTGCAGAAAAGACTCAGTTACTGAACATTAACACAAAAATACCAGAGAAAACCAGGCTCTCAAGATATGTGCTGTGTGCTGTATTAATTAGACAACAAAAACACATGATCCTCACCAGCCAGGACCCTGTTAACGGAGGAGTGAGTGGCTAGACCAGGCTGCCCTCTCTCATGGAAGATCCCAGCGTAGGGAAGGTACTCGGGGAGAAGGAACCGTCTGGAAGAAAAACACAGAAATAACAGTTTAGCCAATAAAATACTGATTGAAAAGGGGACAACAGCAATAGGATGTGAAACAAAAGTTATGTTTGTAACTGACTTTCTATGAATGTCAGATAACCCAATGAAACAGAACAGGATTCTCACCGTGGAACAAATCGTCCGAGTGAAGGTGCAGACATCCGGGCGTTTCGAGGTGTCCTGTGTCGCGCTCGGTCTCCATTGTCACTGAAGAAGAAAAAAATAAATAGGTTCAAAACAAACAAAAAGACTAAACAAAATAAGCATCACAAAGGCTACAACTACAAAATAATTTAATATCAGTAGAGTGCAAAATCAACAGGTTAAATAATCTACATTATTTTCAGAACCTAGTCCTGAATTTTGGGGGTTAAATACAAAATATTCTTCGTAAGAGGTAAAGAATGATTTCAATAAACCTAAAGTCCTTCAAGTGACTAATTGGGTTTTGATTCTAAGGTGAGTTCACCACATCTAAACTAGGACTCACTCAAGCTCTTCAAAGTCCACGTCGCTGTTGTCCATAGATCCCGAGGAGTTATTCTGGGGGCTGTCTGCAGAGGAGGACATGGCCCGGAGCCGGTTCTGCTGGTACCGGAGCGAGCGCTGCCGAATGCTGTCGCGCCGAGACAAATACTGGATCATCCTCTGAGCGTAGTATGCAGCTGGGGACAGTCTGAGTATGACAAGTCAAAGGTCAGACACTGTGGTAGATTTACCTGTGGCTTACTCTGATATTGAGTTTGGGGTACCTGGCGGGGTCGGGGTAGATGGGGTGGTCCCTGGAGCCTGTCATGTCATATCGGGACAGAGACAAGAGCGAGGACTCGAGCAGACGCCTGAGAAGACACACACCTGGGTCAGACTCACAGGGCATTTAAGACATGATCTAAGACCAAAAGCTCAGATCCAGACCCTAAAAATCAGCCTCAAAAACCAGGTCTACCTTCTGAGCGAGTCCTCGTCAGGCGGGTCCACAGGCACCTCTTGGCTTAAGGCCTCTTGCTCTCTGGAGGTTTGGCGATAGACCCTCTCCCACTGTGCAGTGTCTTGGTTATACACAAGGCCCACAGTCTGCTCTTGGGGAGGAGGGGCGGGGGGCTGCTCGGGCTCTGGGCGCCGCTCCGGCCCCTCCTCTGGTCGCCATGACGGCGAGGGCGCGTCGAGGGGTGTGGCTGAGGTGGAGGCAGTGGGCGCAGTCCTCTCCCAGCGCTGTGAGTCATGGTTGAAAGTGAGCAGATTGTGGCAGGCTCTGCAGCGGTTCAGGTGCCCCCTGGCCCCGGGGGCAGAGGGGCCCTCAGAGGGGGGCGGAGGAGGAGGGGCGGGGGGCTGATAGTGGATGATGGTCGGGGCAGAGGGCCCTGGACGCTCCGGCTCCAGGTTATTGTTCAGCAGCTCCTGGTTTGGAGGGTCCAGCTCGGACATACGGTCAAACTCCATGAAGTAGCGGCTCAAGTTACACTGCAGCACGTTCCTGAAGGAGGCGGAGCTCCGCGCACCCTCCCAGAATGGGTGATGCCCACTGCTGGTGCCCGTGTCCCGCTCGCGGCCCTCATTGGCAGAGGTGTAGTACGAGCGTCCGTCCTGTCGCAGGGCGGAGAGCAGGCTGACGGAGGAGGGGGTGGAGGTGCGGGGGGGCAGCAGGGGCCCGCGAGGCCACTCTGGAGGGCCTCTGGAGGGCTCCAGTCCCGGGGTGGGGGGCAACGTGGGAGGCAGGCTGGACAGGCCTGCGCCGCTGTAGTAAACACTGGTGAAGGCGGAGGGCCGCTCGGGTAGAGGCCGCGGCTCAGTGCGGGCAGAGGAGAAGGAGGAAGGGGGCTCAGGGGAGGTCCCCGAGGGCTCCGGGGCCAAAGGCGGGCGCCCTGTGGAGCAGCGACTGCAAAGACACACCAGCCCCAGGTGCTGCGTGCAGCCAGGAAACGGCCCACGCTCTGAGGAGAACTGAGGCAAGGGAGGGTCACTGGAGGGCCCCTCCCCCAGGGGGCGCTGCTGCTCCGAACTCTGAGCCGGAGACCGAGACGACAGGATGTGCAGGAAGTTATGGAGGATAGGCGTGCGGCGCACGGGCTGTGACGGCAGAAAGGAACGCTGCCGGAAGTGAGGCATCTCCACACTGTCCATGGGAACCTCCGAGTCGTCCTCGCTCTGGGAACAGACACAGGGTTATACAGAGGGTCACATCAGGTTACACTGATTTAAAACAACACAAACACTCACCGGCTGATTGGATGGATTCACAATCGCTGTGAGCAGGTTGTGTCCCAGGGGATCAAACCGCACCAGCCTAAAAACACACCAGGTTATGTTAAGTGAGTGCTGCCTTCTAAAGCTCTGTACATGTCTCTCCCTGCAGTATTGTGATTGTTGTGGTCGTACCGCACGCGCTCAGTCTCGCTGCCCGTCTTCACAGCGGCGAAGGGCTCAGGGCGACTCCAGTCCCAGAAGTGCAGCTCATTGTTGGTGGCGATGAGCAGCAGCTGCGCAGTGGGGTGAAAGGCCAAAGACGCAATCGCCACATTACTCTCCGTGAACCAGCTCTCACTGCCGCCCTGAAAAAGGATTAGACCGAATTTAGTGCTTATGACAGGTTAGTGTACACATTTTTCTAAAACAAGTTAAGATCATTATATTTTATTTATTTATTATATTATATTTTACTTCCTGGTTCATGACATTGTGCTAGAGAATTTCTTAATTGTTACCTAGCAACCCTATTGCAAACTGGGCAAAAACCTCTCTAATGTATACAGAATTATTAATTAATTGACAAATAAAAAGCCCTGGAGTCCTCCAGTTGAAACAATGTTTAAAATATCAGGAAAGGATTGTATGGATAGAATTCTGCCTGTTTTTTTTTTTCACAAATTGATTCTTGATTGGTGTAAAAGTATAAAACAAAAGTATAAGGTAAGTAATTAATAATAAAAAAAAAAAAGAGAATGGTAAAAATCTGTCATCCAAAGTCTTTATTATGATAATAAGGGTACTTACGTGCAGGTCCCAGATGCGCACCTCCCCGTCGAGGCAGCCCGAGGCCACAAGCCCAGGGATAGTGGGGTGAAAGGTCACGCACCAGGGCGTCCTGCGGTGTCCCACCAGAGAGTGCAGACACTTCCCTGTCTTCACCTCAGTGATGTAAATGTTGTGGTTCACGTGAGTTGAGGCCATGAGCGTCCTACACAGGTTTAACAAAGATGAAGATTAAACTCATCATCACAGATCACAGTCTTGGTGTACCTTATTTTTAAAAGGTCTGAAAAACTGAACTAGTTTATTATTTTACAACATTTTGCAGTGGTCCAAAGCTACTCTTCACTTACTTTATGCGCTCAGAATGCAAATTAATCACAGTGATGAGTTTATAAGCACGTTTCACAAGACCAGAGCAAAGTTTTCCCATGATGTAAAGCTAATAACAACAAACATTCTAACTGGCTACACTTCCACATTTTGCTTAACCCATTGACGCCGGATGCTGCGCAGCGCAGCACTGAGTCTCCTGTCGGTGTTCTGGATTGTCTGGCGATCAGCGTAACTGGTAAAGGCGGGGCCACATCTGGAAGCATGGGGGGCGTGCCCTCCTCTCGCTTCCATTCATTCACATAGAGAGACGCAAAACTGCAGGAGCTGTATTGTCACGTTAAACCTTCTTTATCGTGGTGTATTATTTCCCCATTGAAAAATAATCCAAATGTATCCCACACATGTTTCCATCAAGACCTGGCATTTGAAGTAACAAACGTTGCGCTTTACTGCCAGCGTATGAACGCACTCAACCACTTGATCTGTTGACGGACAACAAAAATGTTGTCCGTGTCTTCACTGTCATTGTCACTGTCAGCATTTTTGTGCTTGACAATGTTTATTTGTTACACGACATAGCGATATGGCACCTGTTATAGGAGCGTCTGGAACAGCGAACAGATCAAGTGGTTGAGTGCATTCATGCGCTGCAGTAAAGAGCAACGTTTGTTACTTCAAACGCCAGGTCTTGATGGAAACATGTGCGGGATACATTTGGATTATTTTTCAATGGGGAAATAATACGCCACGATAAAGAAGGTTTAACGTGACAATACAACTCCCGCAGTTTTGCGTCTCTCTATGGGAGTGAATGGAAGCGAGAGGAGGGCATGCCCTCCATGCTTCCAGATGTGGCCCCACCTTTACCAGTTACGCTGATCGCCAGACAATCCAGAACACCGACAGGAGACTCAGCGCTGCGCAGCATCCGGCGTCAATGGGTTAATGGACATCAATGAAATGCTTTCTAATTAGATGCAGACAGCATGACCTCAAGATCCTCTTATATGCAATATACCTGTACAGGGGCAAATGCATGTGAAAAAAATACAGGCTGTAAGGTTAGGCCCTTAGTAACTACGTTATGTAGTAATCTTTTTAAAGTTAAGATCAGTCTCCAGTAAATGAATGCAGTGCTCTGTGTAGTGTCCCCAAAAAGTGTGGACTCTCAGCATGTGTGGGTTTCTGTCAGAGCTTCACCTGTCAGGGCTGAAGGCCAGCAGGAAGGTCGAGCGAGGACTGTCCGGCAGCTCCACTTTCTGTCAGAGGAAGGAACGTGAAAATGAATTATGTGGAGAAAAAAAATCTGATTTTTATAATTCATACTATAGATTAAAACAAATTTCAGATCTGTGATTCTGGTGTCAAGATCACACAATTCCTAATGTTTAGTTTATACATTCAAACAACTGAATAATTTATTTTAATGTATAATGCTTGTGTTTGAATACATAGAGTTAATCTGCTACAACTTAGAGCACACACACACACGCACCATGTAAGTAGTTCGTTTAGAGTTTAATGTAAAGTTTGGCCTCTTTTTTTTTTTTTTTTTAAATCCGCTGAACTCTAATAACAGCAACAGCATTTTTTTTATTCCATTGTCCTAACTAACCGAGCACTGATACAGACCTGACTCTGCCATTTCATCCATCGGACCTTCTCCTCCACGAGCAGCTGTAGCAGCCTCTGGGAGCCTCGCGTCTGGGAGCCTCGCTCTCTGTTCGACAGGATCCGCACCGAGTTCCTCTGACGCAACGCCATCTTGAGTGGGTCAGTCCTGCTCCGGCCACACCCTCCCCTCCACCGCCTCTAGACTGAGGTAAAGAGAGATGGACTTCAGTGGACATTGAAATGAAATATACCAATACAATTTTTTTTAAATAAAATTATAAATAAAATAAATAAAACTAAGACACTTAACGAAGCAAATATAAAAATGCAAAAGGTAAAGTTCAAGGTTAAAGGAATGGGACGACGAGACATATTTCCCACAAAAAGACATGAGATTGGGTCCATGAAAATGAGAAGAGATTTTGAAATCATTTACCCATGGGGTTCAGAATTATGAAAAAGTATTATCGTTGCCATAGCAATAGAGCTAGGTAATATGGACAAAGACAAATGGTTATTTCTCATATTGATCGATCTTGATTTTTAATTTGATTTAATTTAGTCTTTTCAAAACCAAATAAAAGGATTTTGTTACTGATTTTATGAACATTAACAATACAGACTTTTAATTTAATACCAAAATTAACACCAAAAACTTTCTTCCTCCAAATTCTTGCATCTGCTACAAACCACATGCTCAAAGCCGCCAACTATATCACTGATTAATTTTTTTATTTTTTTATTATTCAAAAACAATGAAAACTGCTTATACAAAAATAATTGCACCACCTCTACAAGTTCAATCAAAATGAATTACTTAAAACTGAACAAAATGTGTATTCTTTGCACAATACTGAGGATATTTTTATTTTTTAATCCGTCTTGTTACTGGACCCCCTCCCGTTCCGTCCCTAAAGTCCTTGAGTCTTTCTTCAGATAAGAGTCTAAAACAGGAGCTGCCTCTGGGTCACTGCGACCGCCAACATTGACAGGAAAATAAAACCAAGGACCAAACCAGGGGACCAAAGCAGGTCTAAACCAACCCAGGACTAAATCAGGACTAAATCAGGACCAAACCAGGACTAACCAGGACTAAACCAGGAGACTAAACCAGGGTACTAAACCATTGGAACAAAAGCAGGGGACCAAACCAGTCTGAACTAAGCCGGAACTAGACCAGAACTAGTCCAAGACCGAACTAAGACCGAACTAAGACCGAACTAAGACCGAACTAAGACCGAACTAAGACCGAACCAAGACCGAACCAAGACCGAACCAAGACCGAACCAAGACCGAACCAAGACCGAACCAAGACCGAACCAAGACTCAACCAAGACACAACCAAGACTCAACCAGGATTAAACCAGTACAAAAACTGTAACCAGGACTAAACCAGGACTAAACGATGTCTCAGAGCAGGATTAATCCAAAGCTAAATAAAGGCTATTCTTGGACTAAACCAGGGGGCTAAAACAGAAGTAAGCCAGGACCGAACCAAAACCCCATCTGTACTAACACAATAAAACCAGTGACTAAACCAAGGACTAAACCAGGACCAACCAAGTAACAAACAAGAGATCAGAAATTGACCGCTATGAAAGATTTCATCTTCAAGATCTTCATGCTTTTACTGACAGAGGATTGGCTGTAGACCTCTCCATTAAAAAGACCCAAACTGAGCACTGACCATCAGGAATGACACAACCCCCATTAAAATGTGATTCATTGCACAACTCTACTTTAAACATATCATTAGCTACATAACATGTCTTATGATAGAAAAAAATAATGGCAGTGCTCATTATTTACAATTTAAGACTTCCAATGATTTGATACTTTTGAGGATTATTATTCACAGTTTTATGTTGCACCATATTACAAAAACCAGATGCTTTTTCTTAGTTTCACTGATTCTGATGGAGTTTCAGATGTTTTTGTGTAAAATGACTATGATAAAAAGTTTGTAATGCTTTTGCTAAGAAAATACCAAAAGACATTTTTATTTGGTTTTAAAAAGGTAGTGTGTGCAATTTCTAGTTAAGACATGTCCATGAGAACAAGACAAGACAAGATTTTGATAGAACTTTGTCTAAATATGCCATTTCAGTTCACGATTTTTGCTTTATTATTTATTATAGTTCTGCTGTCATTGTAGCACTGCTTGAGAAAAAAAAATCTCACAAGATAATTTTTCTCATATGTGTACAATCTTGTGACACTTTTGTCTTGCGAGAGTTTGTGGCACGAGATCTTGACCTGCATGATTCCAAAGAAATAGAAAGTTAAAACCATACTTTGGAACATTCTTCATAGTGATAGGTACATTTGATGCCATATTGTGGAAGATTATAGTCAAAGGGACAAAAATTCCATGGAGACGAGGTTTGTCAGGTTTGTGGAGATGCAAGCATGCTCACAGTAAGGACGCATATATTTTTTAATGGTCCTACATTACATAAAATTGACTCTTGTGAGCTTTAAGTCATGTTATAATGTTGTTACCTTCTCAAAAACATACCTGGGGATGTGTTTTGTTTCATTCATACTTTTTTTTTTTTGAGGAACCTGCATTTTTTATCCGTCTACAGCTCCACAGCCTTCAAAGAGCTCGCCAAAGGATTCTGAATTATATGTATTGTGCTGAATAAGTAAAATTTGATTAACAACCATTTTGATGCCTCATAAATAAATAAATGAATAAAGGCTTATGATTTGTAGGCATCAAACTGTTCCTCATCTTGCTGTGGCTCTTATATATTTACTCAATTTCTTTCGCACGCTAAAATGTGTAGCTCTCTGGCAGTTTTACTTTCCAAAGGGAGCTCACCAGAGGAAAAAGGTTAGAGACCCATGTTCTACATTTCCAAAAAACAAAATGCTCCGTTTCAAACTGTAATGTTATAAAGTGGTAGTTTTCAAGTTAACAGCTACCTTATATCTTTTGTTAAGTGGAGATTGGGCTAAAAGGTGTATGGAGTTTTTGTGTCTGAGAGAAGAACTCAGCCTAAACATGCAGGATTTGTGTGTTTAAAAATGCGTGAATGAAAACACAACTCCAGGTCTGTTTGTGATGAGGAAACAATATTATAACAGAGATCAGCAAACAGTGTAAGTTTTTAGTGCAATAAAAAAACACTTAAAACACATGATTTTATTTGTTTTACTTTTCTGGCTAAAAAGTGACACACTGGGGCTTTAAGAAGACAAACTAAAATGTAAAATTATGACAAACGATAACAAGTGAGATGAGTAAAAAAATGTGATTATTATGTCCTACCACACACAGCCTTAATTAGAATGCAATAAAATAGAAGTGTTTCCGGGCCTCGTTTCCAATGTAATACGTTTGTCTGTGGGCTCTGGTGCCTCCATGTAAACAATACATGATTATAGTGGATCAGATGGTAATCGCTGTCCTCAAATGGCCCGAGCGAGAGATTAGCCAAGTCTAATTCGAGGATCACACCCAAAAGGAACGAAGAAATCAAGAATGTCACAACCAAACTCGGAAACCGCAACTCTGTCCACATGTAAACAGGGAGGAAGCGAAGCACAAACACAAGCTTTTATAATGAGGGTTAAGTAATACGAGGGCATGTCCTGCTGATTGATTGGCCAGCTAAGAAGGGCTAAGAAGGCCTGGCCAAAATTATAGGTCTGTCACCGTAATTACTATATCAATATCAATATATGAAAGCTGCAACAATACAATTTCTTTGGTAAATTTGGGTAGATTCTTGCCATTTTTATGTAATAAGGTAAGATTTGAGCTTTGAGTGTTGAATAAATCACTTCTATGGGTATTTATTGCTTCACTTTCCTATTTTATTTTTTTTTCCACTGGAGCCCATGAGTTTAATGATGCTGTCTATTTAAAAATGGTTTGCGGGGATTGTCTTGTATCATTTTTATTGTGTCAGCGCCATAAGGTAGTTTCTATATTGTCATTAATTGCAGTATTTCGTGATGTATCATGCTTCAAAAATTGTTTATATATCTGTGTGTATCTGATCCAAACTGCATTCACAAGACTACAGGAAACTTGTATTTATATAAAGAGTAGAGAGGGGTGATATATCGGTTTAAGTATCAGCCGATATTCGATACCAGTATTTTTGTACTGTCCAATTCTTCTCTGTTTGTCCTTTGTGAACAGACAAAAAAGTGAAAATAAAAACAGGAGAGCTTTATACGGCTGTATGCTACACAAACATGCAACTACTTATTTTATTTTCATTTGTGATCTGGAATTTTAGATATATTTGCATCTTAAGATATCAGTATCAACTAAAAGAATCCATATGGGCCCTTCCCTAATATTGAGTGAGTAAACATGAGAATAGCGGGTTTAGTCTGCCTTTCTTACATATGAATACCAATACCAAATCTTCAGCTAACTCAGCAACTTCTTTCAACTGTTGCCCCATTAAAAATCCTTATCATCTAAATAAAAATGATTAGTCACCAATACAAATTTTGGTCTACACCATCGACCCATTAATCAAGTAAAGGACCAACAGTTCATATTTCACCTAAACCAATTAATTCAGAACAATCTAACTTCGGAATTTGCAACTATACATTTCTTTGAAACATATTCATGCTGTTATAATTAGGGCAGGTTGTCAAAAGTATGGAAAATCAGATACTAACAGATACTAAAACTTTTACAGAAAACAGATACTACTTTGAAGTTTAGTTACGCATTACCAGGAAGAAATTAGAGGTCTCATGGTAACAAAGAACAATGAAAATTACATTCTGTCACTAAAAAAGGAGCATTTATTGATCTTCATTGTGTGAATTGTTTAGTATTATAGAGGTTGATACTGTAGTATAACTGGTAGTGTAATTGGGGTTAGGGAGGCCTGCAGTCACAATAAATACTATATAAACTTATCATTCAATATGATAAATGGAACAATAACTTTTGGGGGTCACTATTTATTGTGACTTTGTGACTACTTCTTTCTTAGTACTAGTGGCAATGTTTGGTTATTTTTTCTGCAATATGATCAAAATTGAGGTGTAGGTGGTTAAATTATCAACTAGGACTATACAATCTAACTACATGCTCCATTCTGCTAATTATTTATTGTAGCTCATGTATTTAACATTATTGTACATTTAGAATACTTATTGGGGGATGATTTCTGCTTTATTGTTTGAGTTCAATATAATTAACAGGCCTACAATTAGGATGAAACCTTTGATGAAAAATAGATTCTAAAACTCAAAAAAGCATGCATTAAAACATCTTGGGATTAGCCAAATTTAAAACTTAATTTATAACTACTGATAATAATGGGGGCAAGTCAATATAATAAGAAATGAATTGCAGATATAGGAAAGGCAAACATGAGCAAAAAAGAAACATTTTTACAATTAAGCAAGTTCAAAATACATTGTAACACAGAATTTATTTGCAAAAGCTTTAAAACGGTCCTACATTACGATTGACTCCTGTGAGTTATAAGTCATGTTATAATGTTGTTACCTCCTTAACAACATACCTGGAGTTGTGTTTTGGTTTTGAGTAATCCTGCATTATTAGTCTGTACATCTCAAAAGCACAAAATGCTCTGTTTCAACTTGTGATGTCATGAAGCGATATTTTTCAAGTTAACAGCTCCTTTTACCTTTAGTTCTGTGTGGGCAATTCCACAGCTGAAATGATCCAGTGTTTTCTGTTTGAGAGAAGAATGCAGCCTAAATATGCAGGGTTTGTGTATTAAACATGTGAGAATGAAACAAAACACAACTACAGGTACAGTATGTTTGTGATGAGGAAACAATATTCTAACATAAATCAGAAAATAGTGTCATTTGGGCCCTATAAATTGGGCTTTTACTGCATATAACAATGTCATTCATCACTGACAAAGGACACAACTTAGAGAACAAGAATAAGCTACAATCTGCTTCAGGATTGAACAGAGAACAAACCTAACGCTAGATGAAATCAGATCAGTCCATTTAAAACTCGAACCACGCCAAAATAAACATCAGAAGTTGGTAAAATGACGATGGCACATACATGGAACAAGACTGCATTCATTCCTTGACAATTTGACATTAGTGTTAGTGGACAGGAAGGTTCATGGTAGATTTTCTGGGTTGGTTAAGCAATCGAACACTAAAAACAGCCACGTGAAAAATGCCAGTTGCTTTTACACTCTTTACACTTCATCGAGATGTTAAATTTGGCACCGACAGCTTCCATTTTCAATCTGAGGAAGCTAACCCAACCTACCAGCTAATTTAGCCCATTCCGGATATAGCCCGCTGCCAGTCAAATTTCACCACTACGAAACGTGATATTTGGACTATTTTAACACCACAAGAGCTCTAAATCATGTCAGAGTTAAATATAATGTTTGGATGTGCGATAACAGTGTAAAACCAGAGATCGGAACCAAAATTAAAGGCCTACCTTGTTTTTTTGAGTCGCTCCCCCACTGAGCTGCCATCATCAGCTAACTATGCTAACAGGCTAACTAGCACGGCCAAACACGGAAAATGTGGCCACCGCGGATTAAAAGCTCTATCTAACGCTAACATCGGTGATGATCGGTGACAGTAAAAGAACAACGTCCACAGAAATTAACGATCAACATTCATATAATCCAAGGGAGGCAGATTGTTCAGTATTTCTAAGGCATTGGTTCGAGGGGTTCAGCTCCTGTGGAACTAGCCGCTAACGCCACCGCTAGCTCGGCTCAGGCTTATCAACAGAGCGCCGAACGCAAAGAGTCGAACCTTGAAAACTGCACGTATTTAGTCAGAAAAACAACGACAGCGCGTCTTTAGCAAATTAAATAAGGCTAAAATGTTGGCATAACCTGTGCGCGCGGTTAAGATGTCGAATGAGCCAGAAAAGGTAGAGAAATCTGTTAATAAAGCTGGATAAGGATCTGATCATGTGTCTTGTATCGACTTGTGAGTCTGACAGGAGAAATAACAGTGCAGTTTTTGGATGGGTTTTTGGATAGAGGGCTGTGCACATAATACAAAGGCCAGTTCCGCCATGATAACTTCAGTCTAATAACATTTTATAATCATCACGAATCAATGAACTATTAATAGCAGAAGACAGATAAAACAAGACAGATTTATTTATTGGGAATAGCAATACATTATTACATTATATTATTTCATATTCATTGTGTGGGACAGTATTTCTTTTATTATTATTATTAGTAGTAGTGGCTGTGGTTTGACTTAATTGTATATTACTGGCTATATTTCATGAGGATTGCACAAATTACTTAAAAGTATAACTATATTTTATATAGAATAAAATTAGAACTTATTTAGAATTTATTATTACCATTTATATGAAAGAGAAAACTTTGTTATTATACTATATCGTGATATGTGAGCTACTGTGTCCAAATAATTTCCCTTGTGGATCAATGGATCAAGTCTAGGTCTAAGTCTATTTTACGGGGCTATAGGAAAAAGTTATGATTCTGAAAAATTACATTCTCCAGGTCGGTGGATCCCAACTATTTTTTTTAAATCCCGAGTACCCCCCTAATATATACCAAGGTTGAAGGACCAAGGTCCTTTTGACTGAAAAAATTTCAAAAACTTTTCCATGACTTTTTCATGATCTAAAGTGAATTTTCCATGACTTTACGGCACCTACATGTCCAGAATTGAGGAGCTTTTAGGGCTAAATATGAAGTGTGAACCCTTTCCACTCACCTTATGGTTTGATATTATAGTTTATTAACATTCAAAATACTGTCAGTGCATTTATTGTTGTCTCTAGCCTAATGATAACTTAACAGAACGCTGTAGTTGCGTGAAAGATACAAAAATTCCATGACTTTTCCAGAATTTCCATGACTGTGGGAACCCTGATATACATGTTATTGTCAATTATTTCAATTTTATTATATTGTTTTAATGATACTGATGTCCAAAATGTTATTACAAAACAAAGATAATGAAATAAATAAATACAAAGAAGAAAATTATATATATTTAAATAGACAAATATGATTTGACTTTACCATTAAAATCTGAAATCATTCCAAGTAACCCCTGGTTGATTTGGGAAAAGCTGCTATAGGTGATATTATAACCCCAAGGTCAGAGAGCTCAAATTATTCAACACCATCTATAAAACAGTTGTTAATTTAATCTTCCAAGACACAAATACAAGTCAATACAACACTGAAATATTTACAGAAACAAGTACATGGTAAAGTTACACATAATACTGTACAAGAAAGATGTTACTGTGATCAGAAATCCACAGTAAAATATCGTCTTTGTAAAGAAAACAAATATTGAAACATATAGAAATATTATGAGAACATTATTTACATATTCACAGTGTATCTGATGTAATAAGGCCATTGCAAAGGCTTGGTTCAAATTTTGTGAAAGAGACTGATTAGACTGATGCACAAACCCAAATAACAATCCAATAATCTGTGCATCTAGAAAGAAAACAGGTAAAAGTGCTGAAAACAGGTAAAAGTGCTGTCATCTTTACAAACTGAGATTTTGTATTGATGTATTTTTATTGTCCTTGTGGAGGTGGGGGATCATACCAGACTTTTAATATGTTATATTTAATCATATGTTGTATTACCTTTTCATTATGCACTGCATGGAGATAGATATGTTTAATGCCATACTGTGGAACTTTTTCAGGTAAATAACGTCTCTTTAACGACCAGCATCAGATGGTAGATAGTTACATAATGCACCTTTAAAATATAGCAAATGTGAAGATCTGCTGTACTTGTCCTCATGATATAAGAACAGATCAGGTGCAGTAAGTCCAAACTCTCCGGTGCATTTTCAGAAGTTTTCTTTGTAGAAGTTGAACCCAAAGTTTTCACACTCGGCTTTGATGACTTTGGCAAGAGCCGGAGAGCCACAGTAAAAGACGTGCACTTTTCCTTTCTTCTCTTCTGACACTTTCTGAAAAACCTGGAAATACAATAGCAAGTTGGAAGTAGAACAGCTGAAATTGTGCTATTTAATTTAGCATGGTGTTCCTCAAAATGTACCAGTTACTCAAGAAGAAGCTGTTCTACAGTTTTAACGTACGACGCGCTGCACTAATACCATGGCTACAAACCAAAACATCTTAAGATATAAACACTTAAATCTATCAGAAAATGACTTAAAAGTAGTGAAATTATCTTGCTGCATGGACAGATAATTTTAAAGTCATAAAATAAATTACCTCTAGGCTAGAATTAAGGAGTCTCTGGTCTAGTAAGTAGATAATAAAAGATGAATAACCTGATATAAGTTTTAAAATCTTGGCCAGATCAGAGAAATTTGCAGTGTATATGTAAATGGAAATACCTAACCCACTAGATGCTGTGTTTCATATAGGAAGTGACTAAGGGGGTGCTTCAGGCTCCACTGACTCTGACTCCACTTGACTTTACATTAAAAGACTGTTGCCCCTCTCTCTGTAACTGCTGCAGTGAGCCTCGTCATTTGGGTCTTAAAATGCTTGCACCAATCCTTTCTACACGGTCCTGGTGTTTTTATTCTGCTATTTTGCCTGTAAATACAGTGAATTCCTATTCCTAACATTTAACTCTGCTCCAAATTCGGTCCTGTGACTGTGCCACTTTGCTCATCTCCTCAGACCTTGCCCCACTCAGGACGCCCCGGCTGTGTCCTGGTCCTCAGTCCCGTGATGGAGTCCCGCTTCTCTTTTTTGGCGAGGAGATCTAGTGCCATCTGCAGTCCGATGGCCTTCATGTCGTTTTTACTGAGCGCTGATGTCATGTACATGTGCATCTCCAGGAAACGCCCTGCAACAGGTTCAGCCAATGACACGTTGATTTAATTTGATTTCAAAACTGTCAACTTATAATACACACGTTTAATATAAAGAAGTCTGCATTATTATTAACATACCACAATTACAATAACTCAAATAACATAATTCAAGAATCACAGGCATTTTATTACTTTAAAGGCCCATTTACACTATTTTCTGGTGTTTCCTCATCAAAAACATACCCGGAGTTGTGTTTTGTTTCATTCACATGTTTAACACACAAACTCTGCAAGCTCTTGTTCTCTATTGGCTAAGAACCAATAGAGAACAAGGTAGTCTCATAAACTATTGGCTAATATTTTTCTGGCCCCACCATGTTCACAGTGAATGGATTTTTCTTGTGTTTTTTTTTTTTTGTTTTTTTTTGGGGGGGGTATCATAATTACAAGGCGGCTGCACCTCTATAATGCTAGTTTGAAAAAAAAAAAACTTTAATAATAGTGAAAATATTGTGCAGTGTTAACACACAACATGATTAAAGTAACAGAATAGAAATTTGTTCACAAAAATAAGTTAGATGATGATTTAAAAGATATTCAGTCTTCCTCACCATCGGGCTCTTCATCGGCCTGGTCCAACTCCAGTTTGGTGAGTAAACTAACAAACCACTCAAATGATTTCTGATCTCGGTTTATCCAGATAAAGTCCACCTTGAATGCAAAAACATGGAGAAAACAATGTTGTTAAATAGCAACTGTTGTCTAAATATTTTAGGTACAAGTGGCATTACCGACTGCTCAAAGTTTAAGGTGCAATTTGCTGTTTAACTGTCAGATTGAAGATTGTAGGCACAAAGTTCAATATTAGCATAACTAAATGGATGTTTTTAGTTTTTTTTTTTTTTTTTTCACCAATTGAAATTGTGATGGGATTATTTGATCAGAAAGTGGGTCATTGTTGTCAGTTACTCAAGTTAAATGGTCAAGGAATCACTCACCCATTCGTACACCCATTCATACACCAGTGTACGCATTCACTGTGGGCGCAAGTGGGTTAAGTGTTAAGGGTCTTGCCCAAGGACACAACAACACTATTCATCTGTGGCAACTGCAATCACACCGCCAACCTGTTGGTCAGTGGGTCTAAACGCTCAACCAGTGAAGTTTTATGTCGAGTTTTGAACCGTCAACCTTCGGATCAGTGGACAAACATTGGACCTTTTAAGAACCTTGTCCAAAATTTGAGCTACGTTCAGGAGTACCTAGCTGAAGGATTTTGCCTAACATGCAAACCCAGGACCTTCTGGATGTGAGGTGAGAGCCACTCATCCGCTATGCATTTTAATTATACAAAATCTAAACTAAAGAAGCAATAAACCAGGACTAAACTAAGGCTAGATTAAGAAATATTTCTGGATTTAAGGGCTATTCATTCTTGAAAATATCATATAGAGTTTTTTTGTTTGTTTGTTTGTTTTTTAAAATTTCATTTCATTTGCAACATACAATGTGCACACAGACATTAGACAGTACAATACAAAAAGTGCAATATGGAACAATACAATACAACAATAAAAACAACAACAATACAAATGCATACACCACCACGGCAGACAAGGTGTAAAGTGTGTGAGTGTGTGTGTGAGGTTTCAGCATCAGTAAATATAAATAAATAATTGTGTATAGTTATATAGAGATTTTTAAAGTGTATTGGAGGCATAAGCTAAATGTTGAGAATAATGATAACTGTAGAAATAATAACAGCACATGTGCCAGTCTGTAAAGTTACTAATGGGAAGAAGATGAGGAAGGGGAACCTAGTTATGTTTATGAATGAATTTTTCGGATTGATGTTTAAGCCTCCCATTTTTTCTTGTACCAAAAAAACCCCTTATCTTAAATGATGATGTAAGAAAATGTTATTTATGATTTTATTTCTTCAATGTGCAGTTGTGCATGTATGCCTAGCTTTGTGAGGTGCATTAAAAGACAGTATGGTGCATTAAAAAAGGAAAGATTTGGGCTTATGGGAAGGGGGGATAGGTCCTTATTTTGCCAAATTAGATTTTTTAAATAGATTTTTTTATTATTATGAATATTATTATTTTTTGGGGGGGATTTATTATTATTGTCATATAGCATAAGTCTAATTTATTCAGATTATAATAAATATAATGCTGTAATTTGAGGAGCCATTAGGGTTGTCCAGTGTATCAAAAATCAGATACTAATCGATACTCAAACTGGTATTGAAACTAGATACTAATCTGAGCATGGACAAACCAACAAACCAACAAAGTCACATTCACAGGACAGAAATGGACCTTTCCTGAACAGCTTGAGAATGATCTTGAGCTGTATCAGAACAAGTATAAGAGCACACAGACTAGTATACACCCATGGACCACTGTGAGACCTACCTGGACCACTGAGGGATTACACACATACAAACCCACACGGTAATATAAAAAAAAAAAACAGTAAATGTTTTTATTCTCATTGTGGTATCAAAATTGGTATTGAGTATTGAGTTTATTCCTTGGTATTGAAATAGAGTTTGAAATTTTAGTCTTGTGACAACACTATGAGAAATTATAATAGTTTTCTTACCTTGCGTAGCTTCATGTCGCCATCTTTAATGTTCTCGCACCAGGAGTAGCTGCAGTTGGGGCAGTTTTGCTTCCTCATTCGATATCTGCAGAAAAAATAGACAAGCGAAATGAGGAGTCTAACCCACAACCTGCTTACTGAGAGGAGGAGACAGGATGGTTTGGCCTGAGACCTCCAGACTGAGTGGCAGAGTCTGTGTTACCTGTACATGATGCTCTGGAGGATGGAGGCGAAGGGGGTGATTCCGATCCCGGCCCCGATGAGGACAGCGTGTTCAGAGGCAAAGATTTGCCTGGTGGGGGTCCCGTACGGTCCATCCACGTAACACTAAAAAGAACACAAAAGAATGAAATGAGTTCAGGTTACTCAGTCAGCATGTAGTGTTGTTGTGTTCACCTTCTACAATTTCATGGTGCAGTAAACTTAGATGGAGAATAGGGATCATGGGTGACACTTTATGATAAGATAGCGTGATCAGATATCCCTATTTACCCAGGACAGTCCCAGGTTTGAGCCCTGTGTCCCCTGTCCCAGCAGATTTATCCAAAACCAGTGATTTGTCCAAATACAAGAAATGTCCCAGGTGTCCCTATTTTTGACCTATTTGATCTACACCAAGTCTAAATCAGGACTAAACTAAGACTAAACCAGAACTATATCAGGTCTAAACCAGGACTAAAACAGGACTATCACAATATTTGACTTATCTTATCCCCACCAACAGTAAAGAGGAGCGCAGATTGTCATTTGTTAAGTCAAAAACAGAAAACCGTGTTTGCAAATGACAATAAAGCAAAAAAATAAATAAAAAATGCAGTAACAGAAGTCCTTCAGATTATGACTGACACAAGAATGCACAATGTTACACGCTCTTTTCACTGTTTTATTTATACCAACCATCCCAACCCAGGTGTGTCCCAGTTTAGAAGTTTGAAAATCCCCTTATGATAACAACACATCAAATTAACCTTAGTAAAGCATGAACAAGAAATGAATTCATAATGAAAAATAAGGGAAGGTTCAAACCATAGACTGTGTAAAGAAGTGGACTAAGAGAGTATAACTTCACCCATAGTGTTGGGCTGCAGTCAAATGCAGCTCATGGAGGCTAATATAGTTATAGGTGTGATTTTGGGAGCCGAGCAACAAGTTGGATATGTCTGCTATTAATGTTCATATCTTGATTTAGGGATAAAATTGTAAATAAAAAAAAAACTCATTTTAAGACCAAAATAAGGAGCAGCAGTCACAGAGGGAAAGGTGACACTATTTGGAATGTGTCAGCTGGCAGGTTAGCCATGCCCATTTATATCAAATCTGTGGTTCAGGCTTAGACCCTAACCCCAACTCCTTAAATAACTTGTTTGTAATTCTAGTAAACTATCAGCGCATTGCTTAAGGCTAATTAAGGTAGTGACAATTGATACTTTACAGCTGATGTCATCAACATTACCTGGGGTTGTGATGCTGCTGTGGACTCTGCTCTGTCTGAGGTCAGACTTTAATCAGACTTTAATCTGCGCTTTATTTTAACACAATCTGACCATACAGAACTGATTAAGGTGGAACTACAACAGTTAATTTGGGTTGTCAAACAAGTTTCGTACATATGAAATACATTATTATCTATTAATAATTAATAAAGTCACAAGATAGTGAGCATTAGCTAAGAGTTTTTCAACTAATCAGGAGCATGAAAGCTCATATTGATCACAGGCTCCTAAAATTGTGTTGTTTATCTATTTTGACAGTGCTAATATGTGCATTTCGTCACCATGGTAACTCCTAAACAACTCACCATTAGAGATACATGTACAACACCACCGTCACTGCAAAGTATCAATAAAGTAATGCCCATTTTTGTTATTGACTGGCTCCATAAACATATACATCTCTGTAAAATATTTTTCACTGTGATGAATGCAGCTATATATGGGCTTTCAAGTATAATGTCAAGATACACACATTTGTCTCAAAGAGGCTGTACTTACCTTGATGTTGCAGAATCTGTGGTTTTCACCAAACCTGGAAGGCACCTGAAGATAATCAAAATATCATATGTACTTATATTGTTTAGTAATGTAAATGAACCAGTCTAAGTGCAGTTACAGATAACAGAGCAATGGCTTCTAAGAAGATTTTTACAGAAGTCCTATCCAAAATATTCATCTTTAAAAGTACCAGCTTTATCTTGAAACAACGAAGGTATCAAGTCCATCAATAAGAGCAACACACTTTATACCCACTGCTCTGTATATGTAAAAGACTGATGTCACACTATTTTCTGATCTATGTTATAATGTAGTTTCCGCATCACAAACAGACCTGGAGTTGTCCAATGAGATTCATTTGGTCTTCCAATAATTTTAGATCAAGAGTTTGTTTTCATACCTGACAGTTTGTTCTACTCCCTGCGGTCTTCCTCAGAGTGGTCACATGATGTTGCTGTGACGTGTCTGCTCAGCTGATTTAAACAGGTTTTGATGCTGTCTTCCTACCTGTGGAGGCAGGACGACAGCACCATCTGCAGTCTCACTTCCTCAGGACAGTATCCCAGGTGTGTGAGAGTAAAAAAGCCCCTCGTCCTGGTTTATAGTCCCGTGGGCACGTTTCCTTATTTCGATTGCCTCTTTGATCCAGCGATGGTGTTTGTTTTCCTCTGTCCCAATGATGTTTGCACCGTCCCAGTCCATAATGTGGTTCTCTCTTTTACAGTGGTCAAAGATGGCTGATTTGAGTTGGTCCTGTTCTACTTTGTGTTTTGTTACTCGTGTTTCGCCTTTGCTGTATTCTTCTTGCATTCTGTTTTCTGTTCATTTTTTCATGTATTGAATGCCCTCTCTGTTTCCCCGATGTGTGTTTCATTGCAGGACATGCAGGGTATGACATCATATTTATGCTCTGGTTCTATTTTATCTTTTAGGTGGATGAGTAGTTGCCTGAGTTTTCTGTACGGTTTCTCTGGTGTGTTGATATTGTGTTTTCTCATTGCCCTCTGCACTTTTTCTGTTATGCTCCTGATGTACTCTTTAGCACAGGCATGGCTGCAGATGGCGCTGTCGTCCTGCCTCCACCTGTAGGGAAGACAGCTCCGAAACCTGTTTAAATTAGCTGACCGGACATATCACAGCAACATTATGTGACCAGTCTGAGGAAGAGTGCCAGTGAGCAGCCCAAACTCTCAGGTATGAAAACAAACTCTTGGTCTGAAAAAAGAAGCTAATAACTGAAGTTGTGTTTTGTGTCATTCAAACATGTTTTAACACAGAAACCCTGCATTTAAGGAGTTCTTCTCTCAAACAGAAAACACTGATGCAGGAAGTGCTTCATTGTGTTTTAAAATTCAGTACACCTTCACTAGAATCATTTGTATAATTTCAGCCCTGGAATTTGCCAATCTCTAGTAAACAAAAGGTAAAAGGAGCTGTTAAGAGATATAGACAGACTAAACAAAACACTACTCTAGGTATGTTTTTGATGAGGTAACAACATTATAACATGGCTTAAAACCCACAAGAGTCATGCAGAACCTTTAATCTCATTATACCTCTTCTCTGACCTCTTTGTGGTTGAATGCCTCTCCTCTCTCTGTCTGCCCCAGCTGGTCTAGGGCTCCCATGGTCTCCTCTGGACTGGAATCGGTCTCTGGACTCTGATTGGCTCTTGTCAAGGTCTCTGGACTCTGGCTAGGTCTAGTCCTGGTCTCTGGACTCTGATTTGCTCTTGTCCCGGTTGCTGGACTCTGGCTGGTTATAGTCTCAATCTCTGGACTCTGGACTGGTTTGATCCCATTCTCGATCGGCTCTGGTTCGATTCCATTGTGTCGGTACATTGTCAGCTCTACGGCTTCGTCTTCATTTGACGCCACAGTCCCCAGACAGTCTGTGGAGCAAAACAGTGCCTCCTGGCAGAGAACAAGAGTGTTACAATATTACACAGTCAAAGTAATAAATGTTTTAAGGGCCTATATTACAAAAAATGTGACTCATGCAAGCTTTTGTCCATATTAAATTGCTGTTACCTCCTTAAAAACATACCCAGAGTTGCGTTTTGTTTCATTCACACATGCTTGAGTAATGCTTTATTATTAGTCTGTCTAGATCTACAATGCTCAAAATAATTTGTTCCACCTTGTGATGTCATAATGTGGTACCAGCTACCTTTTTTCCTTTAGTTTAGTAGAAGCAGTAACAAGGCTGAAAATATCCAAATAATTCTAGTGAAAGTGTAAAATAAGATAACCCTTTATTGTCTCCCATGGGAGAAATTTGTCTTGGGACAGGGGATAACATGCTTTATGTTAGACAAGTTTAAGTACCATGCTGTGGACCTTCTAAGCAAAGCAATTGTCCATATGTGTTCTCCATGACCACCATCATGCAGCTTTCACTTCATTTATTTTCACCTCCACTTTCACTCTTGCCAGCAGAGGGAGTCAGACACTAAGATTCAGGCTCTGAAATAAGTGCTCAACACAAAACTCATAACCTTTTTGTCCTCACATAAACTTGATCTTAAAGGTGCATTGCGTAACTTTTTGATTGAGGGTCCCTCAAATGCTTTTCTCCATGGAGAAACACAACAGTGGTTATTGCTTTGTCTGATATTTGTGGCGTATCAGTGTGTAATGGACCTGTGTTTTGGAGTCCTGCCTCTTCTTCCTCAGGCTGGTGCTCAGTCTCTTGGGGCTGTCGTGGAGCTCTGGTTGCCTAAAGTATTCGTACAGACGGTTGGTCCACTGGCCGAGGGAACGCACGTGCAGCCACAGGGTATCTGAGGAGAGGGGGCAAGAGCTGAAAATGAACGGTCAAACTTAAAGGGTCCAAATTACCCTATTTTCTGATCTACATTAAAATGTTGTTTCCTCATCATAAACAGACCTGGAGTTGTGTTTTGTTTAATTCACACATGTTCAACACACAAATCTTGCATATTTAGGATGAGTTCTTCTCTCAAACTAAAAACACTGTTCCACCTTGTGATGTCATATGGTAATACACAAAGTGCTCCACTGTGTTTTTGAACTCTATACACCTCCACTTGAATCATTTGGATGATTTCTGTCCTGGAATTGCTCATCTCTACTGATCTAAATAAAACATGAAAAACCGTCTTTAACCTGCACTATAAAGGTTCTATATTACCCAAAATTGACTCACGTGAGCTTCAAGCCATGTTAGAATGCTTTTGCCTCCTCAAAAACACACCTGGAGTTGTGTTTTGTTTCATTCACACATATGTTATTAGGTTATTTTTTCAGACCAAGAGTTTTGTTTTCATACCTGACAGTTTGGACTGCTCCCTGTGGTTTTCCTCAGACTGGTAACGTGTTGTTACTGTGACGTGTCCGGTCAGCTGATCTTTACAAGTTTTGGCGCTGTCTTCCTACAGATGGAGGCAGGAGGACAGTGCCATCTGCAGTCCCACTTCCTCAGGACAGTATCCCAGGTGTGTGAGAGTAAAAATGCCCCCTCACCCAGGTTTATAGTCCCGTGGGCAACCTGTATAAATCAGCTGACTGGACACATCACAGCAACATCACGTGAGCACTCTGAGGAAAACCACTAGTGAGCAGACGAAACTGTCAGGTATGAAAACAAACTCTTGGTCTGAAAAAAGAACCTTATAACAAAATATGTGTGCGGTGTGTTTTTGTGGAGGTAACAGCATTCTAACACAACTTAAAGCTCACGTGAGTCAATTTTGGGTAATAGAGAACCTTTAAAGTGCATAAGAGGTTTTTATGTTTTTGCAATTATGACCTGCCTTGGTGGGATAGTACTTGTTGTTGTGGATTCAGCTACAACTACAAATGAAAAAATGTCCGAGCAATAACTTCAGGTTCAATGGCTTTACTGAAAAGATGCTGCCAGTGTCAAATCATTCATTTTCTGTTACAAGTTGCAATATTCTCTCTGACTAGCCAACATGTTTATAACTGTTTATAACTGATAGTGCAGTCTTCTTCAGCTGAGTTTTTTAAAGACAACATCCTTTTTTGGAATACAGAGAACCAGAGCCATCTATGGGTGAAAATATCTGGTGCTACAACTGAAGGAAAATAATCCTTTTTCTGGTTTTAAATAACAAATACAACTATCATATACTGTAGCCTTTTAAACATTAACTTATTGTAGTTTTGTAATGAATTCAATCTGAATATATTTATTACCTTCGCCAAGGAGGTTATGTTTTTGCCGGCGTTTGTCTGTTTGTTTGTTTGTTTGTTTGTTTGTATGTTTGTCTGTTAGCAACATAACTCAAAAAGTTATGGACTGATTTTGATGAAATTTTCAGGATTTGTTGGAAATGTGAAAAGGAAGAACTGATTTCATTTTGGGGGTGATCCGGAAGAAATCCTGGATTCTGGATCACTTTGAAATTTTAGTTAACATTGTGGTAATGGGGCCAAAAATTTTGTTTCTCAGTCCCAGAGGAGGAGCACACTTGTGTTCTGTACGATTTAAAGGACATTGAAAATTAAATGCATTTTTTGTTTTACTGTCCTTTGTATCATGACCTTCGCTGTCAGTTGTTGTCTAATGTGTCTTTCTGTTGGTTTGTTATGTCTGATGAGGACAGACTTAAATATTTGTTTAAATGTAATGTTTTTAAGTTGGCTCAGTTTGTGCTGAAAGCCTGGGACCTCCGTAAGAGGACACTTTATGTTTGATGTGTGATCTGTCTGCTTATTGTTTTATGTGTCTTATAAGTCCATGTGAGCTGGGCACCAACTAATGGTGCATGACACTAAATAAGTAAAATAAACTAAACTAAACTAAAAAACTCAATATCTCGGTTAATTATTGACCAAACCCCATGAAATTTGACTCAGGGATGGACAATGGGATCCTCTTTCATATTCCAAAGGCTGATCCGGATCTCATCCAGAAGACTGATTTTATCGCAATTTCTATAAAAAATGGGGGTCGTCCTTGGCGGAGGTCTGCGCTCTCTGAGTGCTTTTCTAGTTTATCAAACTGTAATTTTAACTATGTAATACCAAATGAATTTTTAAAAGCTTTTTAAACTACATATTCAACACTTGTGGTCAATAATTATCATAGTTTTCATCAGTTAAGTGGCAGTTTGAGGAAAAAAGCAGAGAAGAAAAGTACAAAAATACAGGGAGTAGTTGTGCGTTGTCAACATAGAAAGTTCCATTCAAAATACAAGGACAATTTATGCATAAAATAAAAGTGTTGTCATTTATTTTTGATAAGTTTTGGTCCTTGTATGTCACATCTGCCACTGTCACATGTCTAACCATGCTTTCAGAATTAAAGCTTTTATTTATTTCTTAATTTATGTTATTATTTTTGACTTATCTTAAATCTAATAATTACATTTTAGGGAAAGGAGAAGTTTAACCTGTCATCTGGGTCTGTGAAACACTGCAGTACCGTACCTGACTGCTCGGGGGCGCTGCTGATGGTGAAAGGGTGCCACTCGTACTTGGCGATGGCCGGGATGTTGATGTAGACGTAATCTCCAGGTTTGAACTGGAAAAACTGAGGACGGTTGATCACAAGATGAGTTACCTGCAAAAACAAGAGATCAATTATTATACTGGCAACCCCACCTGACCCTCTGCTCCATCTACCCTCTCCTCTGCTCCGTCTGACCCTCTCATCTGCTCCGTCTGACCTGCTCAATCTGACCCTCTCCTCTGCTCCATCTGACCCTCTCATCTGACCCTCGCCTCTGCTCCATCTGACCCCCTCCTCTGCTCCATCTGACCCCCTCCTCTGCTCCATCTGACCCTCTCCTCTGATACCCAATCCATCTGATTTATCGTGCATCTCTAATTTTCTCCCTCACCTTAGACGGCAGCAGGTTGACTTCAGTGATGTAGAGGCTTCCCATCCGCGAGCGAGCCATTCCGATGATCTTCTCCAAAAGGAAAACCAGCCCAGGGACCACAAACCACTTCCAGAAGTTGGCACAGTGGATCACAAGCAGAGTCCAGACCCACACGTACGACAGGTGGGACCAGTAAAACACCTTCGGACCACAGGGGGACAGCAGTGAGGTATGTGGAACTTTTTCACCAAATTGTACTTTTCCAATAGCATGCTACTATACTTTTACTTGAGAAATATTATGTTGCAATAACAAAACTCTTAATAAATGCAAATCTGAATGAAATGTATGAAGACATGGAGATTTAAATGATCGTGCTTCGTGTACAATATACTTTGTATTAACACCGAAAATTCCATCTAAAATACAAAGATAATTTACATACAAGAAAGACATTTTTCTAACAATTTAAACATTCAAATTGAACAAAATAAAGATGTTGTCTTTTACATTAAAGTAAAAAAGAAAAAAACTAAGCAAGATTTTGGTAAAAAATATAATTAAGTGCAAGTCTGGTCATAGTAAAGACACGTTTTTCGACATTAAACACTACCAAAATTAAAAAGTAAAAGAAAAGTTTTTATTTTAGTAATTTTTTGTCTTAAAAGTTACATACTGTGACTTTAAAGGAATGTTGGAATATTACTATCTTATCAAAAACATACCTGGAGTTGTGTATGGTTTCATTCACACATGTAATCCAACATTATTAGTCTCCAAAGCAAAAAATGTTCTATTCCACCTTGTCATGTCATTAAGCAATACTTTTCAAATTAACAGCTACCTTTTACCTTTGTTTAGTTTAGTAGAAATGTTTAGTAGAAATGGGCAAATCTGGGGCTGAAATTACACAAATGAGTGTAGAGAAGGTGTCTGGAGTTTAGATAAGATAAGATAATCCTTTATTGTCTCCCATGGGAGAAATTTGTCTTGGGACACGGGGTAACATGCTTTATCAAAAAAAAAAAAAAAAAAGCTAGGACAACACAACACAAAGCAGCACATAAACAAACACCATAGAACTAATTAAATATTAGACAAAGTATGACCACGAGTGATGCACCAACCGGACCTTTAAACTATCCTTAACAGGTAAGCCCTTGCATTCTTGTATTCTATTAATTATTGCACATTCCCTAAGCCTATGTGCAGTTTTAATTATAATTACTGCACATTCCCTAAGCCTAAAAACACAATACTTCCTGTATTACCACATGACATCATAAGGTGGAACAAATTGTTACCAATTTGAAAGAAGAACTCAGCCTAAATATGCAGGGTTTATGTGTTAAACATGTGCGAATAAAACAAAACACAACTCTGGATATGTTTGCGATGAAAAGGATTACGATATAGCTCAGCAAATAGCATAATATGGGCCTTTTTTAAGCATTGTAAACTTATTCTACTCCATGAACATTTACACCTAAATGTTAAACAAACAAAAACAGTGATAAAGTCTGTAGTCTGACCTCAAAATGACCACTGCGGCGCACAAAGGTCAGAGAGCAGATGACCATGAGGAAGATGAGGACCTGTAGTACGACTCCGGTCACTGACGCTGTCCCTTTGACCCAGCCGATGCCCGGGCGAGTGGTGAACACGTACTCCCAGAAACTGAACTCTCCAGACTCTGACAGTTTAGCTACAAATGGAGGAAAGTCAAAGTACATGACTGTGCTATTATTAAGTCTGGGTATCATTAAGAAGTTGCCGATACGATACATATCTTGATACATGAGTCACAATACGATACATATCTCGATACAGTGAGCTTTCGATACGATATATTTCAAATCAATATGATAACACTCAATAAAAGATAAAGCCTAAATCATGGCTGTGATACTAAAAGTCTTTGTTAAACTACTTCATGTGCAAAGTTCATATGAAACACAAACATTTTCATCCTCAAAACAGTGAAAATGTCAAATGTGTCACAAGTTTCCTTCCACTACACAAGCAACAAAACTGTAGAGCTGTAACAAAATGATTTAGTAAAATAAACAAAAAAATACTCTTGACGATATATCGATACAGCAGCCCACAATATCGATATTGTATTAATACATTAAACTATTTGATATATTGATATTTTGATATTTTTGCACACCCCTAGTTATTATACTGACAAAAATAATATCTCAGGTTTTACCAATTTATATATGTGCAGTCCACTTTTTTATTATTTATTTTGTCTTTTTTTCTATCTAATCTATCTATTTTTGCATCAAATATGTGGCAGAATTCTGTGGGACAAGCAGGTGATGTTAGGAGGCCAAATAACAGGTCAGATCTGTGGAGAGGCAAGCTGACTCACGGTTAAGAATACATGTTTTTCAAGGTACTTCTGAATAGTAAAATCACCTTGAAATGAAAACATGCAAGATAGATTTTTGTAGCTGTTTTCTGGCAACTACTTCTATAAATGTACAGTCAATAAGTCACAGTATTTTAGCTACTGCATATACAGTATTCAAGTGTATTCATGAGTACTTTTGGTTTTTCACTTTTTTCCCCCCACGAAAGACCAAAAACGTGATCTAGTAAGTAAACCCATTAACACTGCATGTAACTTTTCTGTTGGAGGGTGCTTGTCTCCATGGAGATATTGTTACTTTGCCATGTTCCACAGTACGGCATTAACTATGCTGCTAGATCAGAATCCACTTACTGCATTTTCAAGATGAGCATTAAAATCCCTTCGAACAGGATAAATGTTATATAGACACTGTAGTTACCAAATTACAGGTCAGATCTGTGGAGAGGCAAGCCCACTCTCTATAAGAATACATGTTTTTCAAGGAACTTCTGAATAAGAAAATGAATAATTATAATCTAATTAATAAAATACAACATAGATATGAGTAATGCCATACTGGGAAAGAAATAGAAATCCAGTTTTAGGCCTGTCCTGATAACAAATTTTGAAGCACAATATATTGCTACAGACATATACTGCAATAAATGATAATCTTGACACTACTTTATGCCACTGATACAATAACAATAATGCAACATAATCCCAGTAAGCCATTTTTAAAAAGACAGTATCATTAAAAAAAACACAAACTGCAAAAATAAATAGCAGAAGAAGCAATAAGTAGCGATAGAAGTCAGTTATTTACCACTTTCCATCTCAAATGTAATTGTATTAAAAGAAAAATACCCCAAATCTGATCACTTTTATAAAGAAATTGTACACACAATAAATAATGAGCCCAAAAATATATTGTTCCAGCTTTTATGTATTGGACAATTGATAAGTTGATAAAGTAATTATTATGACAGGCCTATTGATTAAGACAAGACTCATACAAACTCCAAGCAGGTGACAGACCCTCCCAGAAAAGTTCCATATTGCCCCTTTATCCACAGGCTCTTCATGAAGCTGCTGTGTCTTACCGAAGTTGAAGAGGTGAGCGCAGGTGTGGAGCAGAGTGTAGAAGAGGATGGCGTAGCCCACGATCTGATGTAGGAGAACGTTCTGGTCCAGAGGCAGGACTTTAACCACCCATGTGGCCCTGAGCCAAGTCAGACAGCGCCGCAACATCAGGACCTGGGGCATAGGAAAGAGTTTGATTTTATAAAGCTGGTCACATGTTAGAAGAATCAGTGATCTATTGGTGGTTTTCAGATTCTAACTAGAATGTGAGGATGTCATACTTGCAGACAGGGGGCAACCATAGACTGTATATATAAATGAAGTGAGCATGGGCGCACTTCTGGCTCCATCAACTCCAATTCACTTTGTATTGATAAACTGTCACTCCTCTCTCTGTAACTGCTGCTGTTATTTTGGTCTTAAAATGTTTATATCATTAGCAACAGGTTTGATTGACAGCATTGCTAAGTGCCCAGTCCCTGTTAAACCAGAAGGACCAAACTTCAACTTGGCTCCATATTGGCCTCGATGAGCTTCATTTGACTGGAGCCGAAAGCTGTGGGTGACATGACTCTCGGTTTGTCCACTTCTTTATACAGTCTATAGGGACAACAGAGAGTTTCAGTATTGATTACACTGTACTTAGACACGAAATATACAAAAGGTGATTTATTTATTTTTATTACAATGTAAAATCTAACGTTAGGGTTCACGTGCATTTAGCTTGGTAACTTTACTCACAGCTACAAATTAGTGGATCTTAATGACTGTGGTAAAGTAAGTCACTTTCAGGGTGAAATAAGCACATTAGTTGTCAGTAAGATTAAGGTCAACTTGAATGAGATGAGTAACTTCAACAGTGACGTATTATTGCCAAGAGTCCAGCGTGATATCTATTTGGAGCAGAACACTTTGGCTACTCTACTTTTCTGGAATAATCTCTGGAAATGCAGGTGATACTTGATACAACAACAGATGAGCTGATTTGTGCTTTTAAACTAGTCTCTCAAATAGCATTAGTCAGTCAGGTTCTCATATCCCAAATCTGTGCCGTACCAGGATGAGCGTACAGTTGAAGTTGAGGCACTGGCCACAGCCCCGGGCGAGCATGTACCACGGGCCCCCCTCTTTGCTCCTCCACATGGCCGTACTGAAGAGGGCGATACTGAGCAGCACGTAGCCCATCAGGAACAGCAGTTTGCGGCTGTTGTTGTGCCAGTAAGAAGCCGTCAGGTACCGGGGGGTCTGGTGCTTCTTCTGGTCCACCACCGGAGGCTTCAGCCAGTTAGCCGCACTGAGAGAAGGAAAGAGGGGGAGAGAGGGGAGGGAGAGAGTGGACAGGGAAAGAAGGAGAGAGCAGGAGAGAGAGTGGGAAAGAGATGAATGAGAAGGGGGAAGAGAGGGGGATGGACAAAGAGGGGGGAGTGAAATGGGTGAGCGACAGAGGGAGAGGGAAAAGGAGGGAGAGAGAAGAATGTGAAAGGGAAAGGGGAAAGGGAGAAAAAGAGTGAGAAGCCAGAAGAGGGGAGAGAGAACATGAGAGCAAGGGGAGGAGAGGGAGAGAGGAGTTAGAGAGGGGGGTGGGGCTTCATAATACATAGAACTATAACTATATAACTATATATATTCCGGTAACTATCTGTATATATAGACAACCTGCATGTGACATCACAGCTGTGCCCTCATCCACTTCCGGTGGTCCAGCAAGTCAGACTGCCAGTAGATCGCCATTGTAAAGTTAACACATTTTCGAGTCGTTTTATTTAATTTTCACATTAAGACACATGGTGTAAAAGTGTTGTGCACAGAGCAGTAATTAGCAGAGAGATAAAAACTCAGGGGTTCAGTTGTATCCTGGTTGAAGCTGACAGAACTGCATTTAGTCTTGTGTGAGAAATGCTACAGTCTCACTAGATCCAACCCAGAATCTGCTGCTGTTACCTGAAGTAACAGTCACATGCACACCTCAGTGCATCTGCTCTGGGCTGATGTGTGGTGAGTTGCTTACATGCTGCTGTTTTATAAGTTCATGGTGATGAGCTGAGATGATGACAACCCGCAGTTTTAATTGGGAACATAGATTTCGCCATTGGATGAACATCGGGAACTTTGGGCTGACCCTGTCCAGGTCAGTATGGGATGGCGTCTGGACTATTTTTTATTTATTTATGTATTTTTTTGAGGCTTTTTAGGGTTTGTGATGGGTTAATCAGCTGTATGGTAGCTGTATGTCGCACACTGGCTGCCATAAATTAGGGAATTTATGACCTAACCACAGACAAGCCATGTTACTAGAATGCTAGCTACCATCGTCGGGACGGTCAATATGGCGGCCAAAACAAAAACATCCCATGACTGCAGGGTCTCTATACTATATATATATATATATATAAAATTATATATATAAAAGTTCCCAATATTTGTAATAAAATGTGCCTATGTTTCATCACAGTTGTTCTTGCTTAGACCATATTCATCTGATGTCAGACCTAAAATTAAGCAATTTTGTTAGAAAAATCATCCACATACAGTATCAACATGTGTATGACCCATAATCTGAATCGTAAGTGCAGGGATGTAGGCTGGGATAGTTAACTAATCAGCTAATAACTAGTTTAGCGTTGTCCATAGTATTGAAAGTATTAGTATTGTAGTATTGTAATATAAAAGAAAGTGCTATGATTTAATGTTGAAAATCACATTCTGTTGTATAAAGAAAGTATTACGATTATCATTGTGGAATCGGAATGGGTATCGAGTATCGAATTTATTCCTTAGTGTCAAAATCAAATTTAAATTTGAGAATCGTGACGTCACTAGTGGAGTTACCTGATGGTGAGGTTCTCCATGACTTCAGGGAAGGTCTCCAGTTCGGCCTTGAGCTCCTCGAAGGTGATGGAGCCACTGTTGTCTTTGTCCGCAGACTCAAACAGAGCCAGCGTCAGGTCATCCAGTTTCTCCTCCGGCAGGGAGATGGCGCTCTCCCTCAAACATGACTTCAGCACTGTGCGCAGCTCATCAGGGTCAATGGAACCGCTGCCTGTCGAAAAACCGCCGCTGTCAAAAACTGATGAAAAAAACTGCCAAGTTGTATGCGATTTTATGGAACTTTTCAGCCAAAACCAAACTATCTGGTCTGGAGGTGGCGCTTTGACTGACCATCCACGTCATACACCTGGAAGAGGAAGCGCAGTTTGTCGGTCTCAGAGCCGTGGATGAGCAGGTCCAGAGCCTTCAGCAGCTCGTCCAGGCTGATGGTTTTACTCCCATCAGAGTCAAAGAGTGCGAAGAACCGCTCAGCGAAGAAAGACTGAGGACAAAAGAGACACAATTAAAGTACACCACACATTTTTAAACAACTCTTTGTGTAACTCTTTTTGTAATTCTTTTTAGAACTCTTTTTGTAGAAAACTACCATTTCATGACATCACAAGGTGGAAGAAATGAAGACAGTAATATAATGCACTGTTACTCAAACATGTGTGAATGAAACAAAACACAACTCCAGGTCTGTTTTTTATGGGATGTAGATTGCAACATGACTAACAGTTCACAAGAATCAGTTTTGAGTAATATAAGACCTTTAAATTGTTAATCGCCATGGCAACTGTGCTATTTTATTACTCTGAAACAAATGGATAGAATTACATTGGATTAACAGTTATAGCACAAAACAATACTACAGCTCTATGTTGAGTTCTCAGACAAGTTTCTATTTCACATGTTAATAGTAATTGTTATTTTAAAGCTGCACAATGTAACTTTTCTGGAGGATGATAGGCCATCTGCTTATTTCCATTGTGATGTTTTGGCATTACCTCCAGTGTTCCACAATATAGCATTAAACGTATCTAGCATTTATTTTATACCGCTTTAATTGCTCAGAAATACCTTGAGAATCCCACATTCTTTCTGTGAGGCCTGTACCTTGCCCAGGAAGCCCTGGACATACTATACTATATATCCTAAAGATCTGTCATTTTGGCTTTTGGACAAATTCATCTACAAAAAATCTTTTTACCCTTCTCAACTGGCGAGGGGCACACTCAACACCCGCCACTGACCATCGACGGTGCTGCTGTGGAGAGAGTGAGCAGT